TTTGACTATCCCCACTTCTCTCTTCCACCGTTTTTTCATCCGCTCTCCGCGACATTTGGCTCTAGCTGTGCCAACAGTCGTGTAGGCCTGTGAGGGGACCGGGGAGTGACGCCCCCCCGCTCTGGAGGTCTTTCGCTGCAAAACCGGATCGCCCCAATATTGCGAGTCGTCCTCGACGAATTTCGTACCCAGGCGCCGGCGAGCGAGGGTAGGGTCCCCTCCGCACCACCTCACCCACGCGCGCCGTAGGCGGCTCCCCTCCCCCCTCTCCGCGTGGCGTCTGCGCGCCGCCCCGTCTCAAGCCTCCCCTATCCTGTTTTCGCTCAAACACTGATTTTTCCCCTCCCATCCGCTCGCCAGAATCAACCCAGCCTAGACTACCATACTTCGCTCATCCTTCATGAACTATTACCCCCCCCCCCCCCCCCCCCCCCCCCACATTTATTTTATTTATTTCCTATTTAGATTCCCGAATGTATTTTTTTTAGGAAAAAAGTTAAAAAAAAAAAAAAAAAAAAAAAAAAAAAAAAAAAAATTCAGACAAAAATACGACAAAGAAAAAAAATTATCAAAATATCATCGCGGTAACTCCCCACAATTTCGGCCCCGGCAGCCAGCTGCCCTCCATCCATCCATCCATCCATCTATCTTCCCGAGCTCGATCCCCCAGGCGGATTACCAGCCGCGCCATGGTAAGCAGTGCCGGCAGCAGGCGCAGGAGGCCGAGGAATCTGCGATTGGATTGTAGAGCTGGAAGAGGTCGACGGCGGTGAGCGCGGGATGTATGGATTGTTACTATTATTACCGCCGTTGGAAGGCGGGTGATGCGGGTGATGCTGATGATGATGATACGAGTCCCGGCCGCCCGCGCCGGGGTCTGGATGGCGATCTGTTAGCTCGAAGTACTCGTGGGCGGATGTCGTTGTGGTGGTGGCGACGGGGGGTGGGAGGAGATGGCTTGGGATCGAGGGCACGGCGCCGGGGGCCCCGTCTTTCTCGTGGATGACGGGCGTGGTGGGCGAGTGGAATCTGGTCGTGTGCGCGCCTGTGCGTCGGCCTGTGGATGGCTCGCGGGTGATGAGGGGGCCTGGCGGGTTGGAGGTTCGACTGCTGCTAATGTCGCCTGCGGCTGTGCCGGTGCCTGTCCCGTTGGGGTTGTGTGAAGAGAGCTTGCTGTAGTCGTGGGGGATGTTGGATACGTCGATGCGCGGCTGGTCCGTGGCTGCGGATCGGGAATGCAGGGCGCGGACGACGGATGCTTCCGTGTCCTTCTTCGCGGATCGGGTTGAAGCGCCGCGGTAAAGGAGCGTGGCATTGAGCGACCCGCCATCCACTACTGCGGTGGCAGCGGCGGGGGAGAGTGCTTCAGACCCGTCCAGCTTACCGGTGCGTGCGAGGTAGTCATCCATCTCAGATGTTGGAATCATCCGCGCCTCCTCCTTTCCCTTGGCCCACTCATCCTTGTTCGCCTGCGCCTGCTCGTGGGATATCGCGACGGAGTATGACGGCCTTGTAACGTCGCCCAGCGCGGCGTCGCCGCCGCCAGGCCCGTAGATGGGGATCTTGCGGGCAGCAAGGACCACTGCACACATGAACTTCGACCGGCGGGTGGCCCGGATGGTCTCGTGGGACCAGTTGGACTTATGGCGGATTTCAACTCTGAGCTCGAGTTTGTTCATGTTGCCAAGGTCGACGACCTCAATGTCAACGTCTGGGTGGAAGTCGCGGGAGTTTTCCTTGTCACGGACGAATTTCTGCAGCTCGGCCTTCAGCAGCTGGATGTCTGCGAAGGAGGTGCCAAAATCCACCGTGAGCGTGATCTGCTCGCGCATGGCCTTTGAGCGAGTGATATTCTCAATCCACTGGGTGTTCAAAATAATGTTTGGTACTTGGAACGTCTTGTAATCTCGAGCGCCCCTGAAAACGGTGTAGAGGAGAGAGATCCGTTCCACAACTAGCTGACGATCTCCAATATCGACCCGGTCTCCCACGTCCATTGCGTGCTTTACGAAGAGGAAAATCGTGCTACCCAGGACCTCCTGGGCGGTTGTGGCAAAGACGAAGGACAGAGAGAGAAGCGCAGTTGCGCCGGCCGCGAGCGTGGTTCCGAATCCAGTGTTAAGAAACGCAACTATTACCAACTGTTAGCTGCATCAAGTACTTTTTGTTTATTTATTTTAACAAAAATCAAGCGCAGGGATTGCGTGTGCGTGCGACATACTGAAAACCAGGACCACCATGATGAGGACAATCACACACAAAAGGTTGTCGAGGACATTAATTGCCTGGTCAACGTCGTGCAAGCTGTTGTTGATGGATTTCTTCACTCTACGGATCTCCGTCAGCGTAAGGATCATCTCTTCCAGGCTGACATCACCATTGCCATCGTGATCCAGCATGGCGAAGCATTCTTTCGCATCTTCTTCACGGTCGGCACCAAGAACCTCGATAATATCCTCTACGTAAAGGCTCTCTCGCCCCTGGAGAACGAAGGACATCCACATACGTCGTGCAAGTGCTTCTGTCGCCTTGCGTTTTTCCAGCGCCAGGGTCACGACCGAATGGGCCGACGTGGGATTGAAGACCTGCTTTCCCGTGATCTCCTGGGCGACATTGCCGAATGCAGCTGTAATCTTGTCCCCGACTCGGCTCACGCCCTGAATCAGACGCATCGGAGTAGTGGATCCACACCGCTTGTGGCCACGGGGAAGCTTCATGACGCCAACTACGGAATCTTGGATTGCATAGTCCTCGTCTTCAAACTCCGCACAATACGCAGGAAAAAGGTTCCGTGACGCCTTGTAGAGCATCGTCAGGAGGGCGATGTTCCGCTTGGACTCTTTGATCCTGGTATCGAACTGTCGTCGGTGGTAGCCGATAGATATCAATTGAATGAGGATCTTCTCCGCAGCCAAGATCAAGGTCGAGACAAACGCGGCAAACAGGATATTCCTGACTACATTCTGCCAGTACTTGATTTGTGTGTCGCCGGAGGCTTGATTGGTGGGGTTTCGCGTCATCAACTGTTACAGTTTAAGTATATACATACATCTGACATACCTATATTGTTTCTCGCAGGGGATGATATGATAGATGAAAAGGGATTGGCTCAATTTGGGAAGACGTACCGGAATAAAAGTGGCAAGGGAGGTCACAGACCAGCCGATGAGAGAAAACGGAATCTCCAACGCTCGCAAGAGGAGGGCATACTTTCTCGTCCCCGAACTCACGATGCCAACCAGGAACTGAAACACATAGGGGACGTAGTGTGCAACGATCTTCGACCCCCACAAGCTCAACCAGACAACTTCCACCCAGGTGAAGAACCATACAATGCGCACCCCGCCGATGGCTGCATTCTGGGCGATGGTAGCCCCGACAATGATCGGGATGGCAATGAGCAACGCCAGAGGCAAAACATAGATAAAGTACCGCGTAATGACCGAGTAGTTCAGGATTTTATTGTACAGCTCTCCCATGCGGGTAAGGGTGCCATCCTCGGAGGAGTCCATCTGCTTCCCATCTGACAAGAGCATCCTCCGCCCGCCCGGTTTGTGATGGAATATCCCTTCCTTCTCGTTCTCGTTCTCGTTCTCGTCGTTGTCGTTGTCTTTGTCTTTGTCTTTGTCGCCGTTGGCAGGAAGGTCGGTGGGCGGGACATAAGATGAAGAGGAGCCATTGTTGGATTGGACCGTTCGAATCCCAGCATGGCCTGTACTGGAGACGCTAGTCAGGGGGATGGTGTTGTCGTCATTGCTGGCGGCATCATCTCGTTTGGGAAACCTGTTGCGGGAATAACGTCGTTTACGTCCAACACCCAGCCGATCCTTCATGGATGCCAGCCTGCCAAGCCAAGGCAGGGGGGAATTGCAAGGGGGGAAAAGTGCTTGACTTAACGGTTGGTCGGTGGGAATCTAAGACGGCGCAGGGCGCTAAGTATGCGAGTAAGTATGCGAGTAAGTATGCGAGTAAGTATGCGAGTGCGCAACACGATGCGACGTGATCTGCGGATTTGGGCCCGAGGTTTTACTGCGAGCTGACCAAGGGAGTAGAAAACCCAGATAAGTTGTAGGTGGTAATTGGCGATCTAGAAAAAATATCCAAGGAGCGGTGCTCTATTAACGATAGTTGAAGCGGGGGCCCTTCCTGTAGCCAAAGCTGGTGGAGAGCGGCGATTTTAGAACCAGACCAAGATCAGAGTAACAAAGGATATAGATAGATCTAAGGAGTGTCAGAGTCGCAGACAAAGGAGAAAAGGAGGAAGGAGGAGGAAAGATTCAACAGACGAGATTCAACAAGACGTGATTCATCGCCAGGAGATCACACGGGCGAAAAGGAAATGGAAGCAAAAGAGGATAAAATTAAAAATAAACATAAAAGTACAACGCGGCCCACGGCCCACGGGTCGCTCTGGTTCTGGAGCATGACCGGCGCATCGAAACATGGCGGGCACGAGTTGATTAAGCTCCAGGCTTGGCCGGTTAAGGTTTGCAGCGTTCCAGGGGTGCAGGCTTAACGGGAGCTGGTTAAAGGCGGCGCCGAGGGCCGAGGGTGGTGGGGGTAGAGGCTTAGGCTGGCCACTTTTCGAGCAAGCGATCTTAGGAGATCGCAGACGAAGAAACATGCACTGGCGGGCAGAACACGGCGGATACGCAATTATCGGAGACAATGAGGCATCGATACCAGTAGCCACGCCATAGCTCCTCAAACCTCCGTCGTGTCATGGATGAGCGTGTTACCGTCTTCCCCTGCGCCATCTGGAAGAACTACAACTCCAGAGAAGGGGGAAAAAAATCACCAAAAAAAAAAAAAAAAAAAAAAAAAAAAAAAAAAAGCCACCGAAGAAAATCGAAAAACCCACATCTTCAACTGGCACACAGAGACTATTTGGCGTTCTGGACCAGTAACATGGGCTCTGATTGGCTACTGGCAGCTTGCCGGCTCAGGGAAAGCGATAGATAAAATGTCAACAGACGACTTTGAATTCATCTTTTTGATCTTGCCATTATATGTTGAGACACGGTAGGTATCAGTACCCGCCATGGGGAGTCACGGTGATGGTGGATTCAGGGCATTTGATACCATCACTCATCCCTTTTGTCGGCACCTGGTCGCCGTGGATGGTAAAGCATCCCATCAAGATTGGAACTGCTAACGACCAGTGTCATTCCTCTCACTCTGCCTCGATACAAGTGGCAGGCGGAAATGAGCTACGTGTTGGCCGCTACATGCACAGCACATATTTCATCAGTATCTATCTCCCCCGCCATGGCAGGGCATCATCCCCTGCAGGAGAAGTATAGGATGAGTTTGATGGGACTGTGATCGGATCGGATCGGATGGGATAGAGAACTTGACTTGTGTCTTATCTTTACCTCGACCCGGGTCAGCACGCGGCGGCACAGTTTGATAGCAGTTGACGAGAAAGACAGCATAACATGGTTGCCCGTGTTTCATGCCATTCCGCCACTGTGTGCGGCGGCGGGTTTATGTTCATACCAAGGGATCAGGATCGGGATCAGGGTCGGATTCCTTTCCCAGCCGTTAAAAGAATCGAAAGGCAAAGGATAAAAACAGACGCCGTGTGCCGCGTGAGATGTTATTGTGGCGGACGTAAAGCTTGCGAAAACAGAATTTTCTGCCACCCCCTGAAAAATATTAGCAAAACACCGCAGAAATAACGAAAATACCCACGTATCTCTAGAATCATTCAAATACGCACCTTTATCATCAAATTTGCCAATATGCCCCGCAACACCCACCGTTCTACTGCCTCGCAAGCTCATAAAAGGACTCCAACTACCCTGCGCCTTCGTCTGTCCAAACCGCCTGTTCCGGATGTTCCGGATAATGATGAGAATCCAACTGATGATGAGAAGGAGGATAAGGAGGAGGAGGAGGAGGAGAAGAAGGAGACACAGTCAGAAGATCCTTGATTTCTGCAAACACTTACCCCTGAGCCTGAGATCTCATTCAGGCTGTATGAATGGGTGATTATCAATGAAATAAAGAAGTCTATAAAGATCAAGTTATGGAATGTCACAACAAATGATATGACTGTCAGCTTCTATCATATCCAATATATTGCAAAAAGAATAGCTGAAGAGTATGTTATGAAGCAAAACTGCAAGGAGATAGAAGTTGCAAATTGTATAACAGTCATCTCATGAAACAAACATGGATCTCCAATCAAAATCACCCTTGAGAAGAAGACAGATTGAAGAGAGATTATCACTCTTTTGAAGGAGTTATATAAGAAGAAAATGAGTGGATTTAACATTGAGATTACCACCTCTTTTAATTTTCTTGATATCTCAACTTTATTCTCAAACACCTCTGTAATACGCGGTTTTGCAGCTTTCATTGAAGTGTCGGATTCTCAATTAACAACCCAGGCATTGGCATTAAAAAGAGCATTAGATGTTAAAGAAGAAGTAATCTCATCATCTGTCAAATTCCCTTTCTATCATTCTGTCAAATCCTCTTGAATTCATGAAATATTCGATGGTTGAAAAATTAGCAAATCGTTCCCGTGTTCAAAATCAGAGTAGCAGTTTTCAACGCGATACTTCATACTCACAATATATGTATTTTTGAATAAAAATTAATTCAATTGATAGGAAATTGGAAAATTAACCCTTCAAGGTGGTAGAGAAATGATCTATAAATGAGGTTGTACAGTGATTCTATCTCAAACATTATGGTTAGAGCAAATCGTTCCCGTGTTGCTAACAAACTGGAACCGTTTTTTCTCAGACGCTCCGCGAAGAGTTTGCTGGGGATGTCCCATTTAGGTTTAGTGTAAGCCCCTTGACAGTTGATTGGCTCAGATGTTAGCAGGACTTGGCAGTAGTTCGAATCGGGTTAGCTCAAAGTGGAGTGGCTGAGTTTTACTGAGATAACTTCATACGACCTTTCCTTCTGATCTCTTTTCTCTTTCTTTCCTTAATCAATTTGTAATCTGTATTTAGAATAGTGCTAGATCGTTAATTGAAGTACACTCCTTACACAAAATCTTCATCAAACTGATTCTCTAACTAACATTTGTATCTTCTAATCCATTCTTTCAACGCATGAAATGACTCTTCTATAGAATTATAATCAGGGAAATATGAAGGTAAGAATAAAAGTCCAATGTCAGCTTCTCTGCAGAGATCTCACAATGCTTGTGAATGATGAGAAGAGCAATTATCTATCATTAAATAGTGATAATCTTGTTAGTATTTAAGTAATATTCAGACATATACAAACTCATTGAACCTCTCTGTATTATAAAACCTCTGATATATATCCTAATCAAGATATCCATTAACATTCATTGCAGGTAAGATTGATTATTTGTGAGATCATTTACAAAGCCTTCTAATGCAACAAAGAAATCCTCTACTTGACCATTCATACAGTACATTCATTCACAGCACTCTCATTTAAAAAGATAAGTTGATCAGATTGATACTGAGTAACTTGAACACATCATTTAGCTCAAAGTTCTTTATCACATTGACTGGTCACAGATTCAATCTATATCAAATAGAACTGATAGATTAGCAGGTTTTATAAGTGATAATTGCAATAATTAATCATCTTTTTCCATGTCAAATTCAGTTTCTTCAACAATCTAAATATCAATCAAGGGTGGATATCAACATCAAATTTATCCTTCACGAAGCATACAGCCTCATCATAATATGCAGTTGAATATGTTTCAAAAAAATCCTTCAAACCTGACAAGATATCCAGTGTGATCTTTGGCTTTACACCTCATGTTGAACAAGGACTTCTAGCAGTTCCAAAGCAGCGAATATTTTGCTGAATTTGATATATAGTGGCCAGATGGCACTCAATGGTCCACGCAATCTAAGCAGGCATATAACCATTATTTAGAAGGCGTACGATCTCATTGGTGGTAAATTCACTGAGCTGGGGGAGAATATTGACAGATTTGATATAAAGGTGCGTATTTGATGATAAAGATGTGTATTTGAATGAATTGAATGATATTTGAATGATTCTAGAGATACATGGATATTTTGGTTATTTTTGCAGTGTTTTGCTAATATTTTTCAGGGGGTGGCAGAAAATTCTGTTTTCGCAAGCTTTACGTCCGCCACAATACCAGCTTACCCAGATGTACGGAGTAAATGGATGTATGTACATGTACTGTACATACAATACATACAGATGTACGGAGTACAGAGGGGAGAAATGAACTCCCAGGCCCAACGACGCAGCTAGAGCGGACTTGAGGCGGCCACTGAAGGCGAAACCCATACCGCGGTCAAGATGCATCCAACATCTTGTTGCTGCCGGCATATCCGGTATATAAGTAAATACTCATGACCCGTGGAGGGCATGATTTCCTCTGTATAGCTAGCTAGCCTAGCCTGGGTGGCTCAGTAGATCACTGTAGGAGTGCTGCAAGAAAACCATTCATTTCATCAGCGGGGCTTCCGCTCTAAATAGAAAGGCATGCGATAGATACGACCGATTACTACGAACGGAGTAGTTGAACTCTGATGGAGCGGAGCATGGAGTTCAACAATCAAAAAGCCCCCAATCGGTCAACAATTCCAAATCTGCTCGCTTTGCCCAACCTTGATCCAATCGACGCCGACGCTAATCATATAAATAATCGTTCAGATCTCTGTGGCTGAGCGGGGAGCAGTCCGCAGTCCACAGTCCGCAGTCCACACAGGCTGCCCATCCTATCACCATCCCCATCGTCGTCGATTCATCATCGATTTGGCTTGGGGAATACGCAGAGCAACGACCAACGAGGGAAAATCAGCCCAACCCTGGGGAAATCGCATACGCTGCCGGTACCGGTGGAAGGGGGAATTACGCACCTGGCTGGCCCGAGGCTTACCGTACATTACATTACATTACATCACCACCTGCGCCGGCCGATCCGCCTCAACCCCACAAGCAAAACTTGCGATTCCTCCTCCTCCTCTTTTCCCTTTTCTTTGTCCTCTTCTTCAATGCTCTATCTCGTCTTCTAGCTGGCCAGGCGATTGTGCTCTTGGCTTAGCCATGCCGCTCTGCCGGGCAGTTGACTGATCAGGCTGAGTGACGGCGAAGCTTCGACCTTCGGAGTCCACCCGTTAACTCTATTTACTGTCTCAGCAGAATATTTGGAATCGGTCTTTATCGTTGTTACTGTTGCAGCCGCCAACTGCTTTCGTTTTCTTCGCTTGATCAACTATGGGCTTGGGCGTCGTCGTACCTTTGATTTGTGCACCGGTTGGTCCATTCGATGTTATCCTCGTCATTCGCTTCCCTGTAACTTATAATATGTCACTAATCTGCCCACTATAGTATCTAGTTACAACGTATGCTCTGGTTCTCTCGATACCCAGATATCTAACCGGCCAGCCGGAGGCTAATTATACTACGTATCTGGATGTATAGAGAATATTTACTCTGGCAATGATATGTACAGTACTATACTCTTCTTGGGCAATGAATGCTTGAAAACGAGCAGGAAACAAAAAAGAGAGTAAGGGATAGACACAGCCACCATGCGTATCCTCTCGTCCTCCATCGCCGAGACGGTGATGCTTGCACTGCTGTCGATATGTGCATTCGCCCTCCTCTCTGCCCCGGTACAGGCGCAGACATCCCAACCGTCCAATGACTCTCAAGATCTCCAAAAGCTTGCACCTAACAGCAATTATCATCTACACACCGGGCTCACATCGCTCGACCCGATCCAGCTGGCGCCATTAACCAGACCTTTGATTGATTTGGTAGGACAAGTTGATCTATACGTCTCTTTTCAACACCCCCCCTCTAAACCCCCCCCACCAAACATGTCACTGCCAGGAAATAGAGTTATTGGCGTTTCTGCCCCGCCACCCGCCACCACCACTCTTCCGCACTGACTGAATTGGCATTGGGCCTTTGGATCACACTGGCTGACCATTGCAGGATTTCAACACCACGGGAACATTAGTGATCATAGATTCCAACAACGCCACCGTACTGAATGGGACCGACATAGCTTTAATTAGCTGTGATGCATCTTCCTATTCTGGCGGTGCCAAACCGGATAGCATCCTACAATCAGCTATCACCGGCGGCCCAAGGGCCATTGTCCTCTACACCACCGAGTTTTCTCACTGCAACTACTCTACAAAAGACGGGGAACTACCCCGGTACCATCCTGTTTTCACCACCACTAATCCCCTCGCTGTCCGCGAGTTAATAGCCAGCCTACGCTCGGGGCAACAGTCCCTAGAGGATGCCACCATAACCCTAGACATGGACGTACGCCAATTCACGTCTGCGGATGAAGGCAGCCAGCGAAATAATGGTGAGTTGTGGTCACAAGAAGAAGACTTGGTGTTACATCTGAATCTTAACCAAACTATTAGTAGCCATGATAATCCTGTACAGCATCACTGGTATCATCACTTCGCTTTTCCTCATCGTCATCGTCACCGGAGCCATCAGAGCCCATCTTAACCCTGATCGTTATGGACCTCGAAACACCGCTGGTCGACCCCGCCAGAGCCGCGCCAAAGGCATTGCACGTGCCATGCTCGAGACGCTACCCATTGTCAAGTTTGGTGACCCGGAGGACGAAAAATCTCCAGCAGCGAAGCAGGACCTTGAGCTCGCGTCCAACAATGCAGATGCTGACCATGATCGGAGAAGTCACGATGAGAGGGCTGATGGTGTCATAACCCCTGACACGCGGCAATTGGACCATCCCCAGCCACAGCAGAAGCCAGTAGAATCAGAGCAGCAGCGGCAGCAAACTGCTCAAATATCTGCGGCGGCTTCGGCATCCTATGTACATATAAATAAGGAACTGGAGCAAGAGGAAGCGGGTGTCATTGGCCCGGCGGCCCTTGAGCCGAACCCTGTCAACCCGGAGCATACGACAGATGGTGGTGCATTGGGCTGCCCCATCTGCACAGATGATTTTGTAAAGGGTCAAGACGTGAGGCTTCTCCCGTGCAAGCACAAATTTCACCCAGAATGCGTTGACCCTTGGTTAATAAATGTCTCCGGGACCTGTCCTCTTTGGTGAGCCTTGCCGCGTTCCAACCTCCCCCAACTCTACGTCCCGTCGCCAATCATATCCATATCATGTACCCCTTTGCTAACTCCTTAACCAACCTACAGCCGCGTAAACCTCAACACCGAAGAACCGGACGTCGACTCCGACGACACCGCAACACAAACCTCTACATCCAGAGCAAGCACTCCCACTTCCCAACCAGCAGCGCAACAACCCAACCACCCTCACCACCATCAATCACGCCGCCTCGATATGCTCCGGAGAATGCAACGGAGCAGCGAACCCCACCAGGCGAACAGCAGCAGCAGCGGTAGCAACATCCACACGATACCGGTATCTGAGCCGTCCTCGTCGTCTATGGTGCTGAGCCAGGGACAGCCGGATGAGGCATCGAGGAGGCATCGGCTATCATCGTGGTTGAGGGAGCGGTTCCGGGTGCGGACGAGGCGGCATGGGGATGATGAAGATGACGAAGATGATGGAGACGATGATGGTGATGGACATGGACATGGCAATGGCAGTGCGACACGGACGAATTTCGGCGCCGGTGCCAGTGCCAGTCCGAACTCCCCCGCCCATGCAGACGGCCATACAGAGACTGCTGCAGATACAACAATCCTTACCACTACTACGACGACGACGACGACGACGACAACGACTACCACCACCAGCACAACTCCTCAACAAACAACAACAAATCCAGCGCCTCCAGAGCTCTGCCACAAATCACCGAGATAGCGTCGGGCGATTGATGCCCTCACTATTTTTCCCGTCCCTCTCCTTCTCTTGCATGATATTAACGCCTCTCCTTCTTGCCGCTTTATTATATTCACCCCCTCCTTTTTGTTTATAGAGGATACCTTGCGAAGCATATGCGATGAACAGCTGAATGAATAAATGTGTTAAAAATTTGGAATCAAATGGGATATATGACTGGATGATTGGGATTTGCATATGCACGCACGTCATGGAATGGGGGCGGGCGTGCGGGTGAATTCTACTTCCATCATCAATGATGATATCAGATTTTGTCTTATGTGAGGTTAACTATTGTTCCGGGTATTAATAACCCCTTAGTTTGGTTTGGTGCGGGTGTTTTGTTTTATTTTGTGTTTATATATCCTTTCTTTCGTATTTCGGCGGGGGCGGGCATTTTATCTTCGTGCATTTCTTGCTATATTTTTTTTTCCTCTTCTCGCTAGACTGTCTAGTTCATGACGATTCACATATATAAATATAATGAAATATGTCCTTACGGGAGGGTTTTTTTATTTATTAAATTGCAGTTGAAGTGGATATAGAATATACTACGTACAGTACATTGGACGATGGAGTAATTCCTTTTGTCTTGCTCTCTCCCTTTCTCTCTATTCGTGTGTCTCCTTTTGCAATGCATACATACCCATCATAGATATTGGTGGGCATCGCTATGCTCCGGGCCAACACTCTCAGTGAAGTAGTCTCCTGTAGACAGATATAGAAAAGTAGATAGGTGTCTGTAGGCCAACTCCTCCATCGACTTCTGATATGTATGTATATATATATATAACACCCTCCAACTTCGTTGATTGACTTGTTATTGACAGTTGTGAAATGTGATAGAATGAATGCCTGAATCGATGCCTCGGTTGAATGCTCACTACGCCTGCTAATAAACAAGTAGTTATACGCCATACACTCGCTCGCGGACCCGGATGGGCTTTTTCTTTTATAAATAAACCTCGTCATCATTATCATCGTCTGCCTCCTCTGCTTTCTTCTTCCTCTCCCTCTCCTGCTTCTGTTCCCGTTCCCCCAGCTGCAAGTGGCTGCTCGCCGTCTCGCCGTCTCGCCGCATAAATCGGCCCAAGCAAATGTCTCCCCCACATGACTTCGCCGCCCGCTCTTCATCCTCCTCGTTCCACCCGCGACATCAACCTCCACGATCCCTCTCTGCCTCCTCTCCACCATCTCCCCCCGCCGCTCCAGCGTCCGTCCTGCATTCAGATCTCGCCGCCCGCTCTCGTCTGTCCAACGTCTCCCGCCACTTAGCCATGGCTGCCCCCGCCAACCCCTCAGTATTCACCGCTGCAGTGGTGCCCCAGGCCCCCGAGGACCCGCTCTTCGGCCTGATGCGCGCCTACAAGCAGGACACATCCGATAAGAAGGTCGAATTGGGCATTGGTGCGTACAGAGACAACAACGCAAAGCCGTGGGTCTTGCCTGTGGTGAAGAAGGTGCGTGGTTGATTGAAGGTCCCTTGCGTAGTAGACTCATCTACTAGCACATATACTACCTTTTTTGCTATCAAACTGCATGCGGGGTATCTGTGGATGGGCTTTGACGAAGTCGATGGATATATAAAATACTGACTGAGTGACTGACTGACTGCTACGTATAAAACAGGCCGATGAGATCCTGCGCAACGATCCGAATCTAAACCATGAATATCTCCCCATTGCTGGTCTGCCTGAGTTCACCAGCGCTGCTCAAAGGCTGATCATCGGCGCAGACTCACCCGCCATCAAGGAAAATCGAGTAAGTCCTGTACATGTTGCATCGATGCAGCACACGCATTGCGTCTGAAAGGAGGAGAGTGAAGCTTTGTTTTTTTTTTTTTTTTAAAAAAAAAAAAAGAAAATCTAACTGATCCCAGGTCATATCCCTTCAAACAATCTCCGGCACCGGTGCCGTCCATCTCGGCGGCCTCTTCCTGTCCAAATTCCACCCCTCCCAGCCGAAACCAACAATCTACCTCTCCTCCCCCACCTGGGCCAACCATACACAGATTTTCTCCAATGTCCACCTCCGCACTGCCACCTACCCCTACTTCTCTCCGGCCACCAGAGGCCTCGACATCACCGGCATGCTCGATGCCCTCCGCGCCGCACCTCGGGGCTCCATCATCCTTCTCCACGCCTGCGCCCACAACCCCACCGGTGTCGACCCAACCCAGGACCAATGGAAGCAGATCGCCGCCACCATGCGCGAGGCAGGGCACTTCCCCTTCTTCGACTGCGCGTACCAGGGCTTCGCCTCCGGCGACCTCGCCCGCGATGCCTGGGCGATTAGCTACTTCGTCTCGCAGGGCTTCGAGCTGTGCATCGCGCAGTCCTTCGCAAAGAACTTCGGCCTGTACGGCGAGCGCGCGGGCGCGTTCCACTTCGTCGCCGCGCCGGGCCCACAGGCGCCCGCGGCGGCCGCGCACGTGGCGTCGCAGCTGGCCATCCTGCAGCGGTCCGAGATCTCGAACCCGCCCGCGTACGGCGCGCGCATCGCGGCGCGGGTCCTCAACGACCCCGCGCTGTTTGCGGAGTGGGAGGCCGATCTGCGCGCGATGAGCGGCCGGATCGTGGAGATGCGGCGCGGCTTGCGCGAGCGGTTGGAGCGGCGCGGCACGCCGGGCAGCTGGGACCACATCACGAGCCAGATTGGCATGTTTAGTTTTACGGGCCTGAGTGAGGCGCAGGTGCAACGGCTCAGGGAGAAGTGGCATGTTTATATGGTGGGTCTTCCTCCTCCTCCTCTTCTTCTTCTTCTTCTTCTTCTTCTTCTTTTGCTCCTCCCCGCCTTCGTTTCCTCGTTCATTCCCCCCTTTTTCTTCCCTTGACTTTGCCTGGGTCCTTTTGGTATGCACGTCTCATACATACATACATACATACATACATACATACATACATACATACATACATACATACATACATACATATCCCTTCGCTAACGAGGAGAGAACTGGCGTTGCAGACGAAGAACGGCCGTATCTCCATGGCGGGGCTGAACAGCAACAATATCGATTACTTCGCAGAGGCGGTCGATAGCGTCGTGCGGGAGGTGTCGTAACTAGTTGATGGGTAGCTTAGTTAGTTAAGGAGTGAAGGGGTTGAAACGTTGGAAAGAAAAGCAAAATAAAAACTCAACGTAAACAAAAAAATCCGATATTAAAATATCAAAAAGCAAAACAAAAAAAATAAAAATAAAAAATAAGAATAAAAATAAGAACCGGAACGAATTTATTAGTAGCTATACTAACTATTTTAGTTGATCGGTTCCGGTTCTAATAACCTCTAAACAGAGGAGGTTGGAGGGAGAGGGAGGAATAGTAATTGAAGAATAAAAAGTGGACATGATATGGTTTTAAGGTTTTTTTTTTTTTTTTTTTTTTTTGATAAAGGAAAAAAAAAGGACGGTCTCTTAATTGATGTTGATGGTATTCAGTGCATATATTCTGACAAATGCACAGCTAAGACCTCTTCTAATTGATTGACAGTTGACTTGGCATTTGTGGATGTGCAGTTCTCTGATTGATCAGTGATTTACTCTATCAGTTTTTTCATTCATTTTTTAATTTGAGATAATCTGATTCATCTGCATGCATTCAGATGCATTCAACACATCAGATCAAGGTCTTTAATATATTGCTGTTGAATTGTTATATATTTTAATACAATATTCATCTTTTCTCTGTCATCTTATCTACAGCTTTACTAATACTCTTGATATATGGAAGAAATATATTTTCTGATCAATGATAAAAAAGACAATGATGAACTGTTCTAAGTGCTGATCATCAATCTTTAATATTGAGTTAATAAGAGATCAACTTTCTCAACTTTTTTTTTATTCTGCTTCAAAATTATCATTGTTTTTCTTCCTTTATTTTATACTGCTTAACTGCTTAAAATATCTTTTTTAAATTCATATTCACAATATATGAGACAATATGCCTTACATTGCAGTTATTCACTTTTATGAGATCTGTTTGATATAATTTTTATTCAAATTTGATATTAAATATTATGATTCTTACGAATCTGCTCTCTGTTCAATTATTATTATTATTATTATTCTTTCATTATAGATGTATGCAGTCAGTGACTATGACATTTATCTGAAATACTTCAGAATTTTTCAACTTAAGAATAAGATAATATACAAAGCCAATTTAATACATGCAATAGCAAAATTCCAGCCCAGAATTAAACAACTATTCAAACTATTCAATTTAAGAAAGAATATCAAAAGAATGACAACAGATCAATATATTCAAGTTTAAAATAAATGAAATAAAAAGTATAAAAAACAGCAGCTATTAAAAGAAAAGAAAGCATTCACAGATCAAACTTTTCAAAACAAGTCAAAATCAAATATAATCAAAATGAAATAAATTTCAAAGCTACAGAACAAACCTCTGCAGTTTACACTTTAAGTTATATACATATTTTAACACTTTATATAACCGGCTGCCGCCTCTGTCCTCTCAGGCCATCATTAGGGGTTATCATTCCTTCTAGAGCGCCGCCGCCCACCCTGGTTCTTTAACTAACCTATCTAAGTGGGATCCTCACTAAGAATAACGCCAGAGCTACCCAGTTCTAGTTAAATCCTCCGACCTTCCGGCTGACAATCTCGGCATTCCAGCCTATCAATTGGCCGTCACGGCCTTGCTTGCACTAACCACAATCATTGAATGATGTTGATGTTGATCCTTGATCACTGATTTTTACACATGAACAGTTTTATATGATGTTATCACAGATAATTGATGTTGTCTGAATGATAGTTATTTTGAAGCAGAAAACTGACAGAATCATATCAAATATCATTTACTCAGAAATGTTTAAATATATTATTTCTTCAATATCTGACTTTGAAAATTGCTTTTTCTAATCTTTTATATAATTTACAGTGTCACTTCTGATGAAGATACAACAATCTTTGTTCAATATTACAACTTTGAACATACAGTATTTTTTCAGAGTGACTTTGCAGATGAAAATGATCAATTGTATATTGATTATAATGATAATAACATGTGTATAATAATATTCATAACAGATTTTCTGCATGTTTAATTCAGTGATTCTTCAGCTGATAAGTATGAAGCAGTCTTTATCAGCATAATAAATCCTTACATCAATGTGATGAAAATAATAAAGAAAATTTCACTTGAAACAAATGATGTCTGTATCTTTACTCTCAGAATCAATGCTTGTCATGACAAAGATTTTTATAAATTTGATTTTCATTGTGTAATTCATTTTTGAGAGCCTTTTGAGCAGGAAACAGCTCTTTCTGATGCAGAAACCAGCTGTCCCTTTTGCATTTGCAGTCCACACTGCTGACCCCAGCTAAACTGCAACATTTATATAAACCCATACCTCTTGCTGTTCTAACGACCTCGCTTCTTTGTCATTTTACCCTCGCCCTTCCCTCGCCTTTATTCAACCACGCTCGCCAACGCTCGCCAACGCTCACCCACACTCGCCCGCGCTCGCCCGCGCTCCCACTCAAGCCCATCTAGGTCGTGCGTCCGGGCCCTGAAATCTTATCTTTGCTCTCCCCCTCACCTTGTGCTCTCTACACTACACTCATCTTCTGTAGAATTTCCCACCCTTCCTCTTCTGATCCCATGCTATGCTCTTTACATTCCTCTGCCTTTACTCCCTCTACAGTCTCTTGTCATCAGGCCATTTAATCAATCTCAATATCTGACTGTGTACTCTAAATAATGCAAAATGCATTTATCACTTTCATTGTGCAGATTCTATCAGACTCTCTCTCTGTTTTCTTGACATGCATTTTCTGATGACTAGGCCCGGCCTTGCATCTCTGTCTAGTGGGGTTTTCTCCATTTCTCCAGTGGCAGAGGCATGATGGTATGTCACAGTGAAGGGAAGAAATTTCTCTGCATATTCAATCCTCACAGCATGGCTGATGAGGTGATGTGGACATCATTTCAACATGAATGAACTTTTGATCACACTACGATTATCTTTTGATCAGTAGTATGATGCTGAATCAACAACAATGAAGGCCTTCACTGAAGATTGAAATTCAGCCCTGATATCCTGGCACTAAAATCAAGCAAGAGGAAGAGGATTGTCTGAAATTGCAATGTGATGTTGAAATCACTCACTTTTACACTGCATACACTGAATGTTTTAATTGAATGAATTGAGAAATTTATTCAAATACTAAAGATTTTTTCTTATATGACAGGGAAGTGCATTGAAGTGCTAGAGAACATATGATAATCAGATTAAGAATGCCATCAGTTGATGCTACAATCTGAGAAATAAAAAATAAAAGAGACTGCAATTCATCTGCACTCACTGCAGAATATAACAACTAATATCATAACATAATGAATGATGCACAATTTCTCTTTTATTTTATCAAAATTTGATCAGCTTTTGAAATGTGGGATATTGAGTTTGTTTAAGATGATGAAGCAGTTGAAAAACTGTGAGCAATAATCAGATTCTATATAAATTTTCATTCATTTCATAATGATATCTATACTGCTATGTAGCTGCTTTCTCAGTCAAAATTGCTATTCTTGATTTGTCTTCCATTCTCTGCGGATGTTAATACTACATCTGTTATTCAACTCATCATCAACTCAATCACTAATGTTGTAAGTTAAATATTTATATTATATCAATCAATGATTTCAGCTGAGCTGTGTTAGCTGAGAGTTAAAATAAAGTTATTAATTTTACTTCATTAATAATGCATCAGAATATTCTGAGTGTTACATTTGAATATAAAGTTTCAATAAATCAATAGTTGTTAATTTATTCATCTGTGTCAAAGTTTCTACATTGTCAGCATTCTTTATATAAAATAAGTCAGCTGTGAGATCTTGCTGAGACTTTAATTTTAAAAATTGAAAAGCTATTTCAATGTGCTTCTTTTCATTTTGAAAGTTTGAAAAACTGAATTTCTCTTCCCTCCTAAATGATTCAAGCCTTTTACAATCCTTTCAAAAGCATTGTCTATACCATTTCACTATTCCACATCACTGACTAAATGGCCGCCTCATGTCATTCCTTCATTTCAATTCAAACGCCACAGCACCAGGCACAAAATTTCAGCAGATGCTGATTTCTCATACTCAGCAATCTACAATCAAGAAATGAGTTGATAAAAATAAGAAGTCAGTCAATAAAAAGTTTTTTAAAATATTTAAAAATCAAATAATCAATTCAAATATGAAGGCAATAAACATTCAGAATCAGCATCTAAATTTGTATATCAATGTAAATGACAATGATTGAAATTCATTATATCATCTCTTTTATATTAATGATTTTAATCTATCAGATATATTGATGTTCATAATTATGAATAAACAATTCTCTAATTATGAAAATGATGAGAAAAGCAATATTAATTTAAACTCACAGCACAGTGGCTTCTGCAACAACAGTGACAGTGATGTAATCAATATCAATTCAAGTAAAGATATATCAGAGCAGAATTGCAGAAGAGATGATGTGAGATCTAAACTCTGAATTCTAAATACTAAAAACAGTAAAAATATGTTTTTTACTCCTTTAATTTCTTTAGTTTCTATCATTCACTTCATTCTCATTTGGGTTCTTATAAATGTGTCTAACATTCATCATCATTGATGATGATGTCCGGGATCTGAGTGATGATGATCAGATCCCAATTTCCAAAACCGCACCAAGTACATGCAGCTTGGCACCCAGTGTCAGAAGTGATGATGAGTCCGGCTCTGAGGGTCAGACCCCACCACCACCAATGTTGATTGAAGATGGCGGAGTGACAACAGAGGAGTGGTTGGTTGATGAGATCTTGGTGGGGGATGATGACTGAGGGATGCGGTGGTACTTGGTGAAATGGAGAGGCTACGACCCTTCTTGGCAGCCTGAACATGATCTGATCCCTGGATGTGAGGAGTTGGTCAATGAGTTCCACGCCAAATCGGGGAAGGTAGAGAGAGAGTCACGGATCCCTTAAGCGGCGTGGGAGACCACCTTTGAGGAACCGCTCCAAGAAGGTGTGGTTAACATTTTAGCAACAATTTGTTCTTGTATTGATTCAACTTGTTCTCATCTCATTTTTGCGTTGGATAAATGTCTAATGATTCTCCATTTCGCGGATGCCGGTCGCATAAATTCGAATATCTACGTAGGAAGACAGGGCTGAGGTCGGCGAGCTGAAGCATCAATGTCAATGTTCAATATGCTATACCATCCCTTCAGAATGGAAAGCCCTCCTGTGCGGACACCGGTTCTGCCCAATCCCCGAAAACATTCTCGGTAAGCAAGGATGAACTCCAGTGTCGGCGGATCTAACATAACTTTAGATGCAGTAAATTACGGGAGGGAGAATGCTATCCAAAAATTAATTCTCCTTCTTCATAAGGAACACCAGACCTTGCTATACAACGGAAATGGGTGCAGCTTTGAATGCAGGTCAATCATGTATGGTGCTCTCACACTGAAGATGCAATCAAATGAATTGTACTCACCAAAGCCCAAGGCTCCTTTCCCGGGGTTGAGTTACAACGGACTCGTGCAGAGGGTGCTTTCGTTTAAATCGCCGAAATACCGTTCGCGCTCAGGTTATTATGACTGCCACACTTGCCTCCATTCCTCCTTTAAATCCCTTTTTGGCCCGTTGGATGAAGGTATCGGAGGGCTTGATCTCTGCTTTTATATATCCTAAGAACTGGCAGATTCCTTGCTTTGATTATTTGGTCCCACAAAGAGCTGTTGTCTTCGTTGTATTTATCACCATCAATACTTAGTAGTTGGCGGATTGACGTACAACGAATGCTCCATGTTGTCGAGTACCTAAAACTCGTCCCATAGAAAAAGGACCATCTCATCAGAATATAAACAGGGCTTTTCAAGTAAATTATCGCAAAGAACTTGGATCACAAGGGGGCACCTTTATTTAGCAGGGCTGTCATGCTGCCAAAAATTCGAATATTAGAGCGATGCCTTTTAATAGATCGTTCGTTTATGACACGGTCTCAGCCATGTGAATTCATCACTCACTATCACTTGAGATATCAGCTGGTAGTGTACTGCAGCGCTTTCTGTTGTTGTTCCCCACTCAACATCTAGGTGTTTTTTATACTGAGGAGTAAAAGCACAGAAGTATTCTGAGTACATTTTGAGATGTCCCACATGCCCCGCCTTTTCTCTCTCTATTTTTTTGGTTTTTTTATTCCAGTTCTATCGCCACAAACTTATCTATCCCTTGTTACAGACGTGAGTTATAATTCTGCTTAGCATCTTCAGGCATATATTAATAAGTTGATTAGACAGTATTTGAGAAAGGGAACAGTTCTCCCCACCCATCTTGCATCATCATCAACATGGCCTCCGATAAAGATGACACGGAATCAAAAGATACAAGGGAATTCGAATTCCTTTCAACAATTGATAGCGATGCTAAAAGAGATTTGGATGAGTTAGCAGAGTGGTTTCGGGCGGCAGAAATGGTCACCCAGGGGAAATTTTACAAAATTAAACAGTAGACACATTATGCCCTCAAGATTGATCTCTCCAACAAGCTCTTGTGGGTTCCACTTGAGTTAAAGGTCAACAAGTTCATCAAAGGTTAGATGTTCGTCCAAGCGCTTTTCTACATATCAACCCTCCATAAACTGTTGTGCGGGGTCACGCTCGGAAGAAACTGGTGTTGGAATGTCAACGGAGCCTAGAAAACTGGGCTTTGTACAATAGAGATATATATGTATAATAAAAGGAGTTGCGGTTCTCACAAATCATGTCCATCCTCACTCTTACTCGAATGCATGCTATATCAAAACACAAACAAAAAGCAAGTCACGCTACAATACGCTATCAATATATACACCGAATCAGCATTAGTTTACAATGTCTGGGTTATTTTCCGCATCTTGAAGCGTTTCAACCATGTTCCGGGATAGATTGGAATTTTCTTTCTTCCACCGTCCGCCGTCTGGAAAGACAAGGCGCCGCAACCGGTTGACGCAAGGGATCAACGATTGATAGTAGGGCGTGAAATAGTCTTCAGCAAGTCTGAGAAAATCACCCTCATCACTTATCACTCCTTTTTTTGCGCGAGCCAGCTCTCCAGTATTCATATAATTCCATTTCTCAAACTCTTCAACACTGCTCCCCTTGCCACGGCCGTCATAGTGAATGCATATCCAGAACAGGACCCAGAAGAACGACTCTAGATCATGCATGAAACAATGCTTTTCACCGTACAAAACACCGATGGCCATGAACGCCCTGGTGCCAGTCTTGCCCCGTGCGCCGGAAGACCCATCCCGTTGTACCTTGATTGCCAGGTCAAGGTCGATCAGAAAGGCAGGCCATGAAGGATTGTCCTTGTCCTCATTCACCATCAGATTGCGGGGGGAAACATCACATTGGATGAGGCCAGCCTCATCATGGAGCGACATGTATCCTTCAATGCAGCCGGCTAGTCCAGTGAGAAGTGTGGCCTTCGAGCTACTCTCATAGATTGGTTTCCCATAATCCCGGATAACGACACGGCGGTGAACTCGATTGAATGGGGTAGAGCGGCCGGCAAATTTGGACGGAGAACTTGACTGGAAACGTTTACTGGGGGGAGGAGGAAATGCTGTATCCACGCAGTCAGAGGATCGCTTCTGGCCGGCGGTGCTGCTCTGGCTCTTTTGTCCCCTTTGAGACCTACTACGCTGCACTGTCGCCTTAAAGCCACCCCTCTCATCTTGCGAAATCGGAATACTGAGGCCCTTTCGGATAGCTAAGACATCATCATCCTTGTCGTCAATGCGAACGGTCTCGTGGTGATAATACCTCGCAACATTCTTGACCCCCTTCGCCATCGCCTCTCGCAGCAACTCTCCTTCCTCAGTGCGTTCCGGATACTGCCAGGAGTCCTTGACAACCAGCGGCGTCCGTGATTTGTCTGTCTCACAATATGCCTTCCAGCAGGTTGTGGCTCGCCCGGCAACACAGCATGCTCGTCCAACAATCCCATCGATAATCAGCCGTTCCTTCGTACCGTTCTTTTCAATCTCGATATAGCGTTCGGTCCCGGTCGCGATGATGGTGGGATCAAACCCAAGTTGCTTCCGGCTCATCAAGAGGAATCCAAGGATAACAGACACAAATTGAAGGCCGTCCTGGTTGATGTTGAATTCCTCCGACGCAATCCCGCCCAGGCGGTCAAAGTTCCATAGTCGCAGGAATGGCCCGCAGAGAGTGAACCCGAGCACGAAACAACGGGTGTCCTGCGCAGCAAGGACCTCTCGGGCGTACCTGCCAAGATCAAACCATGTTCCAGATTTCCTGTCGTATTTCGGGTCGTTCTTCAGCTCCCCTGGCACAAGAATCTGCGACCAGCGGCATCTGGAGTCCTCTGTGGCCGTCATATCATCGACAAAGCCGATATCGAGCTTTCTCTCCGCGACAGACCCTTGTAGTGGCTGGCTTGGCTGTGCGAGAGGTCTGCGGTCGATCTTCCATGACAGTTCTTGTGCTTCGGCGAATCGTACAAGCTCAGCAATGATGTTAGTCAGCCATGTCAGAACATCTCGTTCTGCCGCAAGTTCAGGCCAGCCTTTCCAGCCCTTCTCTTCACAGTAAAGTGGGCTGTCTCCCTTCTCACACTCTTTCAACACCGCTTGTGAAATTGCAGTGAGTTGTGGAATGTCTCCAAAGTACGCGTCAAAGAATTTAGGGATGTCAACATGTATCTCTCCAAGCTCCTCCTTCAGCACAATGTCAACGTGCTTTCGATATTCTGTAGAATTGACGAAACTGTTAGTGTTGCGCAGCCAGGGCGTCTGTTGGATCGATGATGTAGGATGAGAAGGAGGAGGGGGAGTGCCTCGCGAGACAGCGTCAATAAGAACAAAGACAGCGTTCCAGATGTTGAAGTTCCAGGTTTCGACGTTCTGGGATTCAGTGGGGGGAAACCTTTGGATGACCAGATGTACCAGCCGGCTGTAGTGGTTGTAGCCGAAGTTGGCCCGCTGAAGGCTCGTAAACAGATTTGCTATATCAGAAGCCACATTTCCATCGCTTGCTCGTGAGCGCATATTGAGCGCCGCTTCCTCTCCCTGTAAAGCAGAGAGGAGTTTTGAAATCGCATTTCGATAGAGCTGGTCCTGGCTCTCATCAGCGCCATCAGACTCATATTGTCTTTTGGCTTCCTGAAGCGCGTCTCGTAAAGGATCGACTAGGTTGGCTAGAGGATGGTTCTTGATAATGTTGCGATCTTCTTGTGAAAGTCCCGCCATTTAGACGGCATAAAAGACCGTTGGGTAGGTGTGAGGTTAATCAGGAGTTGTAAGGGAGTTAAATTGGTATGCTAATTTATGTCAGAATTGTTACGAAGTTATGATGTATCATACTTGCGAGAGAAGATAGCTCGCTAGGAACAGACGCTGATATATAGAATTGTGGTCAAAGGGTTGACCCGGCTTGGCTGTGATGCAGAACGCGAATGTAGGAACGGGTAAGATTAATCCTATTCGATCGCGACGGAATGGTAATACGCGCGAACAAAATAGGGGGATTGAAATCGTATTTTGAGGAAGGCGGGTTATTCCCATTTATTAGGATTAAAACCGGCCAACCCGTCGTGTTGCGGGATGTGGTCTGCCAGGGAAGAAGAATCAGGTATTAGTAATCAATGGACTTAAAGGTTTTAGGCACTGTTGTATCTATCAAGAGAGAAGGAATATATTGATTATCTCAAGCCTGGACTGAAAGGCTGAGCAGGGTCCACGCTTTACCCACTCAATCTTGAGGACGAGTTCGCGTCAGAAAATGCAACGCGAAGCCATAAATCTAAACCTCCATCTTCGTTCTCTCACAAATTGCCAGCAGCCGTAAAGTGGCATAGTTCAGAATCTTTTACATATTTAATTTCTTGCTAGACATGGTATCTGGCATTTCGTCCGGCTAATGGAGTTGGGACATGTGGATTGTTTTGCGATGGGTATGCAGAACTATTGTGATTTTTATGTTTACTTTATCACCAAGCACAGAGGGGTTAATTGAGCAAAGAAGGCAAATATATAGCTGCACCAAGATAACACAATAAATTGTCACTCTTTTTCAGGCTGCAAAGTCTGACTCTGCCATCTCCTCAAGTTGTCTATATAAAGGTACGTCTCTTCTTGGACATATTGAATGCTTCAGCAGAGCCCTTTTCACTCTGCTGAGTTACTGAAGCACCTGTGGCAACATTCTGCAAACCATCAGCCTCTTCCAATACAGATGTAAAATTAGAGCCTTGAATATCAACACCTCTGACACCTTGCAAAAGTTCAGTTGATTCTGAGAAACTCAGCTTTGATTGATGTAATACTTCAGATTGCTGTAATATCTGTGACGCCTGCGACACCTCAAAATTTACCTGGGGCAGTTCATCAATAGCGGAGCATATTTTTTTAAAATGAGAAGGTGCCCAGTCATTGTACACATTCATAGAGAATTTGTAGAATGTCCATTTCTCTTTGCCATCAAATGAGGTGAAGTTGAACTTGTGAATGGCATGTCAGTAGTATGTAGTCTTCCCTCCCTTGATCATAAACTAGTGGCCATAGATTCTCACGGAACAGTGATTATGTGAAATTGAAAAGATCAGAATTTGTTGATGTAACTTTTTTTCACACTTCACAGCTCTTGTGAGGGGTGATGACAGTGTGAAGAGTGAATAGTAGAAGATAGTATATAGTGTAGTGGAAGATAATAGTAATAATAATTATGGTAGTAGTATAATTGAAGTTGTAATTGTAGCTAATCGCTAAGGAGGAAAAGAAAGAGAAAGAAGATGTGCGAAATACATATCCATATATATATATATATAGAAATAGTGGTAGCGAGAGTATAATGGAAAGAGGTAAGAATAGACGAAGATATAAACAAAGATAATATAATAATAAGGAAATAATAAACGAGTGCATTACAGCTCTGAAGAGCTTGACAATTTCTTTTATTGAAAAAACTATACTGTGTATATTTTGTTGATCTGTTATATTGAATGCCATCTTTCTGCACTTCACTTTAACTGTCATAAATGGAAAGTACATGTATGCAGTACTCATAAAGAAAGACATATCATCAATTTCATTGACAAATAATGCAAGCTTTTTCAATCAAGCTTCAGAGAAACATTGTCAGAGAAATCTGACTGTATAATCAGATTATGACTGAGATAATTGAAATTGTTGAGATTGTGAAAGATGTGGAGTTTGTGCACGTGATTCAAAGGTTGCTTGAGCTGTTCAAAGCTTCTAAGCTTTGCAGCCCTTCTTATACGAATTAACTAGTGCGGTAGCGTACGCCATCCTTGATAATAGGGGGTGGCGTACGCCACGGAAGAATAATAAGCCGAATTTACTACATGCAGATGATGACAATCATTGATTCTCATCTAAAGAAATTAAGCTATCTCAGCCTTTATTCACACTAACAATCAAATGTGGAAATATGACATGACTGAGGTTGATTGCACTCTCTGCTGATGGAATGATTAATTCATTTATGATGTGAATAACCCCAGTTTCATTTTTCTTTTGTAGCCTTTGACATGTAAATTCAAAGACACATTGTTCAAACACAGTTTATTTGAAAATCTTGGAATTTGCATTCAGTATTTGACAACAGATAGACTTGCTGTTTCAATCAATATCATCATCATAATCATATATAAAATAGCTTTTAATCTTCAGATATGTATTATATAATTTTTGTTAGTATAAAATCTACTCTTCACTTTAATTTTTATTTTTGTTTTTATTTTTATTTTATTACTTTTACTTTAAAATTTATTTCATTTTGATTATTTTTGATTTTGACTTGTTTTAAAAAGTTTGATTAGTGAATGCTTTATTTTCTTTTAATAGCTGTTGTTTTTTTATAATCTTTATTTCATTTATTTTAAATTGAATGTATTGATCTGTTGTCATTCTTTTGACATTCTTTCGTAAATTGAATAATTTGAATAGTTATTTAATTCTGGGCTAGAATTCTGCTATTGCATGTATTAAATTGACTTTGTATATTAACTTATTTTTAAGTTGAAAAATTTTAGAATACTTCAGATAGATGTCATAGTCACTGACTGCATATATCTATAATGAAAGAATAATAATAATAATAATGCAAGCATCTTCACATCAACAGCATCTAGCTTTGTTGAATTAGACTTTGAAATTTTTAAATATATTCATTAAGATTTCATTAAGATGTTTGCTGAAGATTAATTGTGTCATTCTTTTTATAAAGAGATGAAACAATTTTGCTGAGTGAATGTTACAACAATCTCCGTAAAACACTTTCAAATTGATCAAGATTCATTAACACTAATCATCACTTTGTTGATCACTGAAGATGTTAATGAAATGAGTAAGCAATCATCTCAATTCTTGAAATTTACTATATTAAATGAGCTGCTGCATCTGTTGAAGATTTCATCATCACTTCACATCTCTGAATTAGCATCTTCTTCTGCAGAGAGTGAAACAGCAATGAAATCTGACACAGATAGCAGTAATTTTGACAATTTGAATGATTTCATTGATTTTTTTTCTGATTTTAATTCTGAATACTAACTTTTCTTCTGATGCAGAGGACCTTAAGAACAAGAAAAAGAATTGTATTAAAATCAAAATTAAATAGATAGTGAATAATTAACTCAGTATAGATTCTTTAGAAGTATCTATATAGCAGATCTTTTTCAATAAAAGAATTAAGAATTGAGATGATGTTTAATAAATCAACTGACTCAACAAATGAACTTCTTAGAAGAGACAGATGGAAGGATAGAACATTTCTGTATATAAAGCATCAAAAACAATTGTAATATGTCAAAAGACAAACTACTACTGTTTCATGCAGTAGAGGATGTTATCTATCATATCATGTATATATAGGGAAAGTCCAGTAGTTGACAATGTAGTACAATTTAACAAGAGAATGGCGCCGCGGCGACACCGCGGCGAAAGAGTTGCTTGTATCTATATATAAATATAATCTAATATCTTTGCTCTGCTCTGCTCCTCTGTTTTGCTGGGTGGCGAAGATAGCTTCCTTGCTGCCTTCTTTAAATGTTGATATGATAGTTATGATTAGGATTAGATTGGGGCGGAATACTAGCAAGCAAGAAGAGCTGGCAGATGGAAGTAAGTATACATACATATATCCCTGAATAGAAATAGAAGCCAGGTCAGATGAAGACAAGACAAGCGACGAGAAAATAAACAAGAAATAAGAAAAAGAAACACGAACCCGTCACAGGGAGTTAAAAAAAAAAAATGAAAAAAAAAAATAATAAAAAATAAACGTACGGCAATGCAACATAAAACGCCGGGGTATGTGCTGTCGTAGCTCTATATATATACTGGTACACACGCATATGGTTCTGTATCTTAGAAATTTCCCCCTTTTTTCACACTTACGAGGAAAGGCTCCCGCTCCCGCTCCCGCTCCCGCTCCCGCTCGGCCCAGCATTAGAAATCAAATCCATCCATAACTCCTTCTCCTTCTCCTTCTCTCTCGCCATGGTGCCATTGACACCGCCGCCTCCATTCCCATTCCCATTCCCATTCCCATTCCCATTCCCATTGCCGCCACTCGTACCCCCAACCCCTGTCGTCATCTCCCTCCCCAACTCCTCCTCCTCCGCAAACATCCGCTCCCTCATCCACCCCACAATCCGCGCACACAGCGGATCCACCCTCTCCATCCACGCCCACGCCACAGCATACAACACCGCATAGAACACCGGCACCGCAACCACAAACGTCGCCGTGCCCCCCCTCCGCAGCTGCGCGGGACTCCCATCCTGATTCTTCCGCCCCCACTCCTCCGCCGACGCCGCCGACGCCCCGTACACCATCCACACCAGCAGCGAGCGCAGCAGCGTGTTATGCAGCAGGTAGACGGGGAACGAGCAGCGGCCGAGGAAGTTGAAGAGCGGGTGCGTGAGCAGCCGCCGCGCGTTGCGCGAGAAGAAGACCCCCGTCATCAGCACCGTGCAGCCGACGTTGACCCAGTAGCGGCCGATGAAGCGCTCGGCGTGGACGGGCGTGATGCTGAGCATGAGCCGGCGCATCGCGAACGACCAGCCGGTCCACTGGTGGTTGTCCTGTGGGAAGGAGCAGATGAGCAGGCCGACGAGGATGAGGAGGGCCGGGAGCGGTTTGGGGAGGGTGGAGGTTGCGCGCGAGCCGTAGGTGGCTTGGAGGTGTGCGAGGAGGAGGCCGGAGTTGATGTTTATGCCGACGATGTCTTGGGGCGGGGTGGGTTAGCCCTTTTTTTATTTTTATTTTTATTTTTTTTTTGTGATATATACAGATATATATATAATATACCATATATTTGGCGCGCATATAGAGGCAATATAACTTACAGTCGCTTGTGCACCATGAGAAGATGTACAGGAACACGATGATGGTGATTCTCCACCGCGCCCTAACCAGCGCTGTCGCCAACAGCGTCAGATAGATCCTCATCGAACCGCTTAGGAAGAAAACAATAGTCCAATGGACGGGATCGTAGGTGCCGTCCCCATTGTTCCAAAAGAACGTCCAGTTCCTTAGCAGCGCCTTGACCGCCAGCCAAAACGTCGGCCCTGGGGTTTTGGCCACCATCCGGATCCACGGCGCATCAGCCCTGCGCGCAATATTGAAACCGCCCAACTGGCAAACGGTCCATGCCACGGTTGCTCCGATGTTTGTCGGGAAAAACAACCTGCCCGAGCGGGTGAAGGTCGACTTGGCCAGGTTCGTCAGGGCCAGCTCGGTGTTTCCGGCCTGCATATTCTTGATGGGGTTGATGGAGTTGACGAAGCCGGTGACGAGGAAGAAGATGCAGACCGCTGCCCGGCCGCCGACGCAGAGGCGGATGATGGGGAGTTGGAAGAGCAAGGGCCGGCCTTCCTGAGAGGTGGAGGGGGAGTGGAGATATGGGGCGAATGCGGTCAGGATGTGGCCGGTTACGACGATGAAGGAGGCGATTCCGCGCAGGCCCTGGGAAATGTTAATTTGGGGACGGGAGGGGTTTGGGGTGTATTGAGGTATAGATATATCTGTAGATATATATATTTCGCAGCTACAAGAAAAGATCTCGTAGGAAAACGTACATCGATCCAGTTATCATCGCGCCTTTTCGGAGGAACCATGACTGCCGCTGCCGGGGAACCGGTGGATACGGATGCCTCTGCCCTTTCTGATGTCGAGAGAAGTAAATTCGAAGCGATTTGACTTGCATGAGAAAAGGACGGAGATGAATATGGATACCAAGATATGGCCTCTTGGGGGAATTACACGCAGCAGCCAACCACTGCACGCCGTTTTGTCCCCTTTAGTACATGGAACGAATGGTATCAACTCGATATGTATATATATATATATATATATATATGTATATATATACTATTCGGGATACAGGGAGAAACGAAGAAAGGGCCAGAGGAGTTCAGAGTATCCCCTCGATGCTAAGGAGGGAGAAAACTGAGCCCGAAAAACTGGGCTTTTGTAAATACTAAAGGCCGGATTTCGAGAGGGAGAGCCGATGAGCGAACGACAAAAGCGAAGGTGGAGAGAAAGGAAAAAGCAACGAAGAGGCGTTACCCGCCGCTATGTCTTCTTAGAAAATTGTCGTTCTGAACAGGAAACTCCAGGGAACAACATTGCAGCGGACAGCGTTGTCTCAATCTCCATAACTAATAACAAGCCAGAGAAGACAAAATTGAAGGAGGGAGGCCAAGGAGGCCACTCCTGTAAGAAAAGTGGAGAGGACGGCATGGATGAAGCGAGAAGCATTTCGCCAGAACTGCTCCCACCAAGGCTGTTTCGTACCCAAACCAAACCAAGAATCAAGAAAGGGGGCAAGGAATTGACTTGACAAGGTTTTCCACCGCCAAGTCGTCCGGCCGCAAAGTGTTCTTTTTAACTGGGGCGGAGGCGGCACGGAGGCGTGCCAGAACATGTAGCGGACCAAGTGGATGATAGCTGGTTGGCTGCATTCAGGAACAGACCGGGTCATAAGGGCACCGGTCTGCTTGGCGGGCAGTTTGTGCGACGCCACGGTATTCTTCGTGATACTTATCTGGCATTGAGAGATGGCTGACGGTGGCGGAGGGAGGAGAGAGAGGCTCTCATGGGGGTTTTATACGGAGTAGGGTACTTCATCGTCTCAGCTGTGGGATAATTCTTCTGTTGAGGCGTTGGGTGGGGGATCGGGCGGAGGATCATACATCCCATGGGCGGATGGGGAAGATGCGGAAGAAAGAGGAAATGATATTCAGGAACAGAGTTGAGCAAGTTAAGAGGGCAGACAGAATGGAGACTTAAGAAGAAGCATGTTTGCTGGCCGTTGGTGAAGATTTCAAGTTATGGTGTGGTGTTGGATGGGCGGGTTAGGGTTAGGGTTAATACTTAGCTAGATACTACTAGGTACGGAGTACAAGTTCTGCATGTACTATGTGGTATTGTAGCTCGACGCCAGATTGTCAAAGAAGCAGGTCTCGGGTCTTTTATATGTCTATCCTATTATGTTAAATACGTTACTGAGGGAATATGGCTGAGGATTTTCTTGGAAGATCCTTAAAACAGGTCCATCTTTTTCCCTTTCAACTGCATTTCTTTGGAAAGGAAGGAAGAAATCGCCCAGAGAAGAGCTGCGATACGCAGTAATTCTACGAATATACCATATGTAGGGAGTAGCTATAATGAAGCTTCGCAAAAGAGCTACTGGACCGTATATCCGTTAGATATTTGACAGATATAATACCCAGCAAAAAGGCGGGCCATTATCAAACCGCTCCTATCAACCTGGCCGGCGAGGCGATTCCCAGGGAGAGGTATCAATCCCTCCACTCCGCCGTGGTACATGTACATCGTGCGCAATCCATGGATCCAAATCAAAATATCGCATCCCAAATAATCAACCACGTACACAGCCCAACGGTTCCCCAGAAAACTGCTTGGGCGGTACTCAGCCGCTCGGTAGCCCGCTTGAGATCTTTATTGGCTTGCCCTACATTGGTCTCCGTATTGGCTGCGTCCGAGACAAGCTGGTTGATGAAATCCTCCTGCGTGGACAAATGCATGACCAGCGTCTGCTGCAGGGAGGAAATCTCCAGAAGTGATTTCTCGGCAGTCCTATGATTGATTGCTTTTTGGTTAGAGTGGTCTGCCAACATAGGATTCTTCAGGGCTTGTTGAAGACAATCTCGAAGGGGCGGCACCAATGGGATGAAATAAATAAACCAGTGGAAACGAGTGGAAAGAAACGCATACTTTACTTTACCCAGCGTATCTTCATAATGCTTCAGCAGTCCGTCGTTCTCCTGCGCGAATAGCTGCAGCTGCTCCGGTGACAGCTTTGATTCAATCTCAGCCTTCTCTTTCTCGTCAATCACATCTGGCAGGATATCAGAAGCAGTCGGACGATCCCGCATCGACAACCCTCCTCCGTCACTGCCTGGCCCGAAACCACCTGCACCAACCCCGGGGACGCTACTCATCTTATGCAAGACGCTCTTCTCCTTCTCCTTAATCCGCTCAATCCTCTTTTCCACCATTCCCCTCTGCACCTCTGCGACGCCCTCCAACCGCCCTCGCAACCACCATAGCACATTCTCCCGTATCGTTTTCAACGTCCTCTCCGTCTCCTCCAGTCGTCTCTGCTCTGACGAGCCCGTGCCACTGGTTTCTACCTGACCACCACCGGCAGCCCACTTCCACAGGGCGCTGTTCTTAAAATCGAGCCCGAATTTCTTGCGCAGGAGTGTCGACTGCATTTCTTGGCGCAGGGTTTCGGCTGAGGCGAGGTTGGCGATTGAGCTGGAGAGGTCGCGGAGGACGAGGGCTGTGGAGGAGTCGATTGTGTCGCGGTCTGTGTCGGTTAGATGTTGTTTTTGGGCTGGTGGTTGTTTGGGGGCTGTGGATGCTGATGATGATGGGTGGTGATGCGAGCGGCCATTGTGGGGGAACGGGGCTCGCGGTGTGGTAGTGGAGAGATACGATTGTCGGATAGATTTTAGGTAGGTGAGGAGGGAGGTTATATGGGAGTTCTGTCCATCATATCTCTTATGTCAGTTTCAAGGAGCTCAGTTGGACATACAGATAGATAGATATGTATAGTATAGATATGGCGGAGACATGTAGCATTCCTCTCGCCCTTCCTCCCCATTCTCTTATCGTTCCATACTTATCTTCGTTATACATACTATTCTATACGCCTCCTTCAAAAACTCATCTACCGTCTCTGTTGAAGGCCGCTGTGCTTCCCCAGTCCCAGCTAGGGATCTGAATGGAATCGCCGTGGTGCCATGGGCCTTGAGGAGCTCGTTGACGAGGGGCGTGATGTCCGTCATCACGATCGTTGCTGTGGCATTGGTTATGTCCGGTATCTGGATATTTGAATAAGAAGCGGTATCTATACGTGGAAAGCTGCCTACAGCTACTTACCTACAATTTGTCCTTGTCCAGTCGATGATGTTTCTTGCGCTTGTGGCTACTGTGGCCTCGCGGAGAACAGGCTTAGTCATAGCCCTATCTCGTGGTTAGTTATACGTTTGGGCGAAGAAACTAACAGGAGTACTCCGTACTAACTAACTGCATAAACCACTGACTGTTGTGTAAAATCAAAATGATATGAATTTATGTCACAAGGCTCATTAACTATAAGAAAAGGACGGTGAGCACCAGATAGACGAGTATGAGGAAAACTTTGTCGCAATCCTGCTTACGTACTGGAGGTACTTCCTGGGGGAGCGGAGCCTCGGAGAGCAGGAGGGCCGAATATAAAGAGTCCATCAAAAGATAAAAAGAAAAAGAGAGAAGGGGAAAATTAAGAAAGAGATAGGCAATTGAACCGGGGAAACGATTCATGTTTATATTTCTGTTTAGTATATACCAAAATAAAAGGAAAAATTCTAGTTTGATAATCCCACTATTTCACACAACTTTGTCACAGGCCAAGTTCCCTCAATTAAGATATTCTTTTTTCCTCATAGGAAGTACTGCATGCTAGGGGCTAAGCCTAGAATTCACATATGGAACTAGAAGTCGGGAAGCAGATGAAGAAAAAAAAAAAAGAACGGCTAGCTATCCACAGTCAATGATGGCAAATAGCGAAAGGGAGAGATATACATGCAGTATGTAGCTCGTGGACTCGTGGTAAATTATAGGTTTGGCATATAAATCATTCTCATAAATATGTGTCGAGATGGACCGGGAGATAAGAGCCAGGAGGAAGAGCTGATCTGATATCTATATATAAACCGTTTCACTCTTGTTGTACCCAAATCTGCAGTAGTAACGGAAAAGAATCAGCATTGGACACGGATACGTAAATTTCCAATAAGAAGATAGATGTACACATAAGTAAATAGCACTAAAAAAAAAAAAAAAAAGTTAAAAAAAATTAAAAAAAAAAAAAAAAACATACCTCGATCTTTCCCATATCAAGCCCATCTTTCCTCGCCTCCTGTTTTGCCGCTGTAAGCAGCATATCGAGATCATCCTGGTCACCCATCGTAACCATATCCCCATCATCCTGCATCTGCATCCGCATCCGCTGTTTAAACCCAAACTTGTCCCGAATCTTAGCTTCAAATTCGTTATATCCAACCGACCCGCCAATCATGATAAATCGTACATCACTGCTGGCATGCACTTTGGCCCTGATCTTGCGCACATCTGCCCGCCGTGAGGGTTGCCGCCGGTGTGAACGTGGCGGAGGCGCAGCCATCATTTCGAATTCGCCTTCGTCTGCTGAATCGTCTTCGTACGTGTCACTAACGTAGTCGCCATCCTCCAAATATCGGGGTGGTTGCGCTTGTTGTCGTTGCCGCCTGACACTTGGCCCTCTGGTAGCTCCTGCCGATCGGCCGTTACGAGATTGAGAGTACATGTCGAAGACTTCATCAGCGTACCCATCTTCGTCCACAGGTGAAAAATTAGAGTCGTGCTGCATTCGTCTGGTTGTTTCTCGGTACAGCGGTCGGCCATTTTGGTCGCGGCTCCGTGCGTTGGAATATTGTCTGGTGGGAGGACCGCGCGGCTCTGACGCTGTGCGGACGGTTCCTATTCGCGGTTTATCTGCCTGTCTAGGAGCTCCCATCGCACTAGAGTCATTCGTCGGCACAGCTGTTCGACTTAAGTCGAGCATCGGTGGCCGAGGGCCGCGTCCTGACAGACCAGAAGAATTGCTAGGAGAGCCACTGCCAGCAACGGAGGGTGGTTTCTCTGACTCGGGAGGCGGTGTAGGTGGGAACAAATTTCGGCTGAGGGGTGGTTCTGATTGCTGTCTCCCTCCACGGCTGGTCAGGCCCTTCTGTACTAGATTGGAAGCAGCGAATGAAATTGATTCAAGAGGTCGGTCGTCCTTCGCTGTGTCGACCACAGTTCTTTTGATCTCAGACCCTTGGAAGCCGGTGAAGGCATTCGCACGGTCAGAAGCAGCCACTAGCCGTGCTTTCCCGAGGTATTCTTTAGTTTTTAAATTCTTGACCTTTGCTTCACTTGGTCGGTATACGACTCCAACTGGAATAGAGAATACGGTATAACCCTAAGCAAGTCATGTTAGTCAAGGCATCAAGGGTATGAATGCTCAAAGCTTGCGGGTCTGGGCGAGCTACCTCTGCGTTCTCCTTGATAGCTTCGTCAATAACTTCGTGGTCCGGTTTAACCTTTTCTTTTGAAGCATATTGAAGGTCCTGCATGCCAGCCTCTGTTTGTTGGAGATAGACGTAACATAGCCCCCGATTAAAGAGAACTTCACAGGAGTACAATTGAAATTTCAGTCCCAGCTGCTCATAATCAATTGACGTATTTCCTCTCAGGTAGAGTAGGGTATCGTTGAAATTTGCGAGGGCTTCTTCGAAATCGCCCACGAGGAAGTTGGAGACACCTTGTTGGAAATAAGCAACGGCAAAATACTGGTCGAGCGCAACAGCCCGTTGATAGCATTCCACCTAGAAGCGTCCAATTGATCAATACCTCTATTATTAGCCTTCCTCTAAAAAAAAAAAAAAAAAAAAAAAAAAAAAAAAAAAAAAAAAAAATTGGATTTAATGTTTTTCCATCTTTAACGTACAGCTCTAAAATGTTCTCCTAGAGTTGCGTAGATGACCCCACAGTTGAAGAGGATTTTGGATGTATCGGCGATATTATTGAACACTTTTAGCGCTTCTTCAAACTCATTATTGTCGTAGTTCGCAAGAGCTTGAACCCAGGTTTCTATCTCCTATATAACAAGATAGAGTAAGTCATCAGAAGGAAACCAAAAATATAAAATATACCGAAAAGCATAGGATGCGTCTTGTTTGCGATTTCCTTACCTGTTTTAACGACATTTGGGCAACTTGTGGTGTTCCCCGCAGCACGGATGCAAGGGCGGCTATCCAGTCCTGGGCCGCTGATGATCAAAGGGTTGAAACTCAATGCCAGTTCGGTGGAATAATATACAGCTTGTGAAAAGGTAACTTTTGCTAGATGACTGATATGGTTCGAGGTTATTTAGGAAGAGAAACGAAAGATGGAGCAGTTGAGCGTGTTATTTCTGTCGCGATGGCTAAACCGGCCACTTTCTTCTCAATCCGCGTAGGAGGCCTATCTGGGCGTGTGATGGTTGTGATTAGCGGAATGGCTTGCAGCTGATCCTCTATTTTTGGGGCCCCAGCCTGCCAGATTCACCACGTAGCCGCCGAGAAATACCTTGCGAGGTAAATATTCGGATGAGGTATGACAGGGACCTTTGGTTCGCTTGCTCAAGATCTGAAGGCTGGACGAGCTAAGTTCCCAGGCTTATACGGCCATTATTCTTCCTCCCGTCAGCCAGTTAGTATGTGTTGTTCCTTGAAGGTGGGGGACGAGTGACAAATCGAAAATTTATAATAAGATTCCTAGAAAAGGATCTCGATATTTGCGCTTTAGAAAATGATAATATAACTGTTCATCGGCACGCGAAGACTCAAAAATATGGGCAACGATTCAAAGAAAGATAAACTGCGAGGAGAATCAGTGGGAGGGCCAGCCTGCTGTCGATAGTCTCCTCGGTTCCAGTCTTCTTGCTGGGTAAAAATAAACCACCAGGATAAACGTCCACGAATGAATGGAATGGAAGGATTCGAATTGCCGCCGGTGAAGTAGTGTAGATGCATCCGAGTACAAGGTTCAAGACCAAAAGAGAAGAAAAAGTGCCGGACATTGCTATGTAATGTACTGTGCATAACCCTCCCATGGCTACTCCGTAGGATGACAGTGATGGTCTCCTTCCTCCTTCCAAGTGACTCCAAGTGACGGGGTCCGTGATACTGGTCTCGACCTGGACAGGGGAAAGCGGGGCGAGCCGCCTCAACCTGTCCATTGTCGCAGGTGGCTCGAAGGGACATGTGTCGCCCGAAGTTCAGGGTGGTGCATCAAGCCAGGATCCGCCATGGACACGAAACACGGGTTGTGAGATGTGACTTGTTGGAGGAATAAGGAATTGAGGGCAAATCGATCCTGGGCTCGTCAAAGCAAGCCTTGGCTGACGGCGACAGGGTGTGCATTGTTCTCCATAGGATCCCATTCTTGATACCGCCGGTTCTTCGACACCGCAGCCGAAGGACGAGATAGCATTGGCATCGCGCGAACGGGGTTGGCGGCGACGGGGAACATTTAGGGGCGCTTAACCAGCCAACCCTACAGGCTGCGGGGCCAACTGGAATGAAGGCTTCAATACGGAGTATGGGGGGATGGTCTTGAAATGCCGGGCGAAAAGTCGGTAAAAAAAATTGATTCCTTTCCTCCGACCTCCCAGATATCACAACCTTGATGAGAAATGTTTCTCTGCTGTTCGATCCCACTGACAACTGGCATCAAAACATCGACTCGCATGAAAACGCAGCCTCATGACGATGGATCGGTTTCCGGCAACTTAGGTTTGAAGCGCGTGTCAGGTTCAAACGCTAGCATATACAGACGCATGAAGGGCAAGTCCTGGCTAGAAGATACATAATGAGTCTACCAAGGGATGGCATGAAAGCCAATGTTTTTGCAAGTAACATGTCTGTTTCCTATTTAAATCTGGTATCACATCTGGGAAATGCATTCTCAGCCATTTCACGATCGTTAAGTTTAGCCTTATCTTGACCTTCCATGGCTGTCAGTAATTTCCCTCATCCCTATTCACAAAACCTTTCTGCCCGGAGACTCAAATGAGCTGTATGGGTTCGGGACAGGAAGCCAAGGCCGTTCTGAAACCTTACGGCCAACGTAAACACAGGAATATCCACAATTTTTCTTCACATCATCCCCTTCGAAATCTGTTCTCGTCGTTCTTCCCATACGTTCTTCCCGGAACAAGAGCAGACCATTTTATCGTTATCCCATATCCCAGCACTGCGAGCAATAACTCCAACCGGCGTGTTTGGATCTTCCTTTCGGAACGGTCCCTCTTTGGATTTGGACACCACCATGCTTCTCCCAATCAACTCCCAGACTGCAACAGGACGGCTAAGGAAAACGCTCCCCTTTCCATTACTGTCCACTTCTATCTCACCTAGTACTCCTCGTGGCTGCTCTGGCCCTGGAACTTTCTGTTTTACGGCTTCCCATATGCCACCAGTTGATGCTGGTCCTTGAGAAATATCTCCCATATCACGTACTGTAACCCAATACTTTCCCGGCGAAAGGCCGTTGATAGTAAGATCAACAAGCGTCAATGTTGGGGCCACCTGGACCATGCGCGCGAGACCACGGATTGGATTTTCTACCGCAGTGGAATGTGTCTCTAGGATACATACTGAGGCATCTTATGCCGCGAGAAGAATGTTTGTAAAAAAAACATAAGGTAAGAGTTGACATCGTAGACCACACTGAGGGGTATATGGGATACGGTAAAAATATAACAAGGTGTATCAGGGGGGGTGTGTGAGCGGGAAAACTAACTGTTTGAGGACCCGCTTCCTCTGAGAATAGCATCTCTTCCAGTACTCTGAATTGCAGCAACTATAGTAGAAGGCGCCGCAGTTCCTTCCACCAGGAGGATCTGGTCCTTCAAATTACCCTGCACGTTTTTGACCCCTAGATAATTCTCGCCGTCAGTTGCATTTCTCAGTGCCAAAAGCGGACAAAGGTTGACTGAATATCCCACCTACCATCCAGAGCGTAGAGGGACGTAGATACGTCCTTGATACAGTCTTCGCAAGTCAGAGGCACCGAAAATGTCGCCTATCCATTTTCAATTAGTACCAAACCCGCTGTCAACAGGAATAAAAGGGTTTAAAGTAGTACCTGAAATGACTGCATCATGGGTAATTGCGCAAATGAAAGGCTTGGTGACCAATCAACTGGTGAGAAATCGATATCCGTTCAATATATAGTAAGAAAGGGATATTCATAGAAATGACCTCGGTCTCCATGGCGTCAGACTCGTCCATTGTTGAAGAGATGGAACTAGTGGGGGTGCTCGCTGGGTGAGAAACCAGAGCAAACCATCGGAAAGTGTTTTTTTGCCCAGGAAAATCGTCTGTGTCGGACAAAAGCAGATCCGCTCCGGTGCTGAATCCTTTCCGACACAATGGAATGGAGTGGAGAGCTATCCCTCTATTACCACCTGGATGCGCAATGTCGACCGCACCAAGATCAAGGTGGGCAGAGGACGATGCCGAAACGGAAGCCCTTATTGAACAGAAAAGACGAGAAAAGGAGGAGCGGAAACGTATAAAGGCGGAGAAGCAGCGGCGCCAGCAACAGGAGGCACAGGAACTAGTTGCGCAAACACATGCGGACCAGGGGCCAAATAACTCTTTACAAGCTCAAGAGAAGGGTGCGAATGGCGATGCAGGGAGGCCATCCAAGAGGCGGAGGTTGTCGAATGAACCAGAATCACGGCCCGACCTTCCTGTTGATCAGAAGCCCATTCCCCTGCTCCGATTTCCGGCCCCGGAATGGGGACCGTGTAGACATGTGGACAATTTCGAACGGCTAAATCGCATCGAAGAAGGCTCTTATGGCCTGGTATCGAGAGCGAAAGAACTTGCAACTGGCGACATTGTTGCACTTAAGCGATTGAAGATGGAAAATTGCCACGACGGCTTTCCAATTACCGGGCTGCGAGAGATTCAAATCCTACTGGAATCCAGACATACAAACATTGTCCATCTACGGGAAGTCGTGATGGGCAATGGCATGGACGAGTAAGTTCTCGCGTTTATAATATATTTAAACCATCCTGAAAAGCCCGGATACCGGAAAGCATTAACCAGCTCGTCCCTTCATGTCTTTTCCTCCCACTTTGTAGCGTCTACCTTGTCATGGATTTCGTCGAACATGATCTCAAAACACTCCTCGACCATATGCACGAACCGTTTCTCCAATCAGAGACGAAAACGTTACTTCTACAGATCATCTCCGCGACGGAGTACTTACACTCGCATTGGATCATGCACCGCGATCTAAAGACGTCAAATTTACTGATGAACAACCGGGGAGAAATTAAAGTTGCGGACTTTGGAATGGCAAGATATTATGGCGATCCGCCACCGAAGTTGACCCAGCTTGTGACCACTTTATGGTATCGGTCTCCGGAACTTCTACTTGGAGCGGAAACATATGGGCCGGAGATTGACATGTGGAGTATCGGATGTATATTTGCTGAGCTCGTGACGAAGAAGCCGTTATTTCAAGGGGAGAATGAAGTCAGTCAATTAAGCGAGGTACGGCCGACCCCTTGGTGTGAAGCCTCCCCCTTACTCTTTTGTCCCAACCCAAAAGATTCAACTCGTCGATGACAAAACAATACCTCATGTTAACAATCAATATCCCACGTAGATCTTTGCCAGCACGGGACCCCCAACCACCCAAAGCTGGCCCTCCTTCCGCTCCCTCCCCAACGCCAAATTCGTTGGTTTTCCAGCCAACAGCGCGGCACAAAACTCAGACGGCGGTATCCCTCTCCTCTGGCGCAAGAAATTCCCCTACCTTACCACCGCCGGCCTCACCCTTCTCTCCCACCTTCTTGCGCTAAACCCAGCCTCCCGCCCGGACGCCGCAACGTGTCTCTCACACCCGTACTTCCGCGAAGATCCCAAGCCAAAGGCGAAAGAGATGTTCCCGACGTTCCCGTCGAAAGCGGGCATGGAACGCAGGCGGAGGCGGGAAACGCCGGAGGCGCCGAAAAGGGGAGATGTGGCGCCTCGGTTGGATTTTGCGAAGGTCTTTGGAGGTGTCGCTGGAGGTGTTGGCGATGGGGACGGGGTTGAGGCAGGGGCGGGTTTCACGTTGCGGTTGGGATGATCAGGGGTCACCTTTCCTTGCGCTGCTTGCATAGCTTTGCTCTTGAGCCTCGGTGGTTGGTCTAAAGGGGGTGGTCGTATATAGAACGGATGCTGGGGGTTGACTGCAAAGATATGGGGAGTTGGAAGATATTGTTTTGTGCTTTTCGGGTGGTCAGATTTGCGCATTGGTCTTTTTTGTGTAGACTGTACAACATAGCATACAAGTGAGCCACATGCAATCAGCAGTCCCTAAATTAAAGCCGCCTCAAAACTCGAATTCACATCCCTAAATTTACCTTACCTGACTGAGGGGGGAAACAAAAATAAAAAAAAAAAAAAAAAACCCAGACAAATTATGAGCCCACGGCGAGGGTCGAACTCGCAGCCTTGCGGTTAAAAGCCGCACGCTCTGACCATTGAGCTACGTGGGCTGATTGGATAACTCCCGCCAAGGTGACGTGGAAGTTATCCTCTTGCCCGAAGCCACCAAACCATTATCCATGAAATAATGTATTTAAAACCAGAGCACGACCATGAGTCCTTTCACATTGTACTCGCCAGGTCCTTCAGTCTTTAAACAGGGCAAGTGTCCAAGCTAACATGCATATATATACTGATGAATTATCGAGAAGTCGTCCCATGGTCGTCCGGCGGAGCGCTGAAACACTAGCATTGCGACTTCCCGGCGAGCGCCATGTGGCATTCATTGCTTGTATCAACCTGAAATTGAAGTCTTAAATTTCGACAGTGGGATTTGATAAAAGGAATCAATTTACAAGACCGGATAAGGTGCTTTATCGTCTCATCTGCTCTTAGGTGATGGATAGTTTGAAAATCAAGGACAAATACTATTGCATGGGATTGAAAATTGAAATACGGGCGAATGAAGAAGGGAATAAATAGGTTGCTACACCTGTCGCAGCAGCTAGCAAGGAAGAGAAGAATCGGAGACAGCATTTCTCCCTAGTATTTAAGATAGCCTCCGCTGGAAAAACTGGCAAATTCAACACTTCTCTATTGTAATGCGCGAAGGTGCCTTTGCAGTGAACGGTGGAATTCCGAAATTACTGTAGCTGAGCCGAGCTCACGGACTGAGAGAACTATCTCCCTCTCTAGTCCATGTAGTTAGTTGTTTTGTTATCCATTCCCGATCCTCATTTCATCTACAATAAAAAATAAGGAGGGAAATACGCCGCCGCGGAAGGGAATCATGATTCGCATTATTGATGATTGATCCAGTTCCCTACCCTAGAATGATCATAACGCTTAACAAGAAGAAACCCATGAATCAAGGAACGAAAATACTGCGTATGAATAAAACATCGCATTGTACTGTACGGCCTGCGTTCGGCTGTTATCATTATAATTGGGGGTTCTTTCTCTCATGGCTAGGACATGCAAAGCCTGAAAATGGAACGTAGATTTATCCTTCAATAGACCACACTCCTATTTCTTTGGCCGAAGAGGATATTACACCCATTCTTTGAGAACTTGAAGCGGACAGCCCCGTTGCTGAACCAGAGCGGTTCCACTCCTCGAAACGGATGTTGACTTTGACTCCAGATCTCCAATGATGTCAAAAACAACTCTCTTTAGAGCTGCATATTCCACAGGCCGTAACCAAGATGAACTGCACAAGCGTCCCACGCCAAAACAAAGGAATATCCCCCATAGCGCCTTTTCATTAGCTGTTGACATGACCTTCGTAACTGGAAAAAGAGGAAAAGTAAACACCAATCCCTTCCCTGATGATGTTATCACGATTGCGTTGTTTCCCAAGCCTCACCACCCACATACAACTCCCTCCGTCGCTGCCGGTGTCTCCTCCACCACTTGAATACCTCCCAAGGACCCCTACAATACGCAGTCGCTTGTCGCATGGTGTCCGGCTGTGATGAAGATGACGAGGGGGATGAGGGGGAAGAGGCAAACGACACATCGTTATGAGGGGGACTTGCAAGGGCAAAATCATCAGTGGTGCTTAATTCATGCAGCGATGGCGCTTTAAGACTCTGCGGCCGCCTTAGGTGGTAGAAGGTCTGACGGCAGAGGGGGCAGCTCGCGTCTCGTTTCGACAGCCAGTCGTCGATACACGGCTGGTGGAAGATGTGACGGCAGGGCAATTCTCGAAACTTCATGTCGCGGTGGAGGGTTTCGAAGCAGAGGATGCAGTCCGTTTCTTCTTGATTTTGGCCGTTGTCTTCGTCTGCAGAGCGGATGCTGGTTAGATGACTCTGGCTGGTGCTCGATTTTTACGCACGACTTCTCGACCTTGTCGCTGGCTGTACACCGAAAAAAAAAAAAAAAAAAAATGACACTATATGGGGAATACCTTTCGCAATGAAGGTGCCCGATAAACGCCTCATGTTCGCCTGGTCGAGCTCCTTGACGGAGAGCGTGCCCTGGCTTAATGGGATGCATATGTAATGTATAGTGGGCATTGCCATGGGCCTTTTCTCTTCCCCTTGCAACCGATGAACGAAATCGCAACAGCCTGCAAGTATTTCTCTGAGCGATGTCCACCAGATGTATGGCGCATGGCATAAAGAGTCTGGTTGTCGTATTGGACCATTAGTTAAAAGAAAGGATAAGTAGTACTATTCAGCCATATATCCCGTGTCAGCTTTACTGAAAGAGATGAGATTTTTTTTCTTTCACTTCTTTTTCTTCCCCCCTCTTCTACTTCTACTTTTCATTGTGGGCCAGGGGGGGGGTTCCTTTGATATGGCATGCTCCAACGAGTTTCATTGATTCCTGTTATGATTCCTGTTGGCCAGTGCCAATGACATCATTCCAACGCCTGCTTGCCGACTGAACCTTGGTAGCCGCATAACCGGGATAGCAACTGTTACTATATTTGCGCCACCGGATGTTGCCATGGTCAGTACGGTGCTGATTTTGATTGCCATTTGCCATCTCTACGTGGGTTCTAGGTGCCTAGTAACATGGGACAAAATGCAAAGAAAATAAAGAAGGAAGACCAAGGTTCAGGGGGGAAAAGGAGGACGGGGTTGGGGAGGAACCAAAATGGAATGGGAAAATAGGTTTATTAATATCCGTTTCACATGTTCATTTTGCAAAAGTAGTGGAGCCAAGTCAAGGATACTACTCGAAAAAAAAAAAAAAAAAAAAAAAAAAAAAAAAAAAAAAACTCCCAAATGTAAACTAGCCAATCAAACCAATGTCGCATAGCATCGGTTAAGTTAATCAAATAAGAAGTATGCAATTTAAAATGGGTTGATATATAGTTCTTTTCCTATTCACTGAAATCTTCAGAGCGTACATCATGCACTGTAGTCATAATGTCCCAGATATTGCTAAACGGCCCCCCCCCGAAAAAAAACAAAAAAAAAAAAAAAGAGCAGCCCATTAACTGTTGGGGGGGATTGGATTGGGTGATTCGTACCCTATACCACGGCGCTGGTGGTGATTGAGCTCTTTTGCCCTAGTGGCCTAATATTAACTACTCGACTAATTATCAAAAGCGCTTACATTCTCGATGAGCACAGGTCAAGTAAAGGTCTGAAAGGGTATGCCTTCAGAACACGAATGTGTTTTAGCTCGATCGTTTGATTCGTCGCCTAGCACCATAGTTGTTCGAAAGGGGTTTCTTCCTCATTGCTCGAGATTTTGTAATTACTTGGGGTTTAGCTTGGAGAGACTGTCTCCGACATTTTGATTTGTTATCTATATGCCCGTTTTTGGATACAAGTTTCGATATTCCTTGTGGCGGCATCTGCTGCATGGGCTCCGCTTGCTGGTTCTTTTTGGCTGTTAAGTCCATGATGCGCTGGCTCCTGTGCAAGGCTGCAACAGGTGAAATGGGCAGATTCGTTGGTGCAGTGGCCCCTTTGCCGCGTTGTTTTACCAAATGAATCATATCATAGTGGCTTGTTTGGTTGCGTATGGGTGCTCTTGAGAATTTTCTAGTTTTGGTAATTTTCGACAAGCGATCCACTTTGAGAACTGTGTTTGTAGCAGCCTTTCCATCCCTGTTAGTAGAGCTGCAATTGCTATTCAGCTTTTTGTCGATGTTAAGATTGGTAGACACAGTGGCTTCCTGCTCTGATTCTTCTTCAGGCATTCGAATTGGACTCAGATCATTATTGGACATAGCCATCTCCTGGGCAATTTTTTGGAAGTTCTTGTTCAATGCAGTTCAGTAAAATCATGAACTTGTCTAAATTCCTTTCACTGGCAGATCGAAGTAGCCAGGTGAGGGCTGGATTGAATGGTTCATGAGGATCCAAGGTTGCACCTTTTCCATGCTCAGCCTCCCACTCCAACCTCATATGCTCCCTCTTTTGTCGTCCTTCTTCTGCCACAATTCTCATTTTGGGCACATTCCGGTGCTGAAAGTAGTGGTATTCCTTCCATACATCCATCTTGCTTTGCTATTTCGCATCAAAGAGAAGTTGTATATCACCATCGATGCCTTCTTGTTGCCGGTGGCGATGAACCTCTTGTTGATACTGTTTGAAAATCTCAACACTCCTGCGTCTTCGCTGCTGGAATTTTAGGAATGAAATCTATTCAAGTCTATGCCCCCAATAACCTGCATTCCAGTAGTCCACAATGGGGGCCATACTTTCCATGGACATCTCTGGGGGTACGCCACATTTCCACTAGAAATGCTGGTCTTCCACCCAGTCGTATCAAATCATGGTAAATCTTCCTCGCTTTCCAGAGTATGTTTGAGCTGCAATGCTTCGCATTCTGGGTCGGGAAGACCCTGGGGAACTCCGCGTTCGAGTGGAGGTGTCGCTTGAACAAGAGCTCCGAGCGCGCTGATTATGGGGGTTCGTTTGGATATTTCTAACCTTTGTAATTGTATTAAATCTGAACGTTTAAAAGTAGGTGTTTTCTCTAGGCTTGTGGGGTTAGTCTCACTTAAGTTTGACATCCACGGCTGCGACATCCAAGGGATGCGATTTGCCTCTTAAGCTTAACCAACTCCCTACCAAGCTAATGTCAGTGTTTTGTGACTTCGTAGGAAATGTCTAGGGAAGGGATATTCTCTCACATCAACTTTTGTATATGTTCGTCAGTCCAGTTTTCTGGGTCTGCATTATCGATCCAGCTTGTTTAGGTCAGTATTTGATTCCTTGTCGCTGGGGGAAAGTTTATCCAGATCTCGGGTAGAGAGCTTCAGCACAGGCATGATGACGGTGAGAAGGGGAGTTGGGAGTTGTTCAACAGCAAAAGCAAGAGTTGGCAAGAGGATGAATAACGACAAGTTCAAGATTTCAAGTTTGAATCTTGCCATTCCGCGTTGTCATATCATTGCATGTTGGGGCTCATGGGCAGTCTAGGCGCCAGGGCATTTCCGATGGCTCAATGAATGCACGGGGATCAACTCCTGTCGACTTGCGCAGGTTTTGGTCGTTTTGGTTCGCATCGCCGGCGGGTGAACGCTGCCTTATTGGCTAACTAACTAACATGGCAAGACTGTGTTTGCCCGTAAGTTGCTGTTTGCGCTGGCATCTACGTCGGCCAGCATAACATAGCATGCCCACGATGCCCCTCCTCAGCGCTCCTGGGATATTTACCTACATGCGAAAGAGGCACTTCATCCTCACCGAGTCACCGGCAATGGCATCAACAATAGAGTCTCCAGCACTCTTAACGGCGCCAAACATAGACCAGGATCCAAACATCATCTTGATAATTGAGGCAGAACCCCGAACCCATGGAGCTGAGGCCTTGGTATTGACACACAACAGGGCCCGCTACTTTCCTCCTGACGAATTCTCTCAACCTGGGAGTCGAGAACACACTCCATCTCCAGAGCCGGAAGGGTCTAAGACATCCTGGACAAAGAAATACCATCACCTTTGTCTGACAGTTGACAAACCGCCGAAAAATGCCGGGCGAGGATTCTCGTTCGGCAGTGATAAGACAGTGTGCGATGTTTTACTTGCGCCGAATAACTAACTAGAACCTGTCATTATATAATCAGAGTTCAATTTTACATTACATTTGATGAACAGGGGCGCCTTATATTGAAAGATGAGTCAACTCATGGGACGGCTCTCAGCTACGATGGCTGGGGCGGAGCTCTCAGGCGACGTCGATTTCAGTGGATTCTATTCCCAGAATTTACGATCCAAATCCACCTCCCTAACTTCACACTCGACATTGTGCAATTAAAAATCCGTTCTTGCTACCTAGGATATCAGAGAAATCTTACAAAATTCTTGGACAACAGTCGCGATGCCGTCCTCGCCCTTGCGGGATTAGATGTGCAAAGCCATAGATCTGGATCAAACCGATCACTTAACAGACCCATATTCTCCGGGACAACAAGCTATCTATTTTCCCCAAGCAGTTCTTGGTCAAGGTGGCTTTGGGAAAGTTTTCTTGGTTTCTCACCTGAGCAATGGAATGGTATACGCTGCGAAAGAACTCCTCAAAGGCTTCAGCCTGAGAAATGAAGCAGCAATCCTGAGGAATATATCACATGTAAGACTGTTCCATGCCTGTTCAAGATTCAATAGCTTACTCCTTCACAGAAGCATGTTGTTCAATATGTGGACTCTCCATTCTCGGAGAAATCCAATTCGGGATATAAAACCAGAAAATATTCCTGTACTGGGCCGGGGGTGCTAACTTCCATATCAAACTAAGTGATTTTGGACTATCCAAGGACATCCCTTTGCTGAAGACAAATCGTGGGACCCGAAGTTACAAACCTCCAGAGTTTTTTAGAGTTTACCAGCAGCGTAAGTTAGAGAAGGATCCACAGAAGCGTGCAAGCTTACTCTATGACAACAAAGTTGATGTATGGGCTCTGGGGGTGGTTGTTTTACACCATATTGTTGATCTGACCGACGAGGAATTACCCTGGTACGAACAAATTACTCATATTGTCAAGGATATGCTCCAGCACCGACCTGATGACCCGTTTATTGCTCTCTTGAGCAAAATGTTACGGATGAACCCATCGACCAGGCCTTCATCGGAAGATTGCTTCCAAGAAGCAATCAGGACCGGCATGGCCAGCCTAGGGGACCTGAAAGAGGACAAAAACTCCAATGATGACAATACATCAGGCCCAATAACAGCTGAAGTTTTGAAGCCAGAATTAGTGTCCCCCAACGCACCAACTCCCATAGTATCATGCACTAATCGCGTCCCAGGAGCTCAGCGAGATCCGTCACCGACGAGGCCGAGTGGACATCGGACCAAACACCCGCGGATAAACCAAATAAGTCTAACAAACCGACCGTACTACTCCATGGCTATGGAAATTCTGAACGAACTACACCTTCGTGGAGCTCTCATCGAGATTGAAAGGAACAATCAAGAAATTCAATAGTCGAGGAATTTTCTCGGCAAAAGATCACCAATATCGATATGATTATTCTGTGGAGCCCCAAGGGGCAACTATCAAGGCCTGCCGTGCGGATAGGAGTGGCGAATTTGTGCTAGGTCATTTTACTTCTATGGCTCCATTTACTTCCCCATGGAGGGAGAAGGAAGAAATCACGAGTCCTGTTGATATGAAAAAGCGATCGAAATGGCCAGCAAGCCGCAAGTCTTCGACCCGAAGCATGCGATAAAAGGACATGTAATGATATCCTTGGACTGGCGTTGGCTAGTAGGATTAGGGGCTCTCCAAGGAGTTGGCCGCTGCTCGCGTTGGCCAGCAAAGCTCTCTTCCATGAGCCAGTTTACTCTATGAATGAGATTTCGGTTTTGCAACATATTTAGCACGCAAACAGCTATTTAGCAAGCTCTGACCTATCTACGTGAGCTGCCTTAAGAGATATGAGCAACATTTGGGGATCCTCTATGACCTTGCTCAATGGACTTAGTTCTCTCTCTTCCTTTTTTTTTTTTTTTTTTTTTTTTTTTTTTTCGTTTCATGGGTTATTCTACAGCGCGTCTCTACCTCTGTGGCCCGCAGCGACCCAACTCCTGAGCTCCGGTGGCCGCACTTTGTCAGATAAACAACCCTTCCGGTATTTCATGCTACGAAGGGCCAAAAGGACGTTCTGCAACTATTCCTCACCATGCAAAGTCCCATTGTTTTGATTTTTGAGCTAATCGCGGATCATTAGGACTGCTCGCGACTACTTAATGGGAAAGGTTATTGAGCACCATAGGTGAATGGACATTCCAAAGGAAGAAGTGAGGGGATATATCGATAGTGCCTCTTACAGCTCCAGGGAGCCTTCCTCTCTATTCCTAGGGTTTAGGTATGATTCGATTGGTTGATTCATCTAAGAGTAGTATTGTTCGGAATCTGGACAACTGTTCGTTGGAAGAACATCTTTTTTCTGGCAGGATCAGCTAACAACGACGCTTCATTGTGTTGGAAAAAGGCAGCTGAGTAAGTCAAGTATCGGAGCTGGTCTCTTGGTACAGGTACATGCACAGATGTCTATATATTATTACCTTTCCTCTACACATGCGCAGACGTCATCTCCCGGTTCACATTGTATATGCTTGCCAGTAAATAAATTCAAAGAATTCATTGACGGATAGACGGTTGCGTGCTCGTATCCTATTCGACTGTCAAATCTCGAACACGAAGTCCTACAACTCATTGTCAAAACAATCAAAGAGAGAAATCTAATTTTCGTGACTAGTGCCTGAAATTTATCTTTAACAATTTATGAATTTCGGATTTGCTACATCTAAAATAACCAGTTGGAGAAAAAGTAATTTTAAAGTATGTTATCCTCCCCCCTTGCGCATTCATTGAAGCTAGTTAGTTGCTATTTTTTTCAACTATGAAAACTATCTTCTTCCGCCATATTCCGCTATAATTTTCCCTGCAGCTGTCTGTGCCACTAGATAGGCTGTGGGTTGACTATGGTTGCTGTTTATTAAGGTTATTGTTAGGAGTTGCGTTTTATCAGGAATAGGAATGAGGAATGGGAAACAATGGCATATATGTCTATCGCCCTACTCACTTCGGTGTGATGGGACAAACACTCAGATCCACGACTCGCAACTTCTCAACGCCATAGATGCGGAAACTCGGATCCGTACACGCCATTGGGTCGTCTGCTTTGCCCATTTTTAGGGTTCCGTTGGCATGGAAGACCGGAAGTAGGTTCTCGTCGATGAATTCCTATGCACCCAAAATGAAGTTCTACATTAGATGGGGACAGCCACTCGTATAGAAAGATTATTAGAGACGTCAGAGAACGGGCGGGGTGATCCCCGGAGTGGCCGTACATGGATATCTTCGTCCGACTGGCTTTTCGGGGCCAGGACGTATCCCTTAAATTCCTTCTCAATTGCGCCGGACTGATAAAACTTCATAGCTTCCCTTATTGCCAAGGTCAACATCTTTCGATCAAACGGGTGTGACATGTAGTTGGAGTCAATCGCTGGCGGATCATTCACGTTTGCCGATTTCAGTGTGATTTCGCCCCTAGATTGCATATTCATAAGGCAGACGACGGTAGAAAGGTATGATGTTCCCTCAGGAACAACGTATGTCGGGGGGAAATGGGGCCCTGCGAGAAAGAGCTCATAATGAGGAACGGAATCCTTGGTTAGATATTGCTTTGAGAGAGTGTCTAGGTTTTGATATTCGCTTGTTGTAAGGATGGAATTTTCCTTGAGCCATCCGGTTATGACGCAAGACCGGTGCAGGTTTATCTCCCCGGTTCCGTCCCGTTTCCACTGTTCTCGTGCAGCTTCGAGGGCGGCAGGATTTGAATCAAATTGAGTCCGATCACTGAGACCCACACCTGGCGCGAATGATGCTCCTATAACAACTAAGGGGTGATCGGATAGTCCCTTGCCTACCCCAGGAAGATCATGGATAGTTTGAATATTATGCTGGGAGAGCTCCTGAGTGGGTCCAATACCAGATAGTAGCAAAATCTTCGCGGAATCGAATACACCGGCAGACAGTATTACTTCTTTATTCGCCGTGACTATTGTCGCATATGAGTTATGGCTCGAAAAAAAAAAAAAAAATAGCAGGGGCGGAACGGTGGGGTTTGACACACAATTCCTCCCATCCACTGCTTGGATGCCAACTGCTACTTTGTTTTCAAAGACAACCTTGGCAACTTTTATGTCAGTTAGCATCTTCAAATTCGCAGGGCGATAGTTCGTGTATATAGCCTCGCTGGTCCAGCGATAGCCTTTAAATGTTGTAGTAGGTGGTATGGACAACCCAATAGGATTTCCAGAGTTAGTATCCATATTTAACGGCAGCTAGAGTGAGGGCAATTAGAAATACATCATCCCTGAGTTGTAAGACATTAAGACCTCACCCCGTATCTTGTCCCTGCATCCAAAAGCTCCGTTATACCATTTTCCCATTGAGCAGGTAAGCTCACATGCACCGGTCTGAAGCTATTAGATTCGCATCCAAGACAGAGAGACTGGTAATAATATTCCATACGCACCCATTATATCCATGGTTCTCCGGTAAGGGATTGGAGTATTTCTTCATGTCCTCGGACAGCTCTGCGTGAAAAGTCTCTATCTATTTCCGAAAAAAAAAAAAAAAAAAAAAAAAAAAAAAAAAAAAAAAAAAAAAGACATGAAGTTAGCATTGGCATTGATATCGTACAGTAACAACTGCCTACCTCCTTGAACCTCCTGAGAGTATGTTCCCATTTCCACGAGTCATCACCAACAAGCTCAGCCCAGTAATTATAATCCTCCGCAGAGCCCCGAGTGTACGTCAAGAAGTTGACGTTGGTGCAGCCTCCTGGACCCTTGCCCCGGAGATAAGGGAGTACCCGGCCCTTGAGGGAAGTTTGGGGCGTTGTAATATACCCGAGATCTAAGTCGGGCCGTTGCCAGGCATGGTATCTATCATACTGGCAAAGATGCGAGTTGTCAGGAAACGCACTGCCAGATTCCAGAACCACCACCGAGCTTTCTGGCAACGCCGTTGCCAGTCGCGTCGCAAAGAGCAGGCCAGAGTTGCCCCCTACTAAATATTAGAGCCACGATCTGTAAACCACACTGATGACGATGGGAGGAAGCATACCCCCAACGATGATAAAATCGTAGGTGTCAGTCATGATGTCACTATTTTCCTCTCTCTAAGGTCTATATAGAATCTTCACCAAAGGAAAAAAGCGTCAGCTAGACATGGAGGGGTAACCGTCTTTTTATAGTTAGAGGAAAGGATAATTACCTCATTCATAGCTTGAATAACTAACTATTAGAAAGGATAAAATAATCAAGGCCCATTAGTTTTGATTAATACGGCCGTAATCCGTACCGTACCCGTGGAAATCTTTTGAAACATATGAGAGAGATTTCGCCCATTTTGATCCAAAGCTCATCGAGAGTCTGGGGCAAGGAAATGTGCATAGCCTTGGTGGATACTGTTTGTAATCATATTAGTTCATCGTCATGCAGTTCATCCCCGCAGCGCTTGAGACCGAGCTTCAACGTTTTGCTCCCCAATTGCTGTTGTTTGCTTTGGCTAATATAGTCGTGGGGGAATGTCATTCATTAGTTGGATAAACACGGAGATAGGTCGCGGGGGAAGGTCTGACTAGAAAAGAGAGGGTCTGCATGAAGTTGTCATTCACAATGCTGTTTGACAGAGAGGATCACTGCGTAGGCGGTAAAGTGTCAAGATCAACCCTTATAATTTCCACAGATCGCCATTAGCTTGAAGGTAAAATTAACCTGGTTCAGAGCATCTATCATGGGTCTGTAAGCAGTAAGTAGAGGGTCCCAGGATGTTCAGAGAACTAGTTGAGAGGGGGTTTGGGATGCCCGAACATATTCGGTTTTGGATAATGGCTCTCCAGGGTTCAAAATCAGAGCAGGCTGCGGGTAACCGACTCCATAGGCAAGCTACCTCCTACTGCGTCGAAGTGTAACCCGAGCTACTGAGTACTAGTAGATATACAACAAAAAGCAGATCGGAATCCTTGCTCATAGTGATAATCGCGGTTTCAGCTGAGGTGGGCTAAATCTGATAAACTGGGACCCCGTTTCAGGCTGACATCAACTGCTGCCCGGAACTAGTGAGAGATAGAGTTCTCGATTTCTCGATTAGAATGCCAAGTTTTATCCTAGCATTGCTTCAGAATGGTATTCTCCTAAAACTCGTTGAACCAGCTGTCTGCTTAGCTTTGTGACCCTTCACTTTTCCGGTTTTGTTGATATATATGCAACAATCCCCAGGCCCTGTCAAATGCCTTGGGAATGTTCAACTTTTTTTAAAACCACGCGAAGTGTACGCCCGTAGCCCTAAACGACAGTCCATGGATCATCATAGAGCAGTCCGCTGTGCTGCTGTTGTGTTTACGCTGTAGGCCAAGAATGAAAATTCATCGCTTTTAGCATAAACCTCGAAATGACTCTCACATATAGTACTCTGTAATAGAAATCTTATAGTGGATCTGAGAAAAAACAGTTTTCCAGGAGATTAATATCATTTCATACAAAGTATGAATCTATTTTAATTTACAATGAAATGGAACTTTCAGCATTCAAGATGGTGATTTCAACAATCTGAAATCATGTGATTGAATGCTTAAGAGAGCTAGATTCTTTTCTTTTTTTTGAACACTTAGAAGTTAGGATGGATCAATCAACCAAGGAATCAACTTAATATAACTAGTTCTTCAATTCTTGCTTCTAATTCTTGTTTCTAATCCTTGAGAAAAACACATCTCCAGGGCTTGTGAAGTTGTAGGCTTACATAAGAACCCTTTCGCTGATTCCAACCACCCAGAAGCCAGATTCGCCTAAACTATACAGCGTACGACCTTCGACAAGACTCTACATGATGAGCCAACATGGTCGTCACAAACTTTATCTAGCGGGATTTATCTTCCCTCTACATAGTAATGCCCGCGCCGGTACTCCGTAGCGCCAGAGGAGAGCAGGGAGGCGCGAACCCTGTTCAGCACCATGATCAACTACATGCCTGACCGAACAGTTAAAAATCGCTACAAACCAGCGGTTCTCATAAATGCAACATTTGAACATGTTAAATCCGCTGATGAGTTCCTTGATTATTTCTTTACCTACGTTTATGGTAGTATCACTGCGGAAGAAGAACATGGAACTGGTTCTGTTCATCAAGCATTCACCTACTTCCGCGATTTCTCGCTGTGGAATTCAAAGCGAAAAGGAGAAGCTGTGGTTACCATGGATAAATTTGCTGAATACATGATTGACAAATTTTTCATGCCACGTCAGTTAGCTTTTGTTTCCGTTCTCCTTTCTATTCTCCTGTCTTCTTGGAAGTTGTGGCGTGTAGTACCCTATGAACTCTTAACATTAACTTCTGCCATGTTGTTCGAGCCTCCTCCGTCAAAACGCCGCAGCCCACACCTACATCATTGTCTTCAAAACAATCTACTCCCATTGGTACGAGAAACCGTGTATCGAAGTTACGACAAGAATGCTTTTTCCGCGACCATCATCGCTGTGTAGTTTCGCGAAAGTTTGATAGAGCAGAAGTCAAGAAACGGCTTGACACAAATGAGGATAGCACAGATGATGATGGAAAAACCTTTGAAGGATCTAAATAACGATGAATTTGAATACCTAGAAGTGGCTCACATAACCCCTCATTCTCTCACATCCATCTCTCCAGAAAACTCACAATTAGTACGTCCATCCCCTGGCAACAGAAAACTGTTACTCTTCTCTAATATTGTTCATTAGAGTGAGTCGAAGCAGGCAGCACATCACATTCTAAAAATATTTGATCCGGATGTGATCTATCTTATCGAAGGACAAAATATTGATAGCCCAAAAAATGCGTTGACACTAACGCAAAAGTACCATCGACTTTTCGGAGAATTTGAGATATATTTCGAGCCCACTGAGAATAAACATGAATACAAACTTAATACAACGGAAGAGAGGTCCTTCTTGCGCGACCCCTTATTCCCAGTCGTTCGCCAGCTTTATCTCAGTCCTGAACATACTATTGATCCACCCTCACCTCATCTCCTTGCAGTCCATAGTGCTGTTGCACGCATTCTGAAACTAAGCGGTGCTGCGGGTGAATACATAGAAAACATACTTCGAGAAATGGAGGATCCTTGCGTGGAGGCAGATGAATCAACAAATTTAGAACGCCTCCTAAACTGGGGTGTACAGGGTTGGCTAAGCCTCATCCGTTCGGGGATAGTTGCACATTGATATTTTGTCCCGATCTTTCTTCCTGCTTGCCAGAGTTGAACGTGCCATGCAGTCTCTTTCAATTGTTTCGACCCTCGCGGATATTCCCTTAAATATTACTTTGAATATGTTTTAAAGGACTTCGTTATCCTCGCTCTTGACTTTCTGTGGCCATTTGCGATGGCGAGGTCTTGAGTTGCCACCCCAATACTCATCTTTCTCTTCATGTGTTTCTCTACATACGACCTTCGCCGCTCTTTTAACTTGACATGTGCAACATTCTCACTCTTTTAAAAGACTTCTTCAATAATGAGGTCATCTTATTTGCTGAGAATTTGCTGCATTTGAGTGCAAACCAAATTTTCTCTATAGATATCTCATCAATATGGCAGAAGAAGCAACATATCATGAAACGCAACCTGTCACTCATGGCATCCCAATGCAATGAAACCGCTGCTTACAGAATCCAAATAGTATGTCAGCCAACTTAATAGTAAGTATGTTCCTTCATACACAGCCTGCGTGAGCAAAATTCCTCCTCATATGCAAAGCAAGCAATATATGCATCCAAGCCAATATGGACGACCAGCTCGAATTCAACAGGCAACGAGCGAGCGGTGAAGCATCTCTTATAGCTGACAGTGGGATGCAGAGTTTCATCTTAAGAGCTTTTAGGCCGCCCACCGGGCCGGCCTTGTGATTGTGGTTGCATAATGATGGCAAGAGCTCAAGCTAGGCTTCAACATCATACCCATCTCTGGGGATGGTGGCATCCCTTCCTGAGTGGAAATGGAATGTCAGATGTCAGTTCAATTATTAGAACCATTACGTGCTGAGTGAGGGAATCTATTCCATTGACAAAAAAAAAACAATCCATGCGAGCACATGCTAGAATAACTATTGCCTCAATCAACGGTCTGCTATTGGTGCACTAGGGGAAACGCTTGTGGCAAGTCTACCTTTGGAGAGCGACAAACGCTGATCCGAATGCCTTTGAGAATCTACCTTTCCTACTGCGAGGGATTGAAAGATGAGGTAAGGCAGGAGAATATCTTTGAAGCTTATATCAATTCCCCAGAACAAGGGCCGTCTTCCATTGAAATAGTATGGGCTAGCCGCCAGTCATTTCGGCGAAGGAGATGTGAAGAGCGATGTGAGAGAGTGCGATCACTTTGATCAAGAAACCGGAGTTGGATTATATACAATAGTTGAACGATTAGCACAATGACCAGGAAGCAATTCAGAAAATACAGAGCAGTGACCCGTATATCGGTCACTAACTAAATTGCCAAATTAATCTAAGACTGCTTCGCGCCAAATCGAGGTCTTCTCGACAACCTCACCATCAAATTTATTTATCTTCTCATTCATCACTTCGCAATGATAGAGCTTTCATTTTCACACGTAATTCGGCCAAGCTACATCAGAGAGATATCAAGGATATTGATTTTCCCAAAGCGGTGAGTTGCACTCTCCATATTCTGGGAGTTATCAGACGGCTTATGCTATTAGGTCATTGAACTGCTCGTAGCGAATCAAAAGGAACCGCCTTTGAAGCTATTGTTCCATTAAAGAAGGCCTTTGGGAAATCGAGTAAGGGAAATTGGGGCTCTGGTACCGGGGAACATTCAAAAAGATGCATTGAAATCCAACAAAAAGGAGTAAAAACTGAGGACCTGAGGACATTGAACCCCCTGAGTGGATCTCATTGGCAGTTTCTGTCCGAAATAAATGGATATAGAATCACACTCTTGACTCGCTTGTGATGTCAAATTCGAGCTGAGGGCTTCATTAGTCTCGGAAACAAAAAGAAAACCTTTTTGAAGGTGCGTTGCCAACGGTTGGCAATTTTCTCCGCCACTGCTCTCTGCTTCCGGCTATCACGTTCCGCTCTCTCCCACCTCCGTCTTTTTCAAAAAGCATGAATGGGGATATACTTCATGCTCCCATCCTTGCCGATGTATCACCTTGCCGTTGAGTTCTGGCCCCGCTAATTGCTGGAAAGACTTATTATTTGAAGATTATTTATATTTATGATAACAGCTGTTAGAACAAGTGTTCGGCATCTTATCCTTAATGCAACACGCGGTTCTGAGTGCCATTTGTCTCCGACAACAAAATACCGGGCAACCAGTGTCTGCTTCCCTCTGGGATCAAGCGGAAGCGGCTAATGAGTGTCTGAGAGAGTAATAGTGCTTTTTGTGGCATGGACGAGTCGTACTGTGAGATGGACAAAAACATGCAAACTGCTTTATAAGTGTTGGCCACAATGTTAAACATCACTGGCTTGAATCACCTGAGTGTGGGAATAACCTACAATTGTGCCTCGGATTTCCCTATTCTTGGCATGCAGTTGTAGTTAGATGTTGGAATCTGGCGCAAACAAGTCAATAATCAAAAATTATACGTTCATCTTCGATACTATTGGTCAGAGCTGTCTTGCGGAATGAGCCGGTCGGATCTGGAAGGACCCCATCCTGAGGATTGATCCTTTTGGCGCAGTGGGAAAACGCCATTTTACATCCTTTGGCCCATCAATTTTTAGCAAGAAGCCGTTCAGACACATAGTTACCTGCAACGAGGCAACTCCAACACACCGCAGGGTATATATAATGTCCGCCGCGCTCCCACGTTATGCTCATTACTCCATTTCTATTTACAAGCAAATGCGACTTTGAGCAGCTTCGTTTTGCACATCCCCCACTCCCAGTCCCCATTCATAGATTAGATGTGATTTTACACAGGATTTATTCACAATGAGCCTCATCTCCAAACTGCCGACGGAACTGGTGGAAGAAATTACTCGGCATATGGACAAATGTGTTCTGAAAAATTTCGGGAGTGTTTGCTGGAGATTCCGCTCCATTGTCGAACCGAGATTATACGAAACGATCGGCTTGAACAACCCGGAAACATCTTACCGTGAGGTATTGAAATTGCTGATAGCCATCGATAAACGGCCCCGGATGGTTTCTCGCACGGAAGCAGTAACCATATTCGAGTCAAACCAAGCCACAGGTGAGAGTGAGCTTGTTCAAGCTGCTAAATTGGATCCGACCGTCACCGTGAATGAAATCATCTCACACCTGTTGTCCAAATTACCCATTCTCCACTCCTTTCATATCCGCTTTCCCCCATGTTTACCTCATCTTAGATGTGGCTTAGGCATACCTTTCGACTTCTCTAACCTAAGGAAGATTGTAAACATTCGTTTGCCATGGTATTCCCTATCTTCAACAGCAGGATTACCTCCGACACTAGCACGCCTCGATTTGGAGAGAGTTGGCCACTGGTCGACGGGGATTATGTGGAAAATTTGCTGGTCAATTGTGCCAAACAGAAGCATGTTGCGGGCCCAGACGCAGGTGGACTAAAAATCATCACCATCAACTTTTTGTTGCGGCATCTAAAGAAGTTGGAAACTATCTGCGAAAATAAAGGGATACGACTAATACTGTGTTCGGGTCCTTACCAAGGCTCTTTCCGGGCAATGTACTGTACGGAGTAGAGGTCGTTGAACCTTGGGACAGCAATGTAGGTAACTTCTAAGTTATTATAATATTAGTTTACTTTGGCAAGCCAACACCCTTGCCAGCTTCAATCTATTCGTCAAATCTATGAACTCGCCAACCCCATCCGGGGATGGAATTTTGGCGTCCAAAGGAGCTTTAGGGAAAATTATAAAATAGCCAAAAAAAAAAAAAAAAAAATAAAAAAAAAAAAAAAAAAAAAAAAAAAGGGGAATCTGTCACAACAGGAAATCTGGGGAAATAGCGGACCCTTCCTCGAAATAGGTGAGCCTGGGGAACAGTCATGATCAAATTTGTCATGCAAATGTATATACATGTATGTACTGTAAAGCATCCATAACCCTTTGGATGGGATGAGTCTTCAGCCAGTTCCATCTTTGGCGGTTCTCCCCGATCTCTTGTTCACATACTGCACCAAAACCAACCTGGAACAACCCTTGACATGAAAATACCAAAAAAAAGGGCATCACGAAGAAGGAGGAAGCCCAATGAATGCAATTGGCATAAAATATGACCTTCAATCGTAGCTTGAAACCCCCTTGCTCGTCAGCAAGAATAGTAGTGGTATCTGCCGCTCGATGTCATTCGTGCGTTGTTGCGACATGTACCCAAGGCCAAGCTGATAACAGTCGGTTTTCCAAGCATTAGTTAGCTACTTCGAACTGAGTTGTATTAACTTAGCACATGTTCATTATTGTCTCGGCTATGGTCGACAAAGGAAGTATAAAACTAAAAACTTTTTACCACTAGTTAAAAGGAGAATTCCCCCAATTACCAACGTCTTAAGTTCACAATTTTATGCCTTGAAGTTTCACAGAAAGCCTCTAGAAGACAATAAGAGCTGTGCATGGAAATACTAGCACCTCACACTAATGCGGATATAATCTGGGCGTTGTGTATAAATAGATCAGGATGCACCCGCATACTGCGAACGTTGAATTCAGAACAGCCTCAAGGTGACCAGGACCTATTCCACATTAGGGATACTCGTAGTTTCAATTTTGGAAATCACCTGGGAGGTTCCGAATGAGCTATATTCAGACAGAAGTGTGCTGTTTTGCCCTGTGTCATTTTGGTTGTCGTGTGTGCCCATGAACAGGAAATGTTTTTAGGGGCCATTCGGCATTGAGTTTAAATAAGTCAGGCTGCGGGCTTGGCCTGACCGGTCCCCACCGTTCCCCGTTGCCAAACCTTCAGCGCACGGATGATGATACTAATTAAATGGGCGTGGTCCCGCCGCAGCATCAAGTAGATTGTTTGAAGGAAATCTCGGTTTGTTCCCGGCTGTAAGACGGGCGCATTGCGCCAGCTCCTTGGTCAAAGGAGGTACTCCGTATATACGAGGTTCTTGGCGAGGGCACGCAACAGGCATAAATACATGGGGAGTGTGGAGCTTGCTCAAGCGAAGTTTGTGCACCACCTCGCGTACTTCGAAAAGAAGAAAAATACTTGTCCCTGGACTGGCACCGTCATGAGGTAAAACTTTCCAGGAGGATCAGCAATCCACAATTAACATCAAGCTGAGACTGATTGATAAAAATTGGGCCTCCGCAGGCCTTACCAGGGGTGCTTCCGAGTCGTATGAAGCAAGCAAGTCTCCAGGACTCCAGCATCACACCGGACCACTGCCCGAGAAGTGCAATCTGTCCAGTGGAACAGGCTATCTGAGTCCCTGGACTGTAGCCGCCGGGCTCGTCCACGGATGTTCCCGGTAACGTGACTTACCGTCCCCCTCTCAGCCTCATCCCGATCTCACCCAAACGTTGAAACGCCAAAACCTTCGATCAACTTCACCTCCAGCTCCAACTTCGCCTCTCCCTTGATCGAGATCTTCGGCGTGTCTCTCCTTTGCCCACGGCTGGGGGGTGCTTGGTTCGTCTTTCTCCTGTTTTGTCTTGTTCCTTCTTGTTGTGTTTCCCCTCCCCGCCACTGTCATGCCCTAACGATCCGCACATCCTGAAGTCAACCATCTTATTATTACTCGGCCCTTTTTATCCTTGTGCATACCGCTGTCAGCAACCTCTCTCCGAGTTATATTTAGATCTACTGCTTTGATCGCTGCCACCGCGTCAAACATTTCAAGTTTTTTTCTTTGCAACCCTCCGCCCCACTAATCATCAAGCAACACTGCGACTCAACCAACAACCAGGCCCTAGTTCTTTAGACTACTCGGCGGCCTTTACGGTGAAACAAACTTCCGCCAAAGAAGTCCTTCCCCGAGGGTGTGCGGAAACACAACTTTCCCCTTTCTCAGTGACGTCCATGTCCTCCCGGACTCATGCAATTCTTTCATAAAAATAAATCTCAGGCGTCACTAGTTGGTACTGTCGACAACCGGGCTAATCACCCGCCACCGCCGCATCAGCAGCAGCAGCAGCAGCAGCAGCAGCAGCAGCAGCAACAAGATCGCCATCTTCAAAACCAACATCATCTCCGCCACCAACCCGTGGGCGAATCGCTCGACTATAACAGTGAACCCCAATCCCAGCGGTATTCTTATGTTGATAACGAGGCATACGACCAAGGCTACGCTCACTCTCACGCTGCCCACACAGTTCAGCATACTTCCAATTATCAGAATCTGCAACCGAATGACCCAAATTTCATCCCTGGACTAGCTATCACCTCCTATTCACCAACTGTTTCCCAGCCTTCTCCAAATTACTCTCGACGACCGACGCTGAACCTGATTCCATCCGCTGCAAGTGGATTTTATTCTCCCGATACCTCCACAAACCCCGAAGTCAGCTCGTCCGATTTGTCGTGGACCCCTCATAGCCCTGAGACATATCCTCCCCTAGAATCCCTTCCGAAGAAGTCGAGAAGAAGCATTTTCGGCTTTTCATCTTCCAAGGACTCTACGACACCTGCGCCCAAAGTGGTGGGTCGAAACCTCTCTGTGCGAAAGAAGGATAAAGCACAGACAAGTGGGCCGCAAAACACTCCAGACAGGCAATCTGCTGAGCCCACTCCGGAGTTGTTTGAAGAGCCGGCAGCTGGAACCCGTATGCCACTCTCGAAAAAGCCCCCACAACCATATATCCAGCAGCAACATTTCTCTTACCCTTCTACAACCGCCAATCCATCATCTTCTCACGTTGAAACTCCGTCATTCGACCAGCGTCCAGAAAATCGTTCTGTTCAACGCGTGAATACTGATACACTGTCCAGCCAAGAATCCATCTACACGCAACGAGAATCTAGTGACTCGTTCCAAGCGAATCCATTCTCAGAAGTCCAGCAGTCTGCACCTCGCAACCCTCAGTTCCATATTAGCTACCCAACACGACGTGACTCGATTGCTGACTTTACGGAGCCAACTCTTGAACCACCCCATTATTCTTCTCAGTCAGAATCCCTCCTTACCGCTCGACCATCCTCACAGCAGTCTGGAGGCCCGCCTCCCTCCCCGCTCCACCAATATCAAACTACTGAACCAAGCCAACAGAAACCGTCTTTCCGCCAGAACGCCCAGCCATCCGCCGGGCTTGCTCAAACTCAGGGCAGCATGCCGCCGGACAGACAAACGGGATTGCGGCAGCAGGTTGACTCTACTCCTCAGCATGGAGGGCAAGGTCGAGAGGGCATAGGCAGTGGCCAATCCCAATATCCACCAAATCTAGCCCAGGGCGGCAGCTTCAAAGGGAACCATTCTCAGCAAAGCCTGGGAGACCAAGATCGGCAAACGCCACCGCCAGCTAATAATGGTAATAATAGTAATAAAGGCCGCGAAGACCATTCAGAAGCAGAAGTCCGTGCGTTGGTGCAAAAACACGAGGAACTCCGTACGTGGCCTTTGTGGGGGGTTATAATTTTAAATATTATTCAAAAACCCCCTTTTCCTTACTTATTAGCTCTGCTGACCATTCCTTCATAGAAGCCAAATATCTGAAAGTTAAAAAGTATTATTTTGAGAAGGATGCTCAGGTTCAACTACTCCAGAATACAGTTGCTCATCAGCGGATGGCTACATCTCGCACGGTCCTTGATGACAGCGAATATATGACTCGATTCTCCCGGCTGGATGGCGCAATCAACAATCTTTCTTTCAACATTCGCAAGGAGTGGAGGAACATTCCGATTTGGCTCCAAGGCTTCGTTAACGAAGATGCTGTTGCTGTCGGCACCAAAGAAATGACGGCAGCTGGACGTGCATATGTTAGTCGATGGCTGGTCGATGAAATATTTGACCGGCTTTTCCATCCGGGCCTGGAGCTGAATCTTTCCCGCACGTTAAAAATGATTGAGCACAATGTACGGCGCGGGGCTAAAATAGCCTCCGATGAGGATAGAGAGAACCATCTTTCCAAGTTGTCAGCCTGGCGCAGGACCACGTTGGATGGATTGGGCGAGATATTTCAGAGCCGGGCCGCGGAGGAGAATAGATCGCAGTTAATCAAAAACCTCGTCGAGAAGCTCACGGCGTCCTTGGAAATGCATTTAAAAACCCCACCGCCACCGGGCCTCGAGAACGGTGTCTCCATGATCGTTGAGCTTGCCGTTGGCATCTCTGCAAATATCCCCTTTGAATCGAGAGAGATCGCGATAGAGTACTTCCTCCCCGGCTCTCCGATATCAGATACCTACATGAAATTAGAGGTATCACTTCCTCCACTAGTCGGGCTACCCGAGCCTCAAGCTGCTGTCGATCGAATAGAGCAAGGTTCCCCGACGAAAGGCATGAAAGCCAGTGTTGCAGCGGAGAGTTCTTCCCTGCTGGAGGTGGACAGGGACAACGGGAAGGACTCCTCGTCCTCCTCCACCGCCCAATCTGGCCAATCACCCGTGCCGCCTGCACAGCCCAAGGAGCCAAGGAAGAAATCGATATTTGAGTCGCTGATGAGCAAAAAGCCGCATTCCAGCAGTTCCGGAGGTGCGGCCCAGGGACAATCTGAGCAACAAACTCGACCTGCCTCTGCTCTCACGCGTGAAAAGGAGCGGGAGGAGGCGGAGTTTAGAGAAGGTGACAATGGCACCAATGCGAACGCCGGAACTAATCAACACAGCCGTATTAGATTTGCGGCGTTTGTTGCTGTGGAGGTGAGGAGCAAGGGAGTAGGCAATGTTATTGTCCAGGCACCCGTCTATGGAGTAATGTGATCCGCTGCCTTGTCATCCTTTTTTTTTTTTTTTTTTTTTTTTTTTTTTCCTTGATGGATCCGGTTTAACTCCCCCTTCTGTTTTGCCTTTGGGCTATTTTTGTTTGAATTTTGGTTTGGCTTTGATTTTTTTTTTTTTTTTTTTCTGGTGCGTAGATGTTGGAAAGAGTCGACGATTAGTCGTAGTCCAATATGCCCAACAGTTCTTCTATATTTTTCCATTTGGAACCGGTCAATAAATACTCTTTTGGTTTTCATTTTTCGGTTGTGAAAAAGTACTAGAAAACATATGAATGAACGAATCCACCTAACCCAGCGTGCGCTGCCCCCTTGATTTCCGTGTATCCGCATTCCCGTTTCCCCGCCTTTATTCTCCTCCAAACGGTATTTTTATCATGCTGACCGAGACTTGTTGAATCTTTGAAACTCAATATCTTGGATGGGCCCCTTTACTCTGTCATATTTCTTCAAGTTCTCTTCTCTTTGCCATATTTTTCCCGCTTGAAGAGAGAGCGGAAACTCCAGCACGAGATGGGACGGTACGGGATAACTTCGTTGGCCCTGTACTTTTCTCTATATACATCGCTTCTTCTGTGTGATTTCTTTCTTTCTTTTTTTGTTCAACAGCACACATCGTGAGGCCATATAGATTTTGACGGAAAATCCGCCTCTTGAGAATCTCGTTATCATTCTTTGCTACTTATTGTTATGGCGATAACCCCCTTCGGCCTCAACGATGATGATTTCTTTTTCGTTTCTTCAACCTTTATTTCTCTTTCCTACTAGATTGGTGTAGCAGATGCTTTCCCCAAGATGCACTCGCCCATGTTGGCTTTTGCAGTTTTGCTAGAATTACGTTATAACCCCGAGTGAGGAGGGACGCACTTTTAAAAGAAGAGAAGAGTACAGAGCAATACAAGTCCTCCTATCTTCTACCTACTATGGTTGCTAGGCCGGAACTAAGTTAGTTAACTAACTAAGTTAGTCAAACTTATGTAATCCGCAAGCGAACCCGCGCCAAGTCTCGGCCCGCACTAGTCTGTTTACGGCTAGATGAGGATTTTCGATCCCACAACAGCAGACATTCAACGCAGAACAACCTCCTCGTCCTGTCTCGAAACCACCTCGCCAACTCTCTCTTCCCGACAACCCCCTCTCCCTTCTAGCCAAGCGACGATATACCCGCCTCGCGCGCTTCATATATCGCCCATCATGTGTACGTATTGGCCCCGTTTCACCTGCCTGCACGACGAGGTTTACTGAATTCCGGGTTTTTTTTTTTTTTTCAAACAGCGCTCGTGACCGGCGAGAAGACGAACTTCCAGTTCATCCTTCGTCTTCTTAACACCAACGTCGATGGCAAGCAGAAGATCATGTACGCCTTGACGAAGATCAAGGGTGTTGGTCGCCGCTATTCCAATCTGGTTTGCAAGAAGGCGGATGTTGATTTGAACAAGCGGTGGGTTTTCTTCTTTCTTCTTTTCTTTTATCTTGCCCCTTTCTCTTTCTCTGCTATTGCTGTGCGATTGGGATTGAGATTGAGATTGGGCTGGTCTGTTTCCATGGGGATTTTTTTTCTTCGCATCGTCCATGGACGATGCGAATTAGGATGTCGGTTTGGAATATGGAAATTTGATGCTGGATTAGAATTGGGTGGGAACTACAAAGATGCAGGAGGAAGAGAAGACCAGAATGTCGATACACCATGACCATCCGAAGACGCACCACAGTTGGAAAGACATACCTCCTTTTCAAACCCCATCTCTCCACCCAGTCCGCCTAACTCCACCAAAAAACCCCCTCCGAAATCCCCATACCCATAATTTATTTCCCTTCACCCCCTGCTTGATTTTTACTTAAGTAACCATAAACTAACATGGAAAACCCAAATCCCACAACAGCGCCGGAGAAATCACCTCCGAAGAACTCGAGCGCATCGTCACCATCATCCAGAACCCCACCCAATACAAAATCCCCACTTGGTTCCTCAACAGACAGCGCGACATCACCGATGGCAAGGACTCGCAGGTCCTCGCTAACCAGATGGAGTCCAAGCTGCGCGAGGATCTCGAGCGCCTGAAGAAGATCCGCGCCCATCGTGGTCTGCGTCACTACTGGGGTCTCAGAGTCCGTGGCCAGCATACCAAGACCACCGGCCGGAGAGGGCGGACTGTTGGTGTCAGCAAGAAGAAGGGTTAAACGGGGTGTACTTTTGTTTCTGTGTTTTCTTTTTCTTTTTTTTTTTTTTTTCCCTTTTTTTTTTATACACTTTTATTTGGTGTCCGCTTTGTATTTCGCTTGTTTCTTTTCTTTTTCGTGGTTGGTTTGGTTTTGCCGGGTTGTGGAGGAGAGCGTCTGTGGGAATGGGAATGTTTTATGAAAGGGGTAGTAGGGGGGGGACATTTAAGAAAACCTGTTACGGCAACGTCATGGACTCTCTTGTCTGCGTTCCCTGTTGATGCGGCCCATCTTGCTTGCTAGGCTCTCCTGCGATTGAAACCCCGGATTCCCTAGAGTAATGAATGGAAAGAAAGAAACCAATGAAAAATTATACAACAATGCCATCAGGGAAAAAAAAAAAAAAAAAAAAATCGCTTGTATGACTCCGATTTTTTCATCCATCCATCCATCCATCGACTTTTGCTTTTATCCTCTGTGTCCCTTCCTTCTTCATCTTTCGATGCTACAATATCGTCTGTTCTTATCGTATGAACAGGCCCGGGGATACCGCAGGTGATTGATAGATATTTATCTCAGAAGAAACCCATTTTTTGTAAAGTCAACACACAAAGTCTACAGGGAACTTTGACTGGCCCCTCCCCTCCCTTCCGGTTAGTCTTTGTATCCCTGTTTTATCTTATATTCGTTCCCAGCCTCCCTCTACTTCCGCTCAAGCGACGTGGGATGGGCACGCGTCCTAATATTAATATATTAATATATATATATATATATATATACATACATAAATGAACGAAATAGCATGGAACCAAAAACGGAGTAAATACATGCATTACGATGGAGGATGGATATGTTTAACTTTATACACCCAAAGGCAGAGAGGAATGAAAGTTCGTAATTGCCAGTTTCCACCAAACACACGGGCGAAATTCAGGAATTTCTTTTGCCTGGCTCAGCAGCGTTTACTGTGCTAAACAACTTGACATGTCTACCATAGATGTTTTATGCCTGTTGCTATTTCCTCTAGTTATAGTGTACATGAGTAGTCACGCGAATGCATTGCGTCTTTCTTCTCTTGTGTGAGTGACTAGAACTGAAGGAAATTGTAATCATGAAACCGAGAGAGAGAGAGAGAGAGAGCTGTGTGGTTGTGAATAAAGAAAAGAAAACCCCAGAAAATCAGTTTGCAAGTCGAACACAAATAATCAATAACTGCAAAGTAAACAAACCCCTTTCAAAAGAAAAAGTCAAGATCAACACCCCATGAGATGTTTCCCGGAAGTATCGTCGTGGATACTATCAAATATAATAATATGCCTCGTAAAATAAAAGCTCACATATATGACAGGAGCTTCGGGTGCCCACTTCGACTGCCCACTCCTAAAGACTCTAGATGTAGCTAACGTGATGAAATGAATAGAATGGGATTTTCTAGGGCGATTTATCCGACCATTCGCCGCCCAGCCAGCGGTTGAAAAATTCCAAACTCGCTTCAGGTTGATCCATCGGGACCATATGTCCGCCACCGAAAAGACGCATGAAGGTGAAGTTGCCCGCGGACTTCACTTGGCCGATAACCCTCACATCTTCATGATTCTGGCTGGTCAAGTTCTTCATTTCAGCCGCCGCAAATTCATTATGGCCGGGGTACTCGAGTGCCTCCGTCCAGGCTTTATTGCCCAGCCAATTACATATGAAATCAGCATCACCAGCATAAATAAGAACGGGCATTTGAGCGAGAAGCGTTGGCACGACACGCATGTACGGTTGCATCCAGTCGCCTTGGAAGAGGAAGTTGCGGTTAATATCCATATTGCAGGATTCGTAGCTACTGACTTCGGCGCCCAGTGACTCCATCACGGCGTTCCGGTTCAAGTATTTGCTGATGTCATCTAGTTGGGTGTAGCAGAGGCTGCCGCCCTCGCACTTGGATCGTACATCGTAGGGGTTCATACCGCTGCGTTGGTAAGGGCCGATCAACGCGTTGTTGCAGTAGATAGAAGCGGGAACGCAGGACCATCGGCTCTCAGTGTTGTAGCACGCTTGGATCATGGCAAGGCAACGGGGAAGTGCATTATCCATAGCTTGACAGCTGGACGAACTCAAGACCGCAGGGTACCCACCTTCACCGCATGCCATGGGTCTGTAGTGTGGGTATTGAGAGAGAGGATCGGTCAATCCGTTCCCAACCAGAATGGACTTGAGGTTGATGTTGCGGTGTGAATGCGACATGATTTCGGAAGCAAAGACTGGGATGTAATGTCCCGCGTAAGATTCGCCAGCAATATGGAAGTCCTGCCGGGAATACTCCGGGAATTGCTCAAAGAATAGCGTGAGAAGAGCATAGACATCTTTAGCGGCAGCTTGTGTGTTGCTCACTGAGCTGCTACTGTAGGAGTACCCCACATTGACTGGTTGGTCGAGGAAAATTACCGACGCATTCGAATTCCATGAGAACTCGTTGTATTCCACCTTTAGTTGTTTTGTTATCGATGATGGACCCAATTCAAGAAAGAGACCCGTAAGTGAACTGCAACCAGGACCTGTCCAGTAGTGTGACATCGGTTAGTTTGTTTATTTAGTCGTATTTTCGTAGGAGGACTCACCGCCGTTAAGCCAGAGAACGACAGGATCATTCTTCGGGTCGTTGCGAGACTCGAAGAACCCTAGTAGTTGGTTAGCAAGCAATTTTCGCTTTTTTTCGTCTCTTTTGGTTTTTGAAAAAGTTGTTGTTTGGGGGCCGAGTCAGGGAGGAGATGGTTTGAGTGCCATACAGTAGAAGAGATGTTTATCGTTCTCGTTATCATCGAGATAACCGCTATACTGCTTGACAGTATCAACACCAAGATTGGACGGGTCAACAGCCTTGACCCTCAAGTCATAAGTATCAAGTCTTCCGCCGACTTTGCGATGCTTCTCTCCAGCGTCTCCCTCCACCCAGACAGCCTGGACGTCGGAACCGCGGACGATGTGGTCCCACTCGGAATCCGGGCGACGGTTATGTTTCTTGGGTGGGGGAGTCTGAGTAATGGCATCCATGAGGGTGTCTGGGAATTTGTCCATCACGTCTTCCCAGACATTGCCGGCTTGTTCGCTCAGGTGGCCAAAAATATCGCTGATCTTTTGAAGGGGTGTTTCAGCAGCTTGGGGGTGGTCTACAGGTTCCCGAAGGACCTGCTGCTGCGGCCCAGAGGCGATTGCACCTCCAACGAGGAGGGCAAGAGCGAGAGACGACTTCATTGTCGCCGGACCTAGGCAGTCTTTCAGGAAATAGAGGTTGTTCCAACCTGTGAGATGTCTGGTGTTAAATGCTGAGCTAGACAAGGAAAAGTAAGTAACGACCTGGCTTGAATGGCATACATACCTGGAAGAAGGTTGCCAAGAGAATGGAGCTGCTTCAGGCGTGAGGTATAGATGAAATAACAGGATGAAGCTCAAGTCTGAGCGGGATGAGCGGGATGAGGTTGATGTTGGAGATGGGAGGAGGGTTGGGGACTGGGGACTGGGGATTGTCGATGTAACGAGAGGCAACCAGCTAGGGGAAGGCCCGGATTGCGTCACCTGACTGGAAGCTGCCGACCTGTCACCGGCTCCGATTGGGCAATCCACAAAGTCTGCGACAGCGACAACCTTTTCCCCACGCACTATTTATAGCTTCAGGCGGATGAAGCGGCTTGTGTGGCTTCTGGCAGGTCAAGCGGCAACAAGTTCCGGGACCATTTTCTCATGGACCTTCACAGGGACCAGTAACTTATAGCAGAGCAGAGCACAGCAGAGAGCGCTATGGAATCGACACCCATACATGTCGGGCATAGCCCAGAATCTGCAGCACCCATTTTTTTCTCAGTCCAATCGGAGAGGCATAGCGGAGATGGTACGGAGTACTATATCCCAAGTTGGCAGGATTTTGATGTTTTATTTACCTTCATCCCTGAGTGGTAGCGTTATACGTCACCTAGTTTCAATGACAAATGATGATACAACTCTAAGAACACCTGCCAAATTGCCTCGCTGGAGAGAAGAATCCTTGCGTGTTTCAATCACGAAATAAATGTTGGGCAGGGCTGTTTTGAAAGAAAGCCATTGGAATAAACACCACCCTACAGTAATGCTTGACAATATTGACTTGACAGGTTCCAACATGGAGATCCATAGCACCCATCTGCATAGGATGTAGAAACCTCTGTCCTATGTAGTTACACATTGCGACCATCACCCATAACTCGTAACCTTCCACACGGCCCATTCAACCCCGTGCTGTGTCCCGCCAATGGCTCAGTGCTCATGAAAAGGATGCCGAATGGTTTGTCGATTTATCCGTGCTGTGGAGGTGAACTGAGGCAATTCTCACAGGAATGACTTTCAAAAGATTCACAGAATGGAATGAAATGAACATCCCGAGTAGATGAAGGTATTACCGTTATGGGTGGTAGTTCTTTTTTCACTCATTGAGAGACACCCTGTTCTGGGCGATGTCCAAGTCCAATAACGTTCATTCGACGTAAAATCTATTCGAATCCTGTTACTGAGCATCTGATAAAATCTGCCGCTGAATCCTTCAAATCTAAACAGGGTCACCGAGATCTGATATTTTGAACACTGGCTATTATAATGTTCTCTGCATTGGCGATAGATTGAGCGCGAGCAAGTTCGTGTTTGTTCTGTTTGCATTACGTTCCCCCCCTCAATTCAATAATATGTTGGATATTGAAGCCAGTATTCGATTTCATGTGAACTATTTTCTTTTATCGACTCGATAGATACCACTCCAGTCATTATACTCGTTGCCGCCGCCCTGTATAGAATCCCCTACATCAATACTTCAGCGTTCAAACAGGGCCCGCCCTCTCGAAACAACGTACGACTCGTGAACTACCCCTCCCCGCGTTCAAAATGCCTGTAGGCATAAACCAGCCCTCAAACCAGATTAAATTTACGAATGTCTCTATCGTCCGGTTGAAGAAAGGTTTCCCCTAATCATTTTCTTCTTCTTCTTCTTCTTCTTCTTCTTCTTCTTCTTTCCTTTAAATCTAACCACAAACTGTCCCCAGGCAAGAAACGCTTCGAGCTAGCTTGCTACAAGAACAAGCTCCTCGAATACCGCTCGGGCTCTGAAACAGACCTGGACAACGTCCTTCAGATCCCCACAATCTTCCTCTCCGTCTCCAAGGCCCAGACAGCCCCCGCTGCAGAGCTAGCCAAGGCGTTCGGCCCCAAGGTGTCCAGCGATGAAATAATCCAGGAAATTCTGCGCAAGGGCGAGGTACAGGTTGGCGAGCGTGAGCGGAGAGATATCCTTGAGCGGATTGAAAAGGAGGTCATCGAGATCGTCAGTGCGAGGCTGGTCGACCCTGTGTCGAAGCGGGTTTACACCACCGGCATGATTTCGAAGGCGCTCGATCAGTTAAGTGCCGCGAGCGGGCAGCAAGGCGCTGCCGCCACTGCAGCAGCAAAGGGCAAAGCTGCCGAGACCGTTGATACACCTGATGCTGCGGTGCCTGCCGCCGAGGAGTCCGCTGCGGCTGCTGCTGCTGCTGCGCAGGAAGACGATACGGCATCCAAAAAGCCGATGTGGACGGGCGTTGTAACGAAAAAATCCGCCAAGACGCAGGCTCTGGATGCTATGAGGGCGCTGATCGCCTGGCAACCGATCCCCGTCATGCGTGCCCGGATGCGTCTGCGGATCACATGCCCCACGTCGATTCTTAAACAGGCGGTGAAATCTTCGCCTGGCTCTGGTGGCGGTGGTGGGAACCACAGTTCGTCCCCGACGAAAGGTGGACATAAGAAGGGCAAAAAGTCTCGTTCCCGTTCCAATTCTCATGCTCAAGGCGACGACGACGACGACGACGACGACGACGGGATGCATGAGACTGTGGCGCCAAAGGCATCTGGAACTGTCAAAGATCGCATCCTAAGCTACTTCGAGCAGGTCGAGGTGCAAGATGTGCTGAATGTGGAGGAATGGGAAGTTATTGGATTTGCAGAGCCCGGCGCGTTTAAGGGGCTGAGTGAGTTCGTGGGAGGCGAGACGAAGGGCAAGGGCAGGGTGGAGGTTTTGGATATGGCGGTTACGCACGAGGAGTGAAAGGGGAGCGCGGGATCTCTCTATGCAATTCTCTCCGTGCAATTTGTTTTTGCATTCCTTTGCTATCCTATTTGTGTTTTGGCCGATATTTGATATCCTGATGGAACACCATGGACGACCGTAACGTTTTTTATATATGTCATTGTTCATGAGATGGCATGCTAGTTGAGAATCATGAACCTTTCTCGACGATTCTATGGTTTTTTTTTTTTTTTTTTTTTTTTTTTTTTTCTTTGTAAAGCATCGGCGCATGCATCACCTTCGTAGTATTGCCAAATTGGCTAAACCGCATGAAATCTTTCGCGAATGGCTTGAAACGGCTGTGAGTAAAAAGCTTTCATCCAGAGGTCGTGTTAGAACCAACTCCATGTTGTTCGTGATTTACCATACTACGCAATCATTCGGCGTCCATCCCAACGCAGTTACGGATCTCACTAACCTTCAAGTGCATGTATCGCTTGACCGAGGGAGGGGCGGTTTAGAACTAGTAACCAGTGAAAATGACTACATAATTCAAAGGACGGGACTGAAGTATATATATATTCCGCCGACCATAAAATGGAAGTCTAGCCGACGTATGTTGCCATGAATGCAATTGTCTATACGTTTATCTATCCATCTATTTGTTACATAAAATTGTAGTGCCCTTGTATATGTAGTTAAACTACCATAGCATATTTGTTTTTTAAAAGTTTCGAAAAGCCAAATTTGCCGGCTCTATTCGTGCGAAACATTTCAGACCTATGAGCAAAGCATTTATTGGAAATTTTCAGTCGGTGTGTTGGTATAGGTGCCCGCAGAGAAAAGGATAACAGGGAGAACAAAGGCAATGGGGAAGGGGAAAAGAAGAAAAGTGAGAGGGAGAAAACAAAAAAAAAAAAAAAAAAAAAAAAAAAAACAAAACAAAACAAAAAAAAAAAGCAACGAGCCGCCACATATGCTGCGGATAAATGGTAACTCGCTGTCGAGCAGTTTGCGCCACCGCACATTGCCAATATATATGATCAGATCCGGCCGAAAACCCAAGCGCCCGGTAACCCGTCATCCCAACCAGCAGACAATGACAAAGAACAAACTCATTACATCGCAGTAGTCTGCGTAGTAAAATAATCCAATCAAAACATCATAATTCATTATCTTAGCTCTATCGCCTTCAACGCACTCGAGAGTCCCGCCGGTGAGACGGGCTGCGACATGGAGGATGGTGACACAGTTTCCTTTTCTGCCTCCGAAACCTGATTGGGTTTGATGGTGGGGATTGTTAGGACTGTCTCCGCCTGTGTCGGGAGCGTGTCTTGAGTTTGCAGGGTGAGAAGAGTGGAGGAACTCATGTTTACGTCCACTGGGTGTGGTGTTCGCAGGCCGGTGCTGTGACTACTATTTGGACCACCACCGAGATCGCCCTGTTGTTCCGAAATGGCAGTCGTAGTTGGCGGTGAAGCAAACAGGGAGGATGAAACCATTCTTGCATCTGATGCACCGTCCGATGGCATTAGATGATACGACTGATTCGTTGCACCGACTCCGCCATCGATGTACTGCACAATTCCGCCTTCACTCGTCACACTCCCTCTCCGTGATGGTGGTGCCCTCGTGCCCAACGGCGAGAGCTCTGAAAGCATCGACCGCGGCCGATCCGCGCTCAACATTGCTCCTGATATCGAATATGCGGCCAGCCGCTTGATATGTGCTTCATCGAATGGGCCCCGGTATTTCGACCGTGGTATCTCGTGTGCCTTGTATAGCTCGATTTTCGGCTTGCTTGGTTTGATTCCACCCTTTTTGTGATGACCGTGGGCCTGCCTGGACCAGTAGCCGCTCTTGGGATGGCTAGATTTCTGGTTCTTTGAGTTTTTGGATGTTTGGGGCGGAGAGGAGGTGGGGAGGGAACCGGAGCGGGAGAAAACTCGCTTGATCTTCTCGCGGAGGGGCTTTATGGACATGTTGGCGAATGTCCGAATGTTCGACCCCGGGGAATTGTTCCTTGATTGAGGTTTGAGGTCACAGAAGGAGGCACAACAGAACGGTTTGGTATTTGGGAGGTGAGAGGAGCGTCAAAGATAGAAGCTATCTGTCGAGAAGCACTGATCATGGCTTCAAGACGGAAAGCGTACCTTTTGGCCTGCTGGAGAAGAAGGAGAAGGTTTTTATGACCAAAATACGGAGTATGGGGACGTTAATGATAGAAATGGTAGAGTCGAGTTCAGATTTGTTCGGTTCCTTGGATCCGCCAACTCTGACCCGCGGCCGAGACGCAACGGAGAAAGAAGCTTGAAGCTTTGGTTCGGAAGCTGGGCAACGGGCGATGGGAAGCGAACGGTTCATATATTGATCTCGGCAATGTTGAAATTTTCGGTTTCCATTTCCAAAAATTTCAACGGGGAATGAATGGAAAATCATAATAGATACCAGATCACCACGATGGCGAGAAGGAGGTCTTAATACCATTAATATTATTTATTCATTATTCTTATTGGTTCAAGCAATATTTAGGAGGCTGCCATTCAGACGTGAGACGGACAGAGACGGAAATAAACAGGCCCCCATGGTTATTTATGCGCTTGTGCATTTGCTGCGATTCTCGACGGTCGGAAGACCCACATAATGTAACTAGTGGACATCAACTGCCTCCAACCGTGGACACCATGGCGTAGATCGGTTGGTTTGGCTTGCGCAAATGATTCAAGGTTTTAACCGACATTCGACCAGGGCAGAGGAATTCGCTGGCGACGGCTGAACATTTGGCTGTGAAAAATGATACTGAATGGAACCATCCATTTAAAGCACACCCACACTATTCAAACAGGAGGTATTCGACTGGGGTTAGGGCTTGGGAAAGAGGAACAGAGAGATAACTAAAGCCTTGCAGTCTAATACGATGTTTGAAAACCACGGGAATGATTTTCAGCTGACAATCTGCTGTGCAACTTTTCCCAGTACGGAGTAGGTATTCCCGCCTTTTATAAGGAAGGGTTGTTTTTTTCCTTTTTCTTTTTCTCCTTTTGCTTTTTTTCTATTCTTTTTTCCAAATGGATCTCAGGCTCTTTTACCCTCCTCCTCGTCACGCGAGCCAAACCTTTGGCCGCAGGAATGATGCGGCCAGTGTCTGGTGCTTATGAGCTAGGTCTACTCAGTAAACCTTTTTTCAAAACCTTGTCCAACTCTCACCCCTTGATTTGAACCATATCCAACCGCGGCTTGTGAACCGAGGTAGGCCCAGGCAATGGACGATTGAAAACAGAGCCAATCGTTTATTTTGTGCTAGCGGGAGAATATTCCAAGCTCATTCGGTTGCGTTTTCTTTTCTTTTTCTTGGAGTTATTCCGTGCTTCGTAACATGCAGCTCCCCTCCGCGTGGCGGCCAACATCGCTCGTCTGACACTGGTGCATCCGGCATAACCGTGAACCTTGCCAGCTTTCGCCGCAGAACAATGTGGAGAATTTTGCGAATTTCCGGGGCATCGACAGATCATCTTGAGAACAAATTTTTTGTCAATCGGATGATAGAGAGCTATATATACCAGGAACGTATTCGACTGGAGTTCAGGTTTTTGTTTTCTCTGTCCGTCTTTTCTTTGCTTTCCTTTTCTTTTTTTCGACGCGGGATTCCCAGCTTGGAGAGTTGGATACTGCCAGCATCTAGCTCCTCATTGGCTCAACTAGCCCGCCACTAGCAAACTATTCCTCTTCGGGAAATCTCCAGATTCCCGCGCGTCTATATCGGCTATTTTGTCTTGGCATGGATCTCTTGTCTTTGGCGTGTTTCAAATCGTCCGACGTGAGCGTCTCAAGGTTTATTTTGTACTCTGATATGATATGTTTGGGGTTTGTGTGATATCTCGGACTATCCAGGCGGTAAAAGATGGACCACCTATGCTAGCAGCTATGATTCTAAAAGAAGCTGCCCTTTGAACACGGGTGGCGAGGAAACGAGCAGTAGGCGGATTCCCGCCTGCTACATTCGATTGCCATATGAACTACGCAGTAATGTTGAACAGGACTCAGATATACTGCTTAATGCTTTTAGGTTTCCTAAAAGTATCGGAGGGAGGCCAGAACCATGGAAACCCTATCGCATAGGCTTCTGGCTTCACAACAAAGGCGTCAACGTAAATATGACGTGGATGACCTCATTCTGTTCACTGCACCTTATGCCCATGCCATCTCCCCCCTCCCTTCTCTTGACCTGTCCGGTCATAAACCAATTGGATATCCCTCTTGCAACAGATTTTGTTTCTCATTGACCGTATCCGAATCAATCATACCAGTGGGGAATTTTTTGATGTCCTCTCTTATCAGGTACCGTACTTGTATCTGTTACTGTTAAAATCCTCAATTCATCTGTTTCCCGCCCTTTCTGCTGCACTGCCGCTACTTGCTTCAGCGGAGGTAGTCACTTATTGGGATGCTTGAGCATGGTTTCATGCATTCGATTTAAACTCCATAAATCCCGATCCTTTATTTGCACAACATGCACCGGATGAAGTCACTTGTGTGAGCTCTTCGGATTTTCCATCTTTGGATGCCACCTGCTGATGATCAGAAAGTCATCGTGAGCCGAGGGAGCCCAAGAAATCTGAATCTTCCATCGAGCGAGAGCGATCGACAAGGAAATCGAATGCAGTCCTAGCCGGACAAGGATCTCACTTGGCTGATCTGCGATCAGATTGGGAATCAGAAAAAGTTCAACCTCGCTATCCCGATGAAGAGGCGGCTTTCTCAAGCCGTTCATCATCTCCTGAACTGCGCCACCGTCGCATTGATTCTGGTGTTGCGGGACTGGAATTGTCACAACAAAAGAACAAAGAGTCCGCCAATGGACGACCAACTGGTTCGACTGCGACAGCAAGCACTAGAGAACAAAATGTTCCAATGCGCGATGACAACCAAAGAAACCAGGGCAGATTCCCAGTGTCGATGCGCTCTGGTGATGTCTCCTCTGGGCAAAAGCAGCAATCAGCGCAACGTAAAGTCGGAGAAGCAGCAGCTTTTGCGGCAGCAACTGCCTACTTTCACCGCAGACCAAATGAGCCTGTAGAAGTCATGAGATGTAAGCATTATTGCATCCTTCGATACTTATCACTACCGTGCAAATACCCTCTGATTTCCATCCAATTCACGCGTCGCTAACGTCCAAACTATATCAAAGCTGGCGAAGCTATACATCGTTTGCATAAATCTAAAGAGCCTCCGCCCATGTCTGCTTGGGGAAAAGCCAGAGAGTGCCGCCCTCTTGCGCACGACCCGCTGGCTGGAGTACCACGGAGGGATTCCAGCACGCTGGGTAGTTTTGAAAGCCCTGACCCCACACCTTCCACAGAACAAAAAAGCGCACCACAGCGTGCTGCTCAAACTGAGCCTGCCGCTGCAGACACTGCACTAATTGAGGAATCTGGATTTAGGCCCGAAGGCTATTCTGGAACGATGCAAGAACCAGATAGGCGCGAATATGAGGGAGAGTATGAAAACCCTTCTGGCCCCGACGCTCCCATGGATGAGAAGGGATATGACAAACCCGTTAGTGGCGGCCCAGGGAAGGCCCTAGAAACTCCCATGCAAGAGAAGCAAAATGAGGGACTCAGCAACGATGGCCAATGGCTGCGCCAAGAGGACCCTACTGTTCAATCTCCCCGACTTACCCATGTGACTACTTCCGAACATGAACCTGAGGAAATTGCAGCCCGCGAAGAAGCAACACGCCGCGCAGTTGTGGAAGAGGCAGCGGCTAGAAGAAAGGCAGCCGAGGAAGTTGCTGCGAGGGAAGCAGTTAGTAGAGAAGCTGCTACTAAAGAAAACATTGCCAGAGAGACTGCCCAGGGAGAGGTCTCAGCCATGGAAGATGCGATACGGGAGGCATATGCTAATGAAAACGTGGCGAGGGAATCAGCATCTGCGGAAATATCTATGCTGGAGGAGGAAACCTGGCAAGCAATGGCAAGAGAAACTGCTGCTCGTGAAGCTGCAATCGCGTCGATACAGTCCGCAGAAATTGACACCAGAGAAGCAATTGAAAGAGAAGCACTCATGAAACAAAAAGCGGCAGAAGAAATAGCAACTAGGGAGGCAGTCACCAGTGAAGCCGTTGCCAGTGAAGTCGCCGCACGTGAGGCTGCTAATAGGGAGACCGCTATCAAGCAAGCCAACACACGAGAGGTAGCAGCTGAAGAAGTAGCCGCTAGAGAAGCGCTGCGGGCGGGTGGCTTCGATGAAGCCGTCGCTAGAGATGCTGCACTCAGAGAAGTCGCGGCAGAGGAAACCACCGCGATGCAGGCTGAAGGTAGAGCCTCCATGCCGCAAGAGCCTGGCTCCCGAGGCATACACGTTTATGAAACTGGTCCTGGACCCGTCACTACAGGCGGAGCATTTGCTGAAGAACCTCGCAAAGAACAAATTATGACTTGTGGTGCAGCGCCATGTGCTCAGCCTGCTGATATAGGTGTCTCTTCAGCTCCCACAGCTCAACCAGTTACTCAAACCTCTCATGCGGAACAAGACCCAGGAGCGCACGCTCAGGAGCAGCGACAGGATGGAGTGGAGCCTGAGGGAAGGGGGTCTTTCAAAGAGGAGAAGGAGCTTAGGAAACAGATAAGCAAGGAAGAAAAGGCAATACTCAAAGAGAGGAACAAGATGGAAAAGAAACTCGACAGGGAAAGAGCTAAAGAAAAAAAGACCCACCAGGCGCAACTGAAGAAGGAAGAAAGGGCCAACAGGCAGCGACAGAAGTTAGAGAAGAAGCAGGAAAAAGAAGCTAAGAGGCAGGAGGAGATGAGGAACAGATCTGCGACCGCGGATGGGAGCCAGAGAGAGGATAGACTTCTGGCCAAGATACGTCGCTTATGGAGGAGCGAAAAGCAATGAACATGGCTTACGTCCGTGGCGATGCGCCAGCGATTCTCTCTCGATATCCTTCGGTTGTGCTGCTGCAGGACCAGCTGTATGCTTTTCTCCATTCTCGATTTTCCTTCCCGTTCTCCCTTTTCCCATGGTTTTGGTTTTCCTTATGTCTACAGCCGACTCTTTCGAAATCGAAACCACGAATTAATTTATTGGAACCAGCATGAGTTCGTTCGGCCAGCGAGCGATGTAATGTGGAGAAGGCAACATTTTGAACATGTGGTAGTGAATTTTCATCTGCTAATAACGTGCAAAAACCATCGAAGTTAAAAGTATGCTACCTATATTTCGGCTAATTGCAACGAAGGCAACGAACAGTTTGTGGAGGGGTTGAGTCGCGTTAATTCGTAATGGCCCCTCTTTTCCCCGCAATACCCCCCCTTGTGCATACACATCAATATTGACCCTGTTGAGTTATGGGGTTTTATTTTCCTCATTCATTCTCAGAATTCCCCTTCCTTGCGACTTCTGCCTTAATTGTTTATCCGATGGAAACATAATCTTGCTCCCTTGATGGAATATTTAGGTGTCTCTTTGTTTATCTTTAATTTGCCCTTTTTATTTCATTTTAAATTCCTCCTTCCCCTAGGCTAGCTTGCCTCAGGAAGCCAGAAAAAGTGAGTCCGTCGCAGCTAAAAAAATTGAGAGACATGTGGGATTGGAAAGCGGAGTCGTCGAGGTATACCTAGATAGAGGTAATATCCCAGAGACTCATGCGCGTCATCTTACCGTAGTTGAATACACAACATAATCAAGTAATGCTATTATGTGTCAGATTGCCTGTCATGTTTTAAGTAAAATAAGTAAATATTAACCGAATAACTTAAAGGGTATGTTGAGCTTCTTTTGCCATTCAAGCGCAAAGTTGTCAGGTTAACTAGTTAGGGCACATCGAAGCACGTGATTGGATTGTCTATACAAGTTTTCTAGCCAGATCAGCCGTATGAGAGCTGATGCAGCTTCCTGGATCTTTAGTGCTGAACACAGATAACTACGCGGGCGTACTCCTACGCTCCACATCCCCCATTCGTGTTTTCAGCGTCCAACCCGGCAGCTGGCTGGGCCGTGCAAGGTTGGAAGCAAAGCATGCTGCGAGGACTTCCTATCCCGCCCTGCCAAACTGCTGCTTATTGAAGTAAAATGCCGCACGTGCATAAATGGGCCGTTCTGCGGGTTCAATCCATGGCCGATTAGGTTCTCGTCTCCATGTTCACCCTTCATCCCTCCTCGGAAATCCATGCCATATTCGTTGTTGTGGTTGGGCATGCTGATTGCGGTTTAGTTATTTAAAATAATATGCCCCTCCAACCCCTCCAATCCCTCCAATGCACATGTCATTATGCAGGTTTTCAGCCGACAGGGAGGGGAGGGGAGGGGAGGGGAGGGGAGAGGAGGGGTTCGCCATTGAGTATTTTTCCTTTCCAGCAATGTGGGTGATAAGGTGGGATTTCGATGATTGTTATGGGAAGATGAAACCCCTCCCCCGATCTCTTTCTTTTTCTTTTTTTTAAAAAAAGTCCTTCGTTGCGGGTTTGCCTGATTTTCACCAGAAGAGAAAACAAGCAATGTCTAAGCATTTAAGAGACCCACTGATGATAGCCTGTGCATCCATCATTCACCTTCTTTGTGGGGGGATTGGCTGCTGATGGCTGGTGGTTGTTTCAGTTACTGTAACGAGGCTGAAGTGATAGACTCGTTAGGTGCAGAACCTTCGGTTTAAGGAACCAATTCTTTGTCACCGGAGTTAAATTGTCTTTGGGCGTATCTAGTCAAAGTTTGGCTCTCCCACTCGGCCTTGCTAGCACTGGTTTGGAAGTTAATAAGCTGAGGACTCAGTGAACCACGGGGAGACTTAAAGCATAGCGGTTTCATATCAATGCGGTAGTCTGAGAACATCATTGCAGGGCTTCGTCCAAGCGTTTTATATTACTTGGCCCGCCTCGCCCACTTCTAAAGTTGCTTCTCTCGGCTTAACACTGATACTATTTTGGTACCTGATTTCCAGAGGAATAGCTTCCTATTTTCCCGCCAAGATCGCACCTTTACCGCCAAAGTAGTAACTACTTACCGCCATCAAAACCTCTACTATCGGCCACTATGGTCCATCTCGCAGCAATTCGAAAGGAATCGGCGGTCCTGCCGATTCGACAAATCCAGCGTATCGAAACTATCCCGCTCGAGGAGCCTCAGGAACATGATTTTTATTCCAGCGTCTATGGCTCTCGGTTCGCGGCAGAGGACTTGCCTACGTTGGAGATGCCAGAGAAAGAGATGCCCAAGGAGGTGGCGTATAGAATGATCAGGGACGAATTGAGTTTGGATGGGAATCCGATGTTGAAGTGCGTTATAATTTTTTCTGATTTGCCGGTGCAGTGCGCAGCGGCTTGGCTACGTCACAGTGGAGAGGCCTGATCGCGGGGTTTCATCCTTAATGATCGGTGGGGCTATATGCTAATTACGGAGGTTTATAGCTTGGCAAGCTTCGTTACCACCTACATGGTAAGCAATCCGGATAGATCCACTAGTTATACGAGAGAGCTGAGATGGGCTCCGCCGTGATCACTATTCGCTTGCCCAGGATACTAATGTTTTATCTCGAAAATACAGGAGGAAGAGGCGGAGAAGCTCATGACCGAATCGTTCAGCAAAAACTTCATCGATTATGAGGAATATCCGCAGTCTGCAGAGATCCAGAACCGCTGTGTGAATATGATCGCCCGCATGTTCAATGCTCCTGGCGAGGATTCTCCAGAACATGCGATGGGAACATCATGTATCGGTTCTTCGGAGGCTATAATGCTGGGCACACTTGCCATGAAAAAGCGCTGGCAAAACAAGCGAAAAGCAGAGGGAAAGGATTACTCACGCCCCAATATCGTCATGAGCAGCGCCGTTCAGGTCTGCTGGGAAAAGGCAGCTAGATATTTCGAAGTTGAGGAGAAATTTGTCTATTGCACGACCGAAAGATACGTCATCGACCCGGAGGAAGCTGTAAACCTCGTGGATGAGAATACCATTGGCATTTGTGCAATTTTAGGTACTACTTACACCGGCCAGTATGAGGATGTACAAGCAATCAACGATCTTCTTGTCGAACGTGGCATCGATTGCCCCATTCACGTTGATGCTGCCAGCGGTGGATTTGTTGCTCCCTTTGTAAACCCGAACTTGGAATGGGATTTCAGACTTGAGAAAGTTGTCTCTATTAATGTCTCCGGACACAAGTACGGCCTTGTATGTGCATTCATTAGGCAATAAAATGCGCGTAGGCCAAATACTGACAAGTCACCAGGTTTACCCCGGTGTTGGATGGGTGGTCTGGCGTTCTCCGGAATATCTCCCTAAGGAGCTCGTTTTCAACATCAACTACCTCGGCGCCGATCAAGCTAGCTTCACCCTTAATTTCTCCAAAGGTGCTTCGCAAGTCATTGGTCAATATTATCAAATGATCCGCTTGGGAAAACGAGGCTACCGCTCCATAATGATCAACCTTACACGCACCGCTGATTATCTTGGAGCTGCCCTGAAGGAACTGGGGTTCATTCTCATGAGCGATGGTCGCGGGCATGGCTTGCCCCTTGTTGCCTTCCGCCTTTCATCCAAGCAGGGCTTTGAGTTCGATGAGTTTGCGCTTGCACATCAGCTTCGGGAACGTGGCTGGGTGGTACCTGCGTACACTATGGCGCCACATAGCGAGCAGTTGAAACTCATGCGTGTTGTTGTTCGAGAGGATTTCAGTAGAAGCCGCTGCGACCTGTTAGTCGCGGATATTAAGCTTGCGTTGACACACCTGAGCGAGATGGATCGGAAGGCCATGGACAAATATAAGCTGTATGTTAAACCCCCCGATCCAATCTCCCATCAGTGTGTCGAGGGTAAGTAGTAGCTTGTTAACGTCTGTGAATATACAGCCATGTACGCCAACACGTTTCCAATGTCGGCAAAGCCACCCATAACCCCCCGATTTACAAGGATGATGATCACTCGCTGCAAGGAAAGACCGGGAAAACTCACGCCATCTGTTAAATCAAGAATTTGACGATGGCTTCGCGATACCCAGCAGCATGGGCTTTTGCATGCTTGAAACACCGCACACGTCGTTCGTTCTTTTTCCACTTAGGAGTTAATTGCCCCTAGTTATCCCCAGGGTCCGAATAACTCCATGAGTAGATAAGTATCGTACCTTGGATACAAGGACTGGTTAGAGTGTAGGGCTGCTCTTTATTTCGCTAAAACAAGGATATGAGAGAGAGAGGTTGAATCTGGCGGGGAAGATGGGATGCAAGGATATCTCCCTGGCCATATATGCAGACGTGTATTCCACACCTGGCGGAAACCAATCTTTCTTCTTTGCGGCTGGGATGGGTTGCAGTCAGCATTCTAGTTTCTCAAACCTGCGTCCCTAGCTCCATAGATTTGACAACCACACTTGATCCGGATGTTCACTTTGAACCATATTCTGTCCATCTCTTCGCCTTGTTTCGTCCTCTTGTTATCCACTTCACAATGCACAGGGTGACACTGTAGACGGCGCCGTTTCATTAACGATAACCGACACTGCCCTTAATCGTTTCACACCCGATCTGCTTTAAATTTAGTACTGGACAATAGAAATGTAAGCGATTGGAAAAACGATAGGATCGAGAGTATCGCTGGTGGGGCATCATCAAACTGGTTCGCTTTTGACACTCCCGGTGAAGTGCATTATCTCTGGTTAAATAACGTAGGAACAGAGCATACCTTGACTGTTCAGTTATCAATATCAGCAATCAGTAACCGCCACCAGCAGCTAACAAACTGCCCCGCTGTCAGCGTCGTCTGCTAGACCTAATCAAGTTCGTCAGCCGGGTTTGTCTCCGGAAACAAAGACTCTTGGGTGACATGACCATGAACATGAACAAGATCTTTGGCGTTGTTTTGATATTTAGTAAGTCTGCTAGGTGAAGTCATGTCCAGTTAGTTTTTCTTCGGTGATCAGCTTGTTGATCTACAGTGCTAAATGACATAGTTACCTGGGGATCATGCAAGTAACTATTCAGTAGTCTCGACTTTCGGTCCCCAGGAAAGTAGTCCGGTTACCCGCTATTCTGATATATCTCAAAGAAGCTCTCATTACCCGCAAAACGAGCAATTCCAGGAGATAACGGAATATCATAACAGAACCAACGGATGACACAGGCGAGGTCTTGAGGGCCAAGAATAAACCACCACTTTACCACAGCTGTTGTAGCCAGGAATGGACCTCGTTTTTCACCATTGCATGCCTGCAATTTCTTCCTGGGGCATTTCTACAAGGTTTGGGCGCCACCTGTTCAGTGGCTTGTTTTGGCTATAAACAACGGCCCGATGGACACTTTCTCCCCGGGGGTTCACCTGAGTTGTAACACTTCGTAGCAAGTTGTAGACTATTCGCTAGAAATGCAGAGTACGATAATACGACCAGACTTTTGTTCAGCCTACAACAGCGGCGAGCTTGGCGCTTATATCAAGTTCGTTTGAAACGGGTTTCTATTAACTAACTAACGGGAACCCACTAGAGACGACGAATCAATTGTTCGCCAGATGTATCTCAGTTGCAGTCGAGACTTCCTGTATAGATGATATGAAATTTGAATCATTGTTCCCCTATGCCCGCAGGTCTTTAAATATGTCATGGAACCCCCCCCCCCCGTCCCCCTGGATATATTCTGCTATATTCTGCCTTCCACAGCACCCTCAAAATCATTTTCCTGAGTAGTCCGGATTATATTGTCTTATCTCTCTGTTCATAGTTAACTATAAACCTCAAAATCCGACAATTACCAAATATACCATACCCCTTGCGCAACAGTTCCTATATTTCACATCTCCCGTCCTTCACCCGCAGTTCAACATGAAGTGCTTGTCCGTCCTCCCTCTGTTTTCTCTCGCATGTGCTGCTGTGCTTCCAAATCCGTTTCCGCGGGCAGAGGATATCAGCCCAGCAGACGTGAAGCTTAGGGGGGTAGCTTATGGCGGCAGCGGCTGTAACCAAGGAACATTATCAATAGAACTCGACGACAATGGCACCAAGTGTCCTATCCGGACAAGAGATTTGTACGCCAGTAGCGGGCCAGGTTCTTCCCCAAGGGACCAACGCAGGTTTTGCCAGCTAAACTTTGACCTCGTTTACCCTCGCGGCTGGTCATTTTCGGTCTTTGGAGCCGACTACAAGGGCTCTGTTTCCCTGGCCGGAGAGTCGACTGCCAGCTTCAAGACAACTTATTATTTCTCTGGAGAGACGAACCAGGTATGATTTGGGTGTTTCTTTCTTTCTTTCTTTCTTTCTTTCTTTCTTTTCCCCCCCTTTTTTTTTTTTTTTTGGGGGGGGGGGGGGGGGGGGGCCTTCGCGTCCCATGCGAAAGCCCCATGATTCAACCACCACTAATGCGCCTCATAACCACAACCACAGGCGACCAGCTCGGTCGGCTTCAAGGGGCCTACGTCTGAGAAATTCGAAAAGCATGATGTGGTGGTTTGGGATACCTGGTCGCCCTGTGGCTCCACCCAGGCAATGCTCAATGTGAAGCAGGAGGTGATTGTGCACGGCGCCGGTAAACTCGCAAGCACGTCGATGGATGGAGAGTTTGGCCATACTGTTTTCTTCAAGTGGAGAAGGTGCTAGGATACTCCACTCCCTTTTGGTTCTGGTGTAGCAGCCATTTGTTTGTCTTTATTCTTCGTATTCTTCATTTCCTTTCCGTTTTCTATTATGGTGGAAGTGTGGATATTGGTCCATCCTGAAATCTGTGGTTTCTGCAGGGTATTATTCATGTTATTGAATACCGTTTACACAACGGAGGAAAGACAAATTGCTGGCATTTTCCCTCTTACTATATGCCCTGTATTTTATTCATAGTATTGGTGCCTTTAAGAGAACGGTTCACTGGCTTTTTTGAGGTTGAAACGCGGCCACTGGTGTGCAAAATACCAGCCTCGAGCTGTATTCATATTTAATACGCTTGTCCAAAGTCTAAGGGGGCAAAATAAATAAAACAGAACAACTGAAACATGGGAACAATGAATGATTGCCAATGAAGCTGATGAAATAAAATTTTCGAGTTTCTGTGTTGACTTTGTCCCACCCGCCGGTCTCGAACCCGGGCAACAAAAAAAAAAAAAAAAAAAGCAAAAGCGAAGATGGGAAGCCTACAGAGTAGATTCCCATAATAACCAGCGTTAAGTATGTTGTAGCTTACTTCGCTGGGATTCTGCGCGGAATTGTCGTATTTAAGAGAGGAATAGCTGACTCAGCCTTTACCTCAAGAACACGAAAAGTGTCGACTACTACAAGGAACGACTGGCCAAATCCGCAAAACGATGAAATACCCTCGATTGGGATCTACCACAGCCTTCGAATTACGAGTCAATACTATTGCTCTTTTGACAACTGCAATTTCTATTTCCAGTCCATTGCCTCATCTATTCTTTGATTAGGGCGAGAAAGATGCGATATTGGCGTCTGGTGGCGGAGTCAAATAGGTCTCTCACACTGGACTGGTGGGCATCGACGATAGCATGCATTCCCTTCATAACGGCATATTCCTGCTGGAAAATAAAAATGCTCATGATTTATTGCGACTCAGCTGGTTGCTGGCAGATTTGCTCTCAAGCCCAGCTACCATGAATGACACTTTCAACTTACCTGACCGTGTTTGAAGCGGACAAGAACAGGAGATCTCTCCACTTCTGCCTTTCGTTTGATTGTGTGAGGTGTCGAGCCTGCGCCTCGCACATGTACACCTCGCTCGCATGTCCGCCTGTCCCAAGGTGTTAGCATACCTATGAATCTGACCACTACTTGATCGAGGCTGCGGATTGGCTGCCTCACGACAACGTGATCTCGCTGCGGAAATACCCTTCTCCTTGATAAGTAGTTCTGCACATCAAAGCTACATATGGGGAAATCCGGATTGGAAATAGCAGCCTGGTTCGTTGCATTGAACAGTGGTTGAGTGAAGAATATCGCCGCCTCGACAAACAACCTAGAGCTGTTATTTCATTCCGGGTACTGCCTTTGCGACCATCGACGCATTTATTTGAAAATTGTGGCTGGGTTCCTTATTCCCTGAGCTGTTGTTTGAAGTCAGAATGGGTTGAATGTTTATTGAGTGATAACATAAAGTTTTCTAATGTTATTGCAATAGTTATTAAAACTTCATGCTGCGGAGCTTCCTACTGGTTACTCACTATTCTATTGACGATCTCCATCTCAAGATTTTCACCCAACATTTACCTGAGCAGCTCCATCTTCTTGCAGGATATAGTATGTTAATTCAACCGTGCTTTCTTTTCGAGTTTGACTGAAAAACGATTTTGCGCGGCGACGTGACTGACACGAAACATTCGGTTCCTTGAATGAATGCCATTGTTTATATAACCCCTTCCTCGAGCATTTATTGTCAATGCTGTTTCAACTTCAAATGTTTTGTTTGGCATTCCTCGTTCGGCCTTGTCATTAACTGACTATTCAATTTTATTATACTATACCTAACGCTCTGTTTTTTATATTTATACTCTTGCTAAAACAAAGATAACTTAGTTTTCTGTCACAATATCTCTTTATTTTTTTTTTTTTTTTTCTTGTATCAAATTCGAAATAATCAACCCCTTTCACCAGTGATACATATTTGGCTACATCCTACGCTACTTAAATCCCCCAAGCTCGCAAACCCAGAACGCACACGGCTGGCTATTTTTATTCCTAGCTCACCTCCCTATTTTTCTTGTTTCTCTTCTCTTCTCTTCCTTGTTAATGTGCCTTTTTATCTTGGTGGACAAATGGTCAGAAATGTACCAAAGTGGGACCCATTATATCCCCAATTTAACATCGATGCCTGTAAAGGCCCAGAAGACCTAACGAAGCTCTATGGCAAGACATCAGCGGACTTTAGCCACGCGGAGCTTAACAAGTTGTTTAAGCACTATGGATGGGGTTTTAAGTATTCGCTCCCGGATTTCGAGAAGGAAGCAGTATTCCGCCATCTCGTTAAGATCGTCCATTATATGCGACCCGATTTGAAGCCCAGCAAGGAGGATTTTGAAAAATGCAACTCAGATGCTGGTCCAGGGCTTTTATTACAAAAATGCTCCGCGCTACCATTTTCCCTTGACCATCCCCCTCCTCCTCGAGATCAACCGATAAATCATTATCTCGAACAGGCCATATACCAGTTTCCTTATCGGAACCTTGAGCGATGCCCATCCGCCTTTCCAATCTTGCGAAATGTGACCGAGAATCGCCACGTTCAGTTTACTAGACCAGGGGTCGCAACAGACAATCGCGATTGCGGCCAAGGACCAACTGAAGATGGAAGTCTTGGCAATGCTCTTGACTGCGCGATTGTGGCAGCATACCTGCTTGATGCTGGTTGCACAAAAGCTGACCGGGACAGTGTGAACTGGCATTCGATACTTGAAGACGAGGAGAAACAGTTCTTGGAGTTGGTTTGGATGGATTGGGGATGTGACCAGGATGACCTCATTTTTAAGCGACCCTCAACGCTGTCATCAGAAGCTCGGTCCAAACAAGCAGCAATACTCAGGCGCAATCTTATTGAGGGGCTTAAAAAGCGGAAGCCGGAATCGAATTACAGTCCTATTAGGCAGGTGTGGGAGTGCTGTACCGAATCTTTTCACCAATTTCTTGTTCGATACAGCCACCACCCTCTCCACAACGCTGGATATTCCGTTTTGAACGATGATAAACCATCCTCCAGCGGGTGTATACCTCTTAGCGGCATCGAGAGCGGTGATACGTCAAAGAATACCATCCAGGAACAAATGGCCTTGTTCTTTACGCATCCTTATCCAAGCCCACTCAAGTGTGAATGCGCGTTTGGCGGGGACCTTGTCTATCATCAAGTTGAACGGAGATTTCATGAACTGCCGCTCAGGTTGGCTTTTGTGACAGATCCGGAGAGACCGCCTACTTCTCAAAGCACCAGTAATATCACCATAAAATATTGCAACTGGGAGTGCAAATGGAAACAAGCAACCTACCAATGGTTAGGTGGAATATACCCAATTAAAAGGGGCGATTCTTACCGATATGTTCTCTTCTGGAATCACCGCGAGCGACATGGACCCAACATGGGAGTCTTGCAGTACGATCCGCAGGAGCGCTACGGGAAAATCAGAAAGGGATTTGAATTTACGTCGACGGACCATCCAAAGTGGCAAGACATGCAATCTGCACTCCTTTTTTATGAAAAGGTCCTCAGACCCGAATCAAAATCTCTGCAAAAAGTCATGCGTGCTGGGAAGAGTATGGGACCCTTTCATAGAGATGCCAACATCAGCAAACCAGATACAACTGCTAGTGTTAGCGTTCCCGCCCAAGGGCGGAAGCAAGGAATTAGGTATTTCGACGGTTATCCTGAAGATACAATATCTCCCCAACCGACAATCCCAATTACCATGACCACTCCTCAACCGCCATATCAACCCCAGAGAGGCCGTCCACAGGGCTCAATATCGATACCCGCTAAAACGACAGAGGTCCCTCACCATGGAAGCATAAACCTACAATATGTCGAGGATGCTGGGCATTCCTATCGGCCCTTCCAGACAGAACGGCAACCCCATCCGCATATGAGCGCTCACTACCCTCGTCGACATCAACAGCAACCAACACCGCCTCAACGAATGCAGACAGGCCGGGGCCTCACGCCTGCGTTTCAGCCATCACACCAGGACGCTATTTCCCAGGTTTTGGATGAACGCGGAAACACTTCGCAAAATGAGCACGATACACTGACGAACCATTTGGAGTATGGCCTTCTGGACAGTATGCAGAGCACACCCCAAATTTCCATGAGCCACACCCGCAGCCAGGCGCTTGCTCCTGGCCCCCTATTTCCTGAAGCATCCTCCGTCGCTGAAACCAACTATGGGTTTATGGTTAGCATGGGTGACCCCCTAGAGTAAGTAGCGCTACCCTTCGGCCAAATTTAGCAAACCCAGCTAGCTAACCAATCCTCTCAAAGATTCACGGGAGCAATAGATCAGCTGAGCCACAGTTCACCGGCGTTGCCAAATGTGACAAGCTCTCTGACCAGTGCTTCGTTTGCCTCGATACTTGAAAATTATTACATAAATGAAGACTCACAACCGCCTCCCCAGCAAAGCCACCCGTACGAGCCTGGGCTAGGAGGTCTCAGCTCAATCCTGTCACCGCAAATCCCTCCCATTTGGGATCATCAATTAATTCCTACTCAGGAACTACGACCACAAGGCGAACCATTGAAACGAAAGCAGCCACCGGAGGATGGATCTGAAGCATCTGCGCCGCCTGCGAAACGATACAAATGGTGAAAAGGAAAGAAAGAAAAACCCACCTACTTATTATTGATCCGCCCCTCGATGCTCTTTTATTTTTGTTTATTATTTCTGACATCCTCCATATATAAAAATTCAGTTCATGTTCATGCTAGATGATTCTGTCAAGCGGTGCGGATTTCTCACTTGCCTGCAAGCTCGCTTGTCTATTATCTTTTTCTTTTATTTTACTGTACATTGTGGTATATCTCTTTGTTTCTTCTTTTGGCGTTCTGTCTTGCTCTCTATACCTTCTTGGTTAAATTGCTATTCTTCTACCCTGTCCTGTTTCTGTTTCTTGAGCGTTCGCGTTTCATTTCCCCCATAGGTCTCATCATTTATACACATATAGCTCCCATCTCCCGGTAGCTCTACAGATTGCGCGTCTCTGTTGTCTAGGATAATATTGCAAAGGCAATGCAATGCAGGCTTCATTATAGTATAATCGGTTGTTTTCAATAAAATAATGAAGATACGGAAAATGAAATAAAAAATAAAGGATAACGTAAACGTATCAAAAATTTTACGATAACTATAGCGGCGATTGGCGCATAGGATTAAGGTTCGGCACCTAATTATATTCCTCTTACTTTTATTTTACAGTCTTTACTTTGTCACAATGAATGAATCCCTTTCCCATGACTAGGTGGCTTTAACCGAACTTCATCAATGTTTGAGAATAATTTTGAGTTATGGCAGGCTGGCGGCAATCCTGCCTCGCTAGCTCAACCGGTTTGTTTGTTTGGTTGTAGTTAGCGGCATCAAGCACCTTCGTTCCCGCGGCTAAGACACAGGGAATCGATCATAAATAACTAGCGAATGGATTCTCCCTGTTCTGGTTGATTATCTTTTTCTTTAGCTCCGGCTTCCTTGGTGGTTTTGTTTATGTGTATCTTGCTTCACACCCACGCTTATTTCCTTTGTTAGGCAAACAGCGATTTGACACAAAGGGTTATGCATTCCAAACTGGGATTTAACAAATGGTGTGTGGCGGATATATTTTTACCATGCAAAATATCTATATACAGCGTAACGCTTCATTATGCTGTTTTTGGTTTGCTTGGCGGAAGGGCAAACAAAAGAAATCACAGAAACAGCAAAAGAGGATGGCCAAAGAATGATAACAACTTGACAAAGGGGGCAAGGGGAGTGGGATTTGGAGAAATACGAAGAAAGGAGAGCGCAGATGTCAAAGCCTCGCGCGTGGTGTATCACTCTTCTTCGGCGCAGAAATATATCCACCAAGCTTATTATCCGTATTGATAATCCTCCCTTGAGCATCCCGCTTAATCCCCAGCTCCAGCAACTTCGCAAACACCTTGGCAAAGTGGTCAAAGAACAGTTCTTTATCCGCCGCGTATGCCATCACCCATTTCGAAAACTCCGGATCTGACAACAGCGCCATGTCCGTCGGCAACATCATCAGCGGCTCCTCCTTCTCATCCCCCTGCACGTCGGGATCCACGAAGTTAAATTGCTTGAATCCATTCGACAGCGTTGTCGGCTTCCAGTCCAGCGTCGTCAGTAGTTTGAAGTACTGATTCGAGAAGCGCGTGGGGTTATTCACCCACGGCCCCTCGAAGCCGCTGCGGTCCATATGTGTGCGTCCCAGTGTGTGGGCTCCCGACAGCGCGACGATTTCCTGGTCGTTGAAGCCCATGCGGTAGAAGATGTGACGTAGGTGATCGGTGCCCTGTGTGGCATCCGGCAGCCGGCCGCGGGGCGGAAGTTTCGAATCGTCGACGAAATCAGTCCGGCCAGGCCTCCAGGGGACATCGGGCCCACCCATGGCTTTTATGGCAACTACGCCTGCTAGCGTCCAGAGGTCTGAATATGTGATCCAGGGATGGCGTTTCTTGACTGGTTCGAGAAATGAACGAGCGTGTTCGAGGCCTGCGTTGGCAGGATCGCCAGCTTCGCCTTCATATCGCATGCCGGCGCCGTTGGAGCCGCCTGTGTCTGTTTCCTTGTCGTAGGTGCCGGATGAGTGCCTTGATGAGGATCGAAATCAGTTAGATATTGTGATGAAACGGGATGTGATGCGACAGAAGCGTGAACGGCAGAAGGGTGGTAATCTTACCAGGCCAGACGCACGAAGACAGGACCGGCGCTGCCGTCGTCGTATCCCGGCTTCTTCATCTCTGCGATGATGTCCTTGCGGACTGCGTCGAAATCTCCCGGCTTACTCATTGTTATACTCATGAGTAATCCTGACAAGTACAGGATTTGGCTTTTGGAAATATCTTCCAGGCAAGATAAAAGCGACTGTTGCTATTTGGTCGTGTATGTATTTGAAGGGAAGAAGAAGCATGAGATGAGCTTCTGGGTTAGGATGGCAAAACATCACATGGCAAAACACCAGCCTAGTAAAAAGTATGGTACGCACGCCTTTTTTAAATTCTGGCAACCCGATATAAAACCCCATCACTTCATCCTTTGCGTGAGGTGGCTGATTCTTTGATTGTTGCGAATGCCGCATGTGTTCTAATAGCTAGCTTCAATCTTCCCTATGCATTAATCCGACGCTGTCTGCTTGTATGCTCTACATTCCCCGATATCGTTTCCTAGCGATATCCAAACTTCCGGGGAATAGTTATCTTTAAGCTTCGCCTCTTGCGGATTTTCTCGCGCTGGACAACCTCCGAGCCAATCAGAATACAGGATTTGCGGAGTGGAATGCCTCGGCATCGACCTGCCAAATCATGTGAGGGCCCCAAATGGATGGATAAAAACATCTACTCTGGACACCGATGAAGAATCGCCGAAACGGATACAGATACATGGCCGACGCCCGTCTGGAGAATTGCGCTGACTATGTCATTAGGCCGGGGAGAGGGAAAAGCTACCCTGATTGCTAACTGCTACAACATCCCCAGCCCATCACCCTCCAACTCCCTGAGCTTGCTCTCAAGTCTCTCCACACTCGCCCTCAGCTCTCTGACCACCGAGTCCGCACCCTCCGTCACCCTGCGCATCTCCTCTAGATGCCTCCCCTCAATCTCCTCAATCTGCTTAACAACCCGTTCGCCCAACATACCCCTCATCTCCTCAATTTGCTGATCCTGTTCCTCCAGCTCCCTCTCCAGCCGCTTTATATGCCGCCTCCCGACCATATTCACCTTGTCTATTAGATTGTAGATGGGCGTGATCTGTTCTGTGCTGACGTTTCCCACCGCTGCTTGCTTGGCGATGTAGATGATGGAGGCGGCGATGTCGTTGGCTACTGCTGCTATGCGGCGTGATTTTTCTTCTGGGGAGAGCATTTCGAGGCCTGTTAGGCTGAGCGCGTTGGACATGGGGGAGATAGATAGGTAAAGTAGGCTTTGGTGGTGGTGGTGGAGGCGTGGTATTTAAAACAAAAATCCGTTTTTAATTGAATTTAATTTTGGTGCTGATGCTTTGAATCTTGCCTGAATGTGCGCTCCTCATGGTAATTTTATGAGCTGCCCGGTAGGTGATGACCCATCAATGTGACTTCTTCTTCAATTGCCTTATATATTCCTTGATAAACCCCCAAAAAATTGCGACATCCTGAGTATGTACAGTACAAAGGAGGAGGAACAAGAGCTGTGCGTCTTCCAGTGTGCGGGTGGGAATTGCGGGAACCCGGACATCTAAAAGGAAACAATCACCACAGTCTTTGGATACCACGGGGATAGGGGCATGGATGAACTCACTGGATAGCCAATGCAAAACATAAAGAGATTGACGTACTTCTCCCTTCTGTAACACTACTTCCATGTCATTTGAACGCATCGCATATGATGCATTTCATAATCCACCTCCCGCAAAAGGAGAGACAATGCAACCCACTAGACCAGTATGTAAATTGACCCTCTTGTTTAATCTGACTGGGGCTGAGGATATAGATCAAGATACATATTATTTAGGTTGGAATAAAGCGCTTGAGACGACTTGAGTATTTTCGGACCGGTTCCGGAAGATATCAACCCATAGTATATCGAAATCTGTTAGGCCACTGGGGCAAAAGAGCTCGATCACCAGCAGCGCCATGCTGTTATTGAGTAGAGGGGGACGAACCAATCCAGGCCCTCGTGCCGGCATAAATATCTTTGGCGCGGTGCTGCACAAGGAGCAGGATCCATCCTTCACAGCCTTCATAGATATACCTAGTACCACATATATATATGCGTATGACGAAAAACTGTGTAATGGAGAGATGGATTTCGACAGGGGATTGAATGTCAGACCTTGGCACCTTCATTGCTGCCATCGCCACTACCTCATCGGAAAAAAATTGACAAGACCGCAAACCGTACTCCAGATGAAGCATCGTATCAGTTTAATCATAGGGAAATGAATGCTTTTAGCTGTTCTTTGTCCTTATCATGGAGGCGTGTGGTGCATGGCCTGAATGCATTCGTCTTCAGATCCCGCGATAAACGCCCAGGCATATTTAGTTAGTTAACTATCATAGAGAGCATGAATTATTTATCCTCGCCCTGGAACAAATATCTACTCAGGATGATTTTCTCGACTCCATCCAGAGCAGACTGTAATCAGTTAGATCGGAGCATCCAGATACCAATAGGAGTCATCTGCTATGCCCTTGCTAGGTCGGAATTATTCTACTGGTATCAATCTCAGCTGAAGATGGCTGGAGACGGGTGAGTCAGGTAAAATCTCACGGAGCGATAGCGGGTAACGAAGACTATGCCCGCTCTTCTAAGTAGTAATTTCTACCAAGAACTCACTGAAGGAGTGATGTATAAATAGAAAATGAACAATCGAAAATATGCAGTGCATAGACAATTTTATTTCGTTTTTGGAGACAATTATCTTCTCAGAATTTGATGCCGTCATTCAATTGAGCATTTGGAAATACGAGGCATTTAGGTAAACGATATACAGCATGTCGGATTTCGTCCCGTTGCACATGACGGGCTTTTCTGCCTGTTCTTCAAATATTCTCGAGGGTAGGATGCTCCGGGGAGGATATGATTTGAACACATGCTGTCCGAGTAATACTGGGAAGCAGCGACAAGTTGAAATAGCGCGCAATCCATCATTATCTCATCTGGGAGTGATATTGTAGATTTTACGTGCCAATGACACTGCTTCATTGTTTCACAGAACTGGAGCAATTTCTCTTAACCCTAGGGCCAACATCTTTAGCTTATTGAGTAGTTAACCCCGCCGCCATATGCTCAAGTTGCCATGGCAACGTTTGACTTGGTATCGCCCTCAGTACTATATTACTTCATAGGATTCAGGACACCACAAGTCACTATAGCAACTAACTAGGGGATAAACAGGTTCTTTAATTACCCCTTAGATCTGAGTGTCGCAGTCACGAGGCCTATAGGGATATTCCGATAACTCGTCTGGACCATATTATTGCTAGCCAAAGGTGGCAGAACCTTCAGCACCGAGAGCCTTCCGGGAGAGATGAACCACTCCAAGGCTGTCTCTTCGCAGGAGCCTCTTTTACCTCGTCATCAGGCTTGGCAAATGTAGCAGCGACGATCATGGGGAAACAAGCAGTCGCTTCGACGAAGACCTAGGACAGAAAGTCAGTACATTGTCTAGGAGAGTCCGAATTTCAAGGATCGACGGTGACATGCCTTCACACTGCTTGCCCCAGCCTTAATCTTGCCCCAGCTCACAGCTTCATCCGTGCTTGCGCCTGCATCACTACCATCGAACTCCTGATTGGTATTGATGTACACTGCGCTCTCGGCTCCATTCCTCATCAAGCAAGCGTTCGCGATGTGATGCTTGACGACACCTCCTCCTAGAATAATCATTCCAGCTCGCTTCGCAAAGACACCTAAAGTGTTGATACGTCGAATGTCTTCGACAATGTCAATTTTCAGCTGTAGAGGCGATGACTTGAAAGTGTGGAAGTATGCCATGTCACCGAGACTGCCGTCCATCAATGCCGGACAGAATATTGGGATATTGTTCTTATATGCCCAATAGCAGACTGAGCGCTCGTCATTGATCTCTTTTCCGAGTCGATGGATAACCTTGGAGGGAGTCCAGTTGATTTCCTCTTCAGTGCCTTTGCTCGCCTCCTGCTCTTCCAACATTTTGTCGAGAATCGGCACAACCCATTCTTCGAACGCGCAATAGTTCTTGTTTGGGACTAACAGATTACCTATTCGATTTAGCCCCTGTTCCCGGAGTAATGCGCCTGATGTGTTAAATGCGCCCATATATGTATCTCCTATGCACTTGATCAAGTCTTCTTCTATACCACCAGCGGTCGTCACCACGGCCGACACGTGCTTATGTTCGACTAGGTACCGTAACACGCCACGCAGACCAGAAGATATGAGATTTGAGGTGTAGCCGAGGAATATGGTCGTTTTTTCGCGGGTTTCAGGACATCGCCAGGTTCTCTGCAGTAGTGTTAGTTTCCTCGACGAAGTGAAGCATACTGGGAAATGTAGCAACGTTGCGGGAGATTCCATACCATCTCGTTTATGATTCGCACAGCTTCACCGATTGAGCTTGCTTGAAATCCCATATTGCTCGTTTCGTTGATGAGATCTTCCACGGTGATAGCCCTTCCAGCATAATCATTGAAATCCAGCTCCTTGACTTTCTGTGCACCTATTGGCATGTCAACCGATTGCTTGAGGACCGCTGCTGTGGACACCGATGGTACGGCACTCGTGCCATCAACTCCGTTCCCCGCCATACTTGCATCCCTGGTCCTACAGATTCGATGAGTTTGAGTGTTCGAGGGACGGGTAGACTCTCTTTGCAGGCTGCCTTGATTCAGCAATCTAGTGTTTGAGGAAAGACAGTATGCCTTTCTTTGATTGTGCTGGATTATATTTATTTGTGCTGCGGAAAAAGAGGTTGCGTCATTAAGATTTTGACAGTACTTTAGTTGGAGGGGGGATCATGTGGATGTGGGTTAGTTAAACCCTAAGCGACCCTGGAACACCAAAAAGTTTGAAAAATTTTTAAAAGTCCTCTGAAAACTCCAAAACTCGAGTATATAATGTGGGGAATACTCCTCACAAATTGCCAGATCGATGTATGGACATCATGCCTTCAGAAAGTAAAAGCAACAACGCCTGCGAAGTCCCACTCGCAGAAGCCGAGAATGCTGCTTCCTTTGCAGAGTGCTTTACGGATGACCTCGTAGCGCGCTACAAGTAACCTCCAGATATCTGATGCAGTCGCCCAATTAAATCAAGAGAGGAAAAATTGAATCTTAGAATATACGATTGTCTCACCGCTGCCCCCCTGCTGCAACAGCCTTGTCATTCTGCCCCGCCCGGGTCATGACTCTCTTGGTGTTTGGCTGCCTCCTGGTTCCGACTGGAACTGGAAAACATGCTGGGGGAGTAGCCTATGGTTGCTCTGGCTATGACTTGGAAGGGAAGGCAGAACGCACTTCTTCGGCTCATGCGGTACATTGGAGGAGAGTATGATCGGTATCATGGGAACGAGAGCTTCCATCACTTGGATATTGACCGATTTGGGCACAAAGAAAGTCCTCTCGGAGCCAAGGGTATGCGACAAAAGCAATGGTGTACATGCTTGCATTGGCGCGTATATGTTCTCCTATCCGTGGTATCCCAGTGGCTTTCCTTGTACTGCGCTGGGCCAGATCCGGTCACCTTCAAAAAGCATGTGCTTTTCATTATATACATATCTAACGTCTGGGTATGCCGATGCTCAATGTCAACCCACACACGTGGAATGCTTCGACTACGTACTATTCGGAAATTTCGTGCCTGGTACCGTGGCATCTGGATTGAAGTGAAGGAACGTCATGAGGCGGCGATTGAGTCAGTAAAAAGATACGGCAAAATCGTGGAAGGTAGTTCTTTCGGGATGGAAGAGCAATCCAACCTTTCATACGTTCAGGGTGGGAGGACACAAGATGAAATGCCTTGGGGAACTGAAGTCTGGCCTTCACAAGCTTCACGATCGATTTATGCTTAACGGAAAATGCCAGCGGCACGGAAATGTCGGCATCACGCAGTGTCAAGTTAAGCACCATACGTTAGGGTTGGACTCCGTTTCCAAATGTAACATCACGAAAACCTAGAAAAGTTTGGCTTCCGAAAGATGAGTACGCTATCATTTGGTCGTGCTCAGGATCTAATTTCTTACAGACAATGATCAGAGAGCCAGGGTGTATTTTGATTGTTTTCATAGTATCTAAAATCCCTTATTGATCCCAAACAACATTGGAGAATCAGGACGACAGACGATAAAGATTATGCTCACATCTTGCTCCAGAAATGCACCTTTGACCCCTGACTCATGAAGCATCCTGTCCTCATGAGGCAGCTTGAGGCCGGGAGACCCAGACTATAACTTCTCTCAGCGCCTGAACATAGTCTTGTTTCCACGCAGCTATTTCTCCGAGCCAGCGAAGTAACATGCCATAGTGCTCGATCACATTTTCAGTGCGAGATATATGCTCGAATGGAGCTTGATTCCGACAGTGGAGGCGGATCTCTTCGAGTTATACTTATAGTATTTCCAATTTTAGGGGAAGCATCTCGACAATTTTTGCCGAGTACGAAGCGCCGGTGACCTGCCTTTCTCGGTGCTTAGAGCTGGGGCGGACCATCCACCATGCAGGAAGTCCCAGTCGTTTGAGGGCGGCGAAGCCTCGCATTGTTTTCATGACATCCCCAGTAGGGTGTTGCAGGGAGATGTGCTGATGTGGTTGAGCATAGACAACAAGCTCTTCCAAAGATGACTGATGGGGTAGCAGAGGGGCGGGGAAATTTGACGGCATGATAGCATTGCAATTTGGGAACCACTTTCCACTGTAGCGATAGTGTAGAGAAGTAAGGGCTTGGAGGGGCTCGCAGTATCGTGTCCATCTTGGTCGCAGAGCAGATGATGCTTCAGATGGCTAGGTGTGAGATAAAGGATTTCAAGGCGACATCTTGTGAATTGGCCGTTGCTTCGGAAATTTCCGTATCCCATGTCCAGCTTTGAACGGTGGACATGCTTAGATGGCGGAGAAATGTGTTGCTCACAGTGGATCAAGCAGCTGCATGCTCACTGTTTCGCTCTGTCGCATGCAGATATGAAGAGAGGTGATCTGCACTGATCCCGCGTGAGTGAAGTAAATATGCCCTGGCAGGAGTTGCAGCGTTTGCAGATTGGGTAAGAGACTCAGAAGACGTGTGGTTGCCTTTTGGTTTGCGTCCATCACACCTAGAAGCTGGTCCTCATTTCAGCTTCGCCTCCACCGCGAGACTGCGTAAATGCTTGTTCTCTTCCAATGAAACCACAAGAGCGTCTAAGCTGCATATTCTTGTGCTCACGTGTGGAATTTCTTCTTTGCTCCGATGTTTTGCATCTAGGCCTGTGTTAGTCAAAATTGCACCAAGCTTTTTACTTGTTATGCTTGCAAAATCAAAGTAGCCTCAAGGCAACGATAAGCAGAACTACAGTGAAGCAAGAAAGTATTCTCCCGCGATAAGAACTCAAATTCAATGAACACAGACTGACATACTGTAGAAGATAGATTTGTAGAGCCTTGGCAAAATGAGGCTGTTGAAATGTTGAGACAAGAGCTAACCTTGAGAGTGAGCTCATTGATTCTCCCTCGATGCCTTCGTGGGGAAGCCCTCGAATGGCTTATAGATTTAGAATCAGATACAGTTCAGGAAATGAATGACAGCATGTACATTTGAGAAACTGAACTGCTCAAGCAATTCGGAAAATCACAACAGCAAGCAATGCAAGAAGCACTGCATCTACACTATTGTTTTGCCACCAGGCACACACTGTCAATTTCATTCTATTTAACCCGCAAAATCGCTCTTCTGCGCGAGGCTGGAATTAATGACCAAATCCAGCTAAATACTTCAGCATCTTTACAATGGCCTTGAAGCACAACTGCAAGTGACCTGTCCCATAGATGAATTTGCTGATGATTTTCCCTTGCTCAATGAATTTCATTGAAAAGTTAAAAACCAAGAAACTGCCAGTTTCAAATTGTGGTCCCTGCAACAACAGGCTTCCCGGTCGTCTTCCAGGTTCTATGAAAACAGAGAAGCCAGCCTCAAATATGATACCAAGTTCAAAGCATCTAATGCTCCGGATTCTCCCCAGACCTCTGATAAGGCCAGGCTGACTAGTTAAATCTTATGATCAGCCATGGCAGCCAGCATTTAGATTCAACAATCAGAACAGTCACTGTTGAGACCTCAATTATAAAAATCAACAGTTCAGCGCCTGGTCTAAACCCTGCAATGAGCAAGTCTACCATGCCACTTCAGAAAATAATGAATCCATGCAGGAAGATGAGACTTCCATATTGAACTCTGATATCTCTGATGAAAGCCTGTTCACTGATGAAGTGACATCAGCATCAAAAAATGATTAATTGATCTTGGACACTGTTTTTCCTTCATTAATACTTCCAATATCCTTCCCACTTCAGATATTAATTCATTCAATGTGTATTGCATGCCTGAGTTTTCTCATCCTTCCACTCACCCTCTTGCTGCTATTATGTTAGATGAACAGGAGTTATGTTTTTCATCAATTCAAGATACAGGCTCCAGCTTATCCTTGATTAATGAACAGCTGATGATTACGCGATTCCTGGCTTCGCCGCTTAATCCTAATTCTATTTAATGACATCAAAATTTTCATTCATGGAGTATCAAACAAATCAGTCTTGTCAATCAAATATGCTGTTATTTCTATTCAATACAATCAATCACATCAAAATCCTTCTGCAACCGTGCACCCGCCAGTTTATGCCATTTTTCATGTGGTTGACGCTCTTCCATCTCAAATGATAATCAGTATCGATATCATGAGGGAAATGGACATGAAAATCCAGCTCGGCTACCCAGATTCTATTCAATTTAACATAGGCGGTAACGTAATCAACCACTCAACGCCCGTCTACACTCAACGCCCACCCAATCCTCATTTTTTCATCCATCTTCAAACACCCACAAGATGCACCACGAGGCAGTTCTATTGTCCGCGATTGATGATTTGAATGCCCAATTGGTTCCTAATTACACTGTGACCGCTGAGAAATATGGAATCAGTCGTTATACACTCTCACGGCGCTATAGAGGTGTTCAAACGTCAAGAAAGGAAGCAACCTCTATCCACCGCAAAATCCTCACAGATTCGCAAGAAAATCGACTCCTTTTTCATATCAATCGATTGGCAGATCGCGGTTTCCCTTGTACGCCCCAAATCCTTCATAATCTTGTTGTTGAGATATTAAAAGAACCTATTGGAGCCAACTGGGTGGCAAGGTTCTGTCAACGCCACAAGGATGTAATCAAGTCAGTTTACCTGCGAAATATCGACCAAAAACGCAAGATTGCGGACAATTCTACATACTTTAAGCATTATTTTGATCTTGTATATATTGCTTTTCTCTACTGCTTTTCTTACTTTTATCTTGCTAATTTATTGTTGATTTGCAGCTACAGGAAAAGATCACTAAATACAATATTGAACCTGGGAATATCTACAACTTCGATGAAAAAGGATTCCTATTGGGCTTCATCCACACCCTCAAGCGTATTGTATCAATTAATGCGCTCAAATCCGGCCGTACAATAGGTGCCAGCCAGGATGGCAGCCGCGAATTCATTACACTACTTGCCTCAATTTGCGCCGATGGAACCTCACTCCCACCTGCTCTCATATATCAAGGGGAATCAAGGGATATACAAGATACTTGGCTGGAAGATTTTGATAGCAAAAAGGATCAGGTCTACTTTGCTGCTTCAGAGAATGGATGGAGCAATGATGAATATGGGTTAATGTGGTTAAAGAAGATCTTTGAACCTCATACAAAAAAGAAAGCAGGGCGTGGATACAGGCTTCTTATATTAGATGGCCACTCATCCCATGTTAATATGGCATTCATCAATTACGCGGCTCAGCATAAGATTTTACTTGCTGTCTTTCCTCCCCACTCTACACACCGATTACAACCGCTAGATGTTGGGATATTTGGACCATTGAGCAAATCATATTCTAAGCATTTGAATGAGCGAATGAGAACCGGTATGGGATTTGTACGCACTACAAAGAGGTCTTTTTGGCAGCTATTTGATGCTGCTTGGAAGGAATCAGTTACATCCTCAAATATTATATCCGCGTTCGCTGCGGTTGGCCTACATCCATTTGATCCAGAACAGGTTCTTAAAAAGCTTGCAATACGCCCTTGCACCCCCCCAGACGCGCAATATCGACCCAGAAATCAGGAAAGAAGACGTCGCAAGCGTGGCAGGGCAATGGGGTTACTAGATTCTTCAAATCCGTCATTGGCACAGTTCTTTTCACCGGCAAAGGTGCAGAGCATCCGCGAGCAGATGACTGCCGCAGAGGCCGCCAAAAAGGATGAACAGGCTCGTAAGGAGGATGCCAAGTTGCAACACGCTATTCTTAAGGAGCAGAAGGAGACAGATATCATGTTACAGCGAATGGAGCGGGAGGCAGCTCGCCAGGCAGCTAAGGAGCAAAAGGAGATGGATAAGGCCGCAAGAGCCGCTCAACGGCAGATTGACAGGGAGCTTAGGGATGCAAAGAAGGCCCAAGAGCAAAAGGAAAAGGAAGAACGAGCTGCTGCGCGGCAGCAATCGCGGTTGGGGGGGGGCCAGGTTCGGGGGTCCAAAAATCACCTTCCTAATCGGGAAATCAGACCCTCGATTTCGCAAAGAGTGGCTAAATCGCGTTTTCAGAGCTCTGCCAGGTTGCCCGCGGGTCCGCCGCCGGGGGGTCCGGATGATATTGCAACCCCTACGGATTTGACCGCTGCCTGCTCATTGAATCTGCCTCCACCCAAGATTTCGCGTTCCGGGCGAGTTATTAAGCCCAACAAACATCTTTTGAATTAGCTATATATTTTTATATGTAATTTTCTATATATATTTTCATCATATAATATATCATATTAAAATCTAATTGCGTTGTTGAGATATTAATGAAAAGATTTCATTGTAGTGGTGGCAAAATAGCGGGCGTTGAGTGTAGACGGGCGTTGAGTGGTTGATTACGTTACACTCACCACCATACCTCGCTCAAGAAAAATACCAGTACGAGCCGCTCATACCGTTGTAATACCACCAGGTCATGAAGTTCTACTTACAGTCTGCCACTCTTGTATCTTCTGGATCACTTCTTGAGCTGATGAACAGAGCAGGAAGACAGAACCATTTTTATGGTCTTGTTTGAGCACCAGAGGAAATCCCATTGTCATCAAACAAGACATAACACAAAGAAAGCCTCACCTCAGTAAACAATAGTGGATGACGGGTGTATAGAAGATTATAGAAGTCCATGTAAGTTCAGATTATGCTAAGATATAGCCTCTGTCTAGAGAATTTGCCCCTATCAGCCATTTCATCATTATATCAATATACAAGACCCATAATATCCGCCTGATTGCTTGGCAATTGTGATTATTGATGATGGGACTTGCTGGGAAAGCCAACGTCTCTATTTCTCGCGTATTCAGAATGCTTCTCTCGTCAATTCTGCGGCCCCAACTTGGTTTGTGTCTTGGATCAGTTTCTTTCCAGCACTCTTTCTTTCCTCTCAAAACTGCCATCAACTCTTACAGCATGACTGATCATGAACTGGGACAATCTGACTGAGGAGTCATCTCAGTTGTTTGCAAGTTGGCTCTAACTTCTGTCATCTACCATATCACTGACAATTGTAGATCAACACCACCTGGCCATCAAGGCATCAAAGCTTCAAGTTTCACCACTGGTGCTTTTAACATATGCTGTACCGTCACATTTGAAGATGAGTTCCGCGTGGTTGTTCGATTTCCTATTCTAGGTTGAAGCTGGTTTCGCACAGAAAAGACTCAGGACAAGGTTTCAGTGATGAATTTTCTCTCAAGATGAACACAGGTTCCTGTTTCTATCATTCTTGGTGCAGGTTGCTGAGGATGCAGCTCTTATGTGGTCACAACATTTGTTGAGGGCACTTCACTGTCCAAACAGTTTAAGGACCCTTCTGTGGGCTTAAGTGACCTGGAAAAAACCTATCAGAGAATGGCTGAAGTCATGCTAGAGGTCTTGAAATCCACCTTCTCAAGCATTGAGGCTCTGGAATTCGAATTGGGGAAATGGCAAGTGATCAAGAGGCCAATGACTCTCAGCATGAATGAACTTGTGTATGTTGGAAACCTCCCCCCAGCTATATTTACAAGAAAGATTTTTCCAATAGCTGCTGAATACTTTGAGGAACTTGCTATCCAGCAGCTCCTCCATGTACAATATCAGTGCAATGATGCTGTGGAAAAAAAACATGATTCTCAGAAAAAGTATATAGCACGTTGTCTTTTCTGAAAAATGGTATGAGATATTCAATGAGAACCGGGTCCCTTCCATCTATGGTGTGATGACTTTTGTCCATCAAATGTACTCATCTCTGAATCTGATCTTACCATTACTGGTGTTATTGGCTGGGAATTTACTTATGTTGCACCCACTGAATTTACCTGCACTGCACTGTGGTGGCTTCTGTTTGAAAGGCCAGAAGCCTGAGAGTCCGATCTGAAAGACTTTTAGCCAGGTACACACCAAGGCTCCAATTTTTTCTCAAGATTCTTCAGGCTTGTGAGGACAGGCAGATGCAGAATGGGACCTTGACAGATTCACAGCACCTATCAGATTGGATGGCATGCTGTGAGAAGTGATATATCATATCAAGCATTCTGATGATATGTGAGAAGTGATATATCATATCAAGCATTCTGATGATATGTGAGAAGTGATAGTTATATCATATCTAGTATTCTGATGATTACATTAGCAAGGATCTTCTATTATCTCAATTCCGGAAACCGGATCACTGGTCCGATATATACCAGCACTGCCTCCCATCATATATCCAAGCATTCTCTTTCTTATAAATACTGCCTGGTTATCATGTAATTACCGGAGTTAATATAAGCAATTCAATAATTTATTTTCATTGATATTCAGTATTTGGGTCAATATTCGGACTTTATCCAGTTCCGACACATGCTCTCTGGACTGTGGGCTCTTTTGGTTTTGGCTTGCTACATAAAGGAGTTTCATGTTTGATGATATTTTGGACATTCCTTGATGAGAAGCACTTTGGTCATCTGAATTCTCTAGATGACAGACTCTCTCTTCTCTCTCAGGATGAGCTGGATGAGCTGGATGGGTTTGTTCAGATGAAGATGCAGCAAGTTGTAGAAAAGTGCTTGGATGAACGTCTGACCTTTGATGAACTTGTTGACCTTTAACTCAGGTTGAGCCCACAAGAATTTGTCAGAGAGATCTACCTTGAGGGCATAATGAATCTACTGTTTAATTTCGTAAAATTTGTAGATAGATAATTACCATATCAGAGCCTTAGAAATCATACCCTGACCAATACTCACCATCACAGCATAGATTAGGCAGAATCTTTTAATCCAGTTTTCAATAATAAGATAATTTGTACCATTCTCATGAATGTAACTAACAACAGGTAGCTTCAGATTGCAGGATTAGACATGTTGGAGATGGTCATCTCACTCTACAAGGGCGGTTTTTTCAAGGATGGATTGGCACCAAATTCTGCTTGATTGATAGCTTTTATTATCAGGAACAGATAGTGAGTGGTCGGTATAACATTTCACCATTGCATACGCGCAACCCGAACCACCTATAACTACTGTGGATGTAATACATCGATCCTTCATTGCAGCCAAGTTCCACTCTCGTTAATACCCGGGGGAAGCAGTAAATAGCAGCAGCACTACAGGACCCCCCACTCCTCAAATGACCACTGATCCCCTCCCAAGCATCCTCTGCCTCCACGGCTCCGGCACATCCGCCGCCATCTTCAAAATCCAAACCATCCGTCTCCGCCGCGAGCTGCAACACCGCTTCTCCTTCGTATTCATCGATGCGCCCTTCCAAAGCGACCCTGGGCCGGGCGTGCTGCCCGTCTTCGCTGATGCAGGGCCCTACTTCACCTGGGTGGATCTCTCTACACTGCCTGTATCGTGTCGCTCGCTAGCTACAAACAACGAAGAAACTAAGGAAATGTCGGCGCTGCAGAGGAGTATCCTCCGCGGCCGCACGCAGCTGATGCCCGCGCGCACGGTGGAGTTGTTGGAGAAGACAGCTCGCGAGCAGATCGAGAGGGATGGGAGGGGCTTTGTGGGCGTTATTGGCTTCTCGATGGGGGGCCGGTTGGCTGCCGGGTTATTGCTGGAGCAACAGGAACGGCTCTTGGCACAGCAGCGGGGGAATGGCGGGAATGCGAGCGGGAACGGGTTCGCGGACTGTCACCTTGCTCCGGCTCCCACTGGGGGGCAATCGTTCAAATTCGGAGTCTTCATATGTGCGACGTCGCCGCCCATAACAAAATTGCACGACCCCCTCGATTATGATAGTACGGATGGAAGAGGTGATATAATCACACTGCCTCAGGTTGATATTCCCACTCTACATATCCTGGGCCTCAATGATCCTTGGATAGCCCCGGGAGAGTTGTTGGCGACAACTCATTTCAACCAGGTGAAGACGACGGTGCGGAAGTTGGATATGGGCCATCATCTCCCTACCCAGCAGAAGGACAATATGCTGCTGGTCGAAGGGATATTGGATATGGCAAAGGAAATTGGCATATGAAATACGAGGCGGGCTCATGATGTTTCTATTCATTTTCAGATATATTTTATTATAGGGCCTGGAAGCCCATATTGCGTGCTTGAAATGGTATCACCGTGCCAATGTTCAGGTTTTGCCATCATCAACAAAAGATTCCAATGTCCATTCAAATTCCAAAGATTTTCTCTTCTCGCGCGTGTCCGAGCAGTATTCATGGCTTCAGAATGCTGGCGGGGAATCAAAGGTAGTTCCCACCTCCCTTGCCGCCGGTTCCCTGAAATAGATCTGTTCTTGCGGTCCTTTTTGCACACGGTTGCATTATTTTGCTTCGATGAAAAGCAAGCAAAAGTTGAGAATTTCATCTATTTATATTTGGCCATTCTAATACGCGCCGCACCGTATCGATCAATGAAGCCCCCATCATCAACTCATTTTATTTCACAAAATACTAATACTATTAATCTCGCAGCGATCTATCATGTCTTGAAACTGGGCATCTTGTAGTTCTTGAATGATGAGCGGTTGCTGTTGTAGTTAGATGAAAGTTAATCAGCCCAGTTGGAGACATGCTTAAATATCCCCAAAATGATCCTGCACTCATCAAAACAAACATCACTTTCTCAATTTTCGCTTCTGTTGACCCAGATTTCCTCCTCCTCAGACAACATTTCAATCATTGATCTGAGGGATATTTTCCTGTTCAACATTTACTACTGTTTACTTCTGTTTATGTATTTATTTATTTATGTTTTGTTTTGGGCATGTTAAATGTTGAATTGTGAATCTACTTTCTTTTGTCATGCAGCTGCTGATGCAACTATCATCACGGCATAAATATCTCAGCTAAATGGGGCCGACCTTTTGATTCCCCGCAGAGTCCATTGCCCAGGTTAACTGACGGCGCAGCCCTAGCATGAGAAAAAGGAGACTTACGATTACATGACTACCAACCAAATACTACAGTCCATACATGAAGTTGCGGCTATGTTGTTTCAAGCGATTTTTCGTGGTGTCCAGGTTCTGGGACACACACAGTGAACTTGATTCTGTTGTGACTCTGTTATGGACATAAGCAGGCATGATTATTCTTACTTGGCTTTTGCCAACAAGAGACTTCCACACGTGGGAAATGTCTAATGGACATCGATTGGACTAGAAGACATGCTGCAACGCTAGTCAATGGAATTTATCGGAAATTTTGTTCCATCACTGTCTGCGGCACTCTGCGCTCCATGTTGATGGTGTGTAGTTTCCATTGATATATTTTTCAGCCCGCGGATTCTTGACAGATCTGGGCGCCGCACTGTCCTTGTCAGTCTGTCTGCTGCACTATCCGGATAGATTCCGGAGAACGACTCATTTGTTCGTGTAATTTCCGAAGCTGCATGCAAAGTGGTTTTATATCTGGATGAGAATGCCCCCGAATACCGTCTGTCGTTGACATCACATAAAACATTCTACATTTGGATTTTGAGATCCATTGAGGGCCTTTACTTGGACTATCCTTTTCTACCAACAGCACGCGGGACATCATAAGGTCGACAGGGTCGAGATGGGCGTCCTTCCTTCACTGTGTCAATTGACACTGCTTTTGGGATGGTAAGCGCTTAGATCGCCAAACCCCCCCTTATGAGAAACTAATGATTTGGATCCAGCATTTGAAGCTGCGTTACCAGCTCCGCAGAATTACACGTACACAACATGGAGCGAAGCCGAAAATAAATACTTCATCCCGCCCTCCATTCATTTGCCTTTTGAATTGATCCATAGCCCAGGGATGCTTTGGTGGGTGCAAAACAACAAATTGATGAACTTCATGCTAACGCCCTTTCTGTTTTTGTCAATATAGTTAAAACAAGTGGAATCCCGTCAGTCCAGGCATGGACTGAAACTCTTTACGAGGAAGGACATGTACACTATTGCAAAAATGAGCTCTCTGTTTACAATGTTACTTTAACTGATGTGAGAAACCAATCATACCTATCCCCTAGCTCCCTCTGGATTTTCATTGTTGGCATTCTTGATTTTCATATATTAAGTTCGCGCTGAGTACAATAGTGACATTACCTAAGGTGTGTTTACAGTGTCCTGAACCCTGGCTAGTAGGCCACTGCGCCCTGGCAGAAAAGAGTAGAGAAGAGACATTTAACCTGCTTGCCCACCTTCCATTAAGTGCACATGATGGAATCTCTGACCTTCTCCATGTGCGGTTTTATCCAAGTATGAGCACTCATATACACCAGGGCAATTCTGCAGTCTTCGCAGGATCCTTTCCACCAGCTGATGGACCAAAAATGGTACTGAGAGCACTACACCGTGGTGTGCCTGGTATACCCATTGATGAGTTTGAGAAGGCTGTTGAGGCTGACAGCTGTGTTGCTGAAGAGGTCACTTCAGAAGGGCTTGGACACACTATTGAACGTGGCTTTGCAATTGCAGCTTATCTGAAACTTGTCAAAACTCCACCAATCAATGCAAGCTGCATGAGCAATCAGCTTAAGATTCTTGGAGCTATTCTGAACAGGCAATGGGATGCACCAGGTCAATGCCCAAATAAAGTAGCACCCGAACTTGTGCCATATAAGAAGTAAGTACTCAGCATATAGACCACTATTTTGTTACCTTTCTTATCTCTACGTATTTGTGGCTCTTCCATCTCATGACAAACTATGTCATCTTGCTCTTGCTCTTTCATTTCTTCTGCTTTCCACTTCTTTTCAATGATCTTTTGATTCATGATCCCTTACTTTTGAAATTTCTTTGATCATTTTGCAAGAATACCTTCTCCGTCAACTTGTGTCGGTGAATATGGACTATGATGGCTAATAATTGCATTAGAAGTGTTCTTTTCCCGAATGGGTTGGGAGTGCTTAACAAGGATCCTTTCCCAGGTGCTGGAGATGCAACCATTGTTCAATGGGATAGATCTGATGGCTTCCCTGGATATATTTGGTACGCAGCTCGATTGAGAAGGGATGATGATCCAACCAGGCCCAAGTGCAGGCCTGAAGAGATTCAAGTTTTCAATGTCTCCTATCCAGATTGTTTAGATCAAGATCCCTGAACACTTGCCCGCTGCCCTGATGCACAGGAGTCAGTGGATGACATTGTGAGGAGATTTGACCGCCTTCCTGCAGGGTTGTGGAGATTTGTTATTCATCTGATTGCCTTTGAAGATTCCTTTCCTCGTGCTTCTGCTATAACTAATTGGTGTGAATTACGTCATCATCTATAGTGCTGTTAGTGATAGCGTGTACATACATGAGGCAACTCATCATCTTGACTGTGCATTCAGTGGGAGTGCACGCTTTCAGGAAGATAAAGCAGTTGATACATGCTGACTGACAGACTACTCCATAAACGGGGACAACGAGCTAGTTGCTGAGCTTGGTGTGGCATATCTTTATGACAAGAGTGGTAAAACACTTCTGGAACGAGGATGTGATGCATCATGTCTCTCCCATCAGCTTAATGCTTTGGGCAATTATGCTGGTGGCGAATTCCAGCGAACAAGCAAATGTTTCAAGAGAGGAGAAAACTCTCCAGTCATCCACCCAACTGAGGCTGAGTTCTTGAGCCCAGGGCTTTACGACAGTCCGGTTGTGATGGAGACTTTTCCCCGATATACCATTTGCATCCAAGGACGAGACACAAGAAACCAACTTGCAGCGGGCATAATATTTAAGTTACTGTCTGAGGTTAATCGCTGTTTTCCCCCTTTCAAATTTGCAGGAGAAAAGCTTGGTCCACAGTTATTGACATGTGGTGCTGGTATCAATGAAAGCAGCACCTGGTGGACTGGACTCCCTGTTAACTGGCACAAAATATACTGAAAGTATTTTTCTCATAGAAAGGCGAAAAATACAGCTAGGAATTCAAGTACATCTCATATAAATTAATATGAAGAAATATTTAGAACTTTTACATATGTCATATACAATGATTAATGTACTTTTTTATATTCTCGATTTTTTATAATAGTTAAATTTGGTAGCAGATTATAAATTACCAATAAAAGATTAAATATAATTAAAAATGATTGATATATGGGGTTGATAGTTTTGACAATTTGTATGGGAAATGATGATGGGCGTTAGGAGTGGTCGTTAGGTGGGTGATCACGTTAAGGTTACTCCGTAGTTAACCGTGCCCAGCGCACTCACTCCCTCCCATTAGTGAGTGCGCCAACACTGTAAAGGAATTCACACCGTAACGGAATTGGTATCTTTTGTATGGATTCATCATATAAACAGTACTTATAGAAAAACATGAATATCTTCAACATCATAATAGATATGAGTTCTATATTATAATAGAAGTATATATATCATATTTCAAGTATATTAAAATATATCTGAAATGAAATTTGCTAAATTTATTCAAATTCATCATAGCAGATTTCAAGTACAAGAGAATGAAAAAATTTTTATTAAAAAAAAAAAAAAACTGTAATATACATAGAATATGATGTATATACTTCTATTATTTTTCTATAAGTACTGTTTATATGATGAATCCATACAAAAGATTCCAATTCCGTTACGGTGTGAATTCCTTTACAGTGTTGGCGCACTCACTAATGGGAGTGAGTGCGCTGGGCACGGTTAACTTAAAACTTCTGATCGATAAAATTACATCATCATCAGAAGCTAGTTAAAAAAAAAAAAAAAAATCCCCACCACACCGAGGCGGGGCGCAAGAACACAATCTCCTCGCCCATTGCCAACAGGCTGGCCGCCATGGTCCGCATAGAAGAACTCCCTGATGATTTCGAAGAATCCCTCGATCTTAATAAACCCCACGCTCCGGGACCTACACTGGGCGCGCAGGCTATCCTCAACGAAACACCCTTCGGCATCAAGGAAAATGCCTCCGTACAGGACCCAACCGCCCCTCCCATGCCGCCTGGCATGGCCTCGGTCAAGTCGCATACAGCAGAAGAAATATTTGACATGATGAATAAGACCCCGCTGTTCATGACTGATCTTTCGAAAGCAACGGATGGAGGTATGTGGTGCGGATTCGACCAGAGAGCTGCCTTCCTTTTCGCGATGTGACTGATTTCACAAAATATTAACCTACTCCCTTCTTCGTAGATGAGGAAAATATTGGTCTTGAAGCCATGCGGGCTTTGCAATATGAAGGGACACGAGCGGAAGTGGCTCAGGGATTTCGGGAATCGGGAAACCAGGTCACGAGGCAGAAGAAATGGGCGGATGGGAAAGAATTCTACACCAAGGCTATTGCGGTGCTTACAGACGATAATAAATGGGAGAAGGGCGAGGACCCTGAAGGGGATCGTATAAAGGAACGCGAAATCGCGGAAGCTTGCTATACGAATCGCGCATTGTGTAATCTGGAATTGAGTAAGAAGCGTCCGCCTCATTTGCCTGCGCCAAAAAAAAAAAAAAAAAAAAAAAAAAAAACGTAGTGTTGTGTAGTCTGCTGGCTGATTTACAAACTAGAAAACTACAGGTCAACCACTCTCGACTGCGCTTCGGCGCTGAAACTCAACCCGAAAAATGTCAAGGCTTACTACAGATCCACCTGTGCCCTCTTCGCACTCGACAAAATCCCCCAAGCAGAAGATACATGCGCAAGGGGGCTAGCCTTAGACCCGCCCAACAAACCATTGCAAACCATGTCTGCCAAAATATCCGCGCGCAAATCCGCCCTCGAGGAAATCGCCGCCAAGCGACGTGCCGAAGAGGAGCGCGCCCGCAAGGAGAAACTGCTCCTTAACTCCGCGCTGCGGGCCCGTGAAATCAGAGTCCGGAACTCCGACCAGCCACCCGAACTTGAAGATGCCGTTATACACCTGTCCCCTGACCCGCTCTCACCCAAAAGCACCCTCGTCTTCCCCACCGTCTTCCTATACCCCTTGGAAGCGCAGTCGGATTTCGTCAAAGCTTTTGCTGAAACAGAGACGATTGGCGACCAGCTAAGTTATATATTCCCCTTGCCGTGGGATTCACGGCAGGAGTACAAGCTTGAGTCTGTGGAATGCTTTATGGAGACAGCGGCTGGGGGACTTATCAAAGTTGGGAAGAAAATGCCGTTGTTGAAGATATTGGAGGGCGGAAAGGTGGAGGTTGTGGACGGGCTGGTTAAGATCAATATTGTGCCGACGGGCAAGTCAAAGCAGTGGATTGAGGAGATGAAGGCGAGGAAGGTGGTTTGATTTTGGTATATTTGGAGATACCATGCGGCCCTCGTCTTTGTTTACTCCACTTGGAGACGGAATCAGACTAAATAATACCGGGTCATGTGTTTCCCTACATTTGGTTGTGGCCTCCTTTGGTTATTTGCTTCTCAACTCCATCTTCTTGACTCCGGTACCTCCGGAGAATCGATGCACAATAAAGATATGTATGAAATGAAGTGGAAAATTCCCTCGCTGGCCCCGACAACGAAATGGAAGAGAGAACTGGCATCTCTCAGGAAATCTGGCGACAAGGATGAATGATTTAAGATGCAGGAACGTACGGATGTACTGTGATCCTTGAGATGAGTGTCTGATTCCTAATTACTTGGCAACTGATGGTTGCGGGAGCAGATCCATTTCAAGATATGTGGTTCTTCAAAAATACCCCATATTTGGCAATAGTTAGGCTACAGTGGTGGACTTCTTATATTAGACTGACGAAGGGGAGTAAGTATAATAAAGCTTACCATGGGTCAGGAAGATAAGGAGCTAATGATTGGCTCTGCTCGCTTCTATGGGCAAAATGGTAGGCCCATATGCCACCACTTTGGATGTCCTATCCGAAGCAAACGGACAGATTGTAGCCATTTTAGACCGACCACAGTGTATGTATTGTATAAAATACAGTACATAGATGCATAATAATGTGGTATAACAGGAAAAGCTTTATCCATGTCGACCCTCACCAATTGGTTTATGAGCCTTGAGCTGTGATGCATTCATTGTTAGGCTTTGCAATCCTAGCGGGAGAACCAGGGGAAGGCTGGATTTGTTCACAAAATATGAAGTGTTCGTGCTGGTCACTTGAAATGGTGATATTCCTTAGATGTCCTGGTATATTAGCTGCATGAGCAGCAGCAGCCGAGGGTGTAAAGGGATAAAAGCTTACAGGCAATAGGGATTTCATAAAGCCGTTTTGTTTTCATAGGATTGATGATGAGGGATCCATCATTCAGTTGCCTCTGCGAGACCTTGGGGAGATACAATCCGAAGAGCCCAGGATCGACCTCCAAGGCCAGAAGCCTGGTGTACCAGAAGGATTCTGTACTTGGGCACATCAAATTTCCGCCACAAGCTGGTATAGTTATTGCAAAGTACAGTTCAAGGACGGGCTGCTTTCCAGTTCTTATTCTTATTTTTCGGCTCGAATGATGAAACAAATAGCTGAGCAGACGCAAGATTTCTTCTCTATCTGTCCCCCTGTTCTGAAGCCAGCCAGGGCCAGGATCAAGGGATCTCCTCAATTCACAAGTTCATAATATCCACACTTGGGTCGTAGTAGTGTAACGGCGGCGTTAGCGGGAAAGGATATTCTAGTGCCACCCACAGGGAACAGCGCCATAATAACTATCCGAGCGGACAAATGAGGGCGCCAGACCATTCAAGTCATGCATTGTAATTTGACAAACCGACGATGTGCTGCTGGGGAATATTTGATGTTTAAGCTGATGCTCGAGGTTGGGTACAGATACATCGAAAGTTGAGTATTGTAAGCGCGTGACAGCCACGCAATACGACCAGTCCCAGAATAGCCATCTGTAGCACGATGAATAAGCCGTTTCAGCCAATGGGACCTCGGCAGCCACGAAATTGGTCACGGGACGGTAATATGACGCAGGGGGAAATCCCAGCAGAGATTTCCTCACCGCATCGCTTCGGAGAGCCGCAACACAACGCAATTACAACGCAACCTCAGACTTGTCGCCCTCAACGCCCGAGCAGCATCTCAACCCGCCCACAAACGCGCTCTCGACATTGCACCTGGTTCCCCACCGTCAGCGTCATCGTTGGATCTGCGGCCGGCGCTATCTCTCCGCCGCGCACGTAATACCCCGTTTCCGTCGCCTAAGTTAAACTGGCGCTGAAAGGCCAAAAACGCGAGTCACCAGAACAGCACGCAAATACTCAGCGTAGGCCAACCGGGTCTTTCGATGAGTCAATTTGCCAGATAGTGGCCAGATAAACAGACGCCTTGCACGGCCACCCTTACGCTTCTCATTTGCTCGGTGGCTCCGTTATCCAGCAAGTTCCCTCTGCTTATCATTCTTTGGCCACTCCTTTTGGAAGCGGTTAATTGATCCGTGGCTGGCATTTTTACCACCGTGAATATTTCGATTATTATTATTGCGCATGATTATTCCCGCTATAATATTTTCCCACCCGAAAAGATAGATATATGTACAGCTAAGAATGAATAATCAACCTCATTCCTCCTACCCGACCCTCCAACAGCATCCGATGGCTGTGATCTCTCCCGCAGGCTATCCGATGCAGCATCCCTCCCCGGCTCATATTCAAGCTCAAGCGCAAGCGCAAGCTCATGTCCACGCTCAGGCGCAGGCTCATACTCAAGCACAGGCTCAAGCGCGTACTCAGGGTCTACCCTACTATGCAAGTCCGAATCAGTATCCTCCCCAATCAAGAGCGCCACAGATCCACCATCAGCCTATACAGCATGGTGGTGGCTACGGCCCCGTTCCACTGCATGCTGGTGCATCAAGCATGATGATGTCTCCTGGCATTCCCCATCATTCGTCTGGTCTTAGTCCCAGTAGGTCGTCCGTCTTTCCGCTCTTGTCGTCAGTTTTTTACTTGATCTTATTTCTTTAGCGCCTTAAATTATGTGCCCTAAATTTCCTCCATCCCTGTTTTCTCTTACTGTTCTTATCCCATTGGCCGATCAGTCGCTCCATTGTCATGCTCAATGTCCCACCCCCGTTTCCCCCCTTGCTACTTTTGCATTCCGACTCTGCTTCGGCAAAACGCTCTTCTCGACGCGCACAAAACCTTGCGCTCTATGAATGTTTGTTATGTTGTTGTCACCTCGCTGACACATTGGCGTCTTCTCTGCGACGGTTTACAGTGCCTCACCCATCAAATTTCTCGAATCCTCAATATATGCAATCAATCCCAGCCACCGTGGCGCAATCCCCCATTCCTCAATCGCCGTCCCCCCAGAGTATAGTTTCTCTGTCGCAAAGCCAACCACAAGCAATGGCTACTGTTACCTCATCAAACCCTGTGTTTTCCACTCCTCCCCGTCCGTCTCAGACCTCAAACCACCAGGCGCAGGCGCAGCAGCAGCACCAGCACCAGCACCAGCACCAACAACTACAACAACAAACACACTCCCCAGTTTCCGCGCTCTCTCCGCAGCAGGCTGCTCGTGAAAAGGCCCGTGTGGCCGTTCTTCTCGATATCAATTCAGCGCTGCTACAGGAAGTGGTGAACCTTCAAGCCTCAGGCAAGGCGGGCGTAACTCCCGCCCAGCCCGCTGCACAACAATCGTCATCCGTTAAAGAGAGCAGTACAATCTCACCAACGTCTCCTACCGACATTTCGGGTTCACAATCGCAGAACCCTGGCAGCAGCGCAGACGGACCTAAACCTCCCTCTGGTCCCACCAACAAACCCAGCATTGAATATATCGACTGCATGCGACGCCTCCAAGCGAACTTGGCGTACCTTGCTACTGTTGCGGATCGCGCGAAGAAATCAGGAGCCGCCGCTCCACAGGCTCCCGCAATTATGACTCCACCGCCAAGTCTCCCCGGTGTTACGGATTTATATACCAAACTGAGTGAACTATTTCCCGGGGCGTCAAAATCAGGTGGCGTGCCGCCGTCTACGCCTCAGCAACAGCAACATCACCAGCAACGAAACCTTACAGGAAGTTATATGTCGCCACAAGGGAATGGCACTCCAGTTCGTAACTCACCGGCGGAAACGATGGTTTGAGCAGACACTCAAAGAATGTAAGGATATGATTTACCTACTTTTCTCATCCACTTTCCCTCGGGATTAATCTGAAAACTGTTCGAGGCCCTCGAAGAACCAATGCCCATCCATTGCTACTTGATTACATTTCAGGAAGCATGGGAAACTGTCGTCCGCACCACGGACGACGCCCGTACTAGGTCCCCAAATGTTTGGGCCTAAGAGGAATAATTCATGCGCGTGGGCAATAAAAAACTTCTTGATTTGTCCCAAGCCCTTGATTATCTCAGCCCCGAGCAGGGAGAAGTAAAGGAGGAGTGTGTCAAGGGAAATATGTATATTTATATGCGAAGAACGCGCGCCTCACTTAAACGACCTAAAATACGGATATATGCAAATCCAACGAGGAGGGTGGGGTGTTATGTGCTTGAAGGCTATTGCTGGAGGCATAGAGCCGAACACGCACGCGGTTAATGGGTTCTAAAGTGCGGTTTTGATTATCTATGGACCCTTTGTTGTTGCCAATTGTTTTTATTGCTTGTGACAGTGGGAAATGGGAGCTTCCGGAAAGTATATATCTCTACATATGGCTGACCATATCAAAGACTATTTATGCTATTCTTATGGACCCATGGCGAGCTGTTCAGTGTATCCGGTATCTACCTCTCATTTCTCGTCTGTTTCCTGAATGGGATGCTGGTTGGGAATAATTTGGTGGCAAGGAGGAACCGTCCTCCCTCCCGGGCAGTGTGTAATTAATATCGATTAACTAGAATACTACCTTTCTCCGCTATCCGTTCCCTCAAATATTCTTGATGGTGCAATATTTTGCGCTTTTGTTGAGACCAGAGAGACTTTGAACTGTAATATATTTCGATACAGCCACATTTCAACGCTTCAAGCAGCTTACCACCAGTTAAAAGCTACAGATTACAACATAACATAGTTACACGTACCGTCAGAACAAGGCCAAAACATCTCGTTAACTTTTAACGAAAATGAGAGTAAGGAGACGAGGAGCGAACAATGCAACGGCAGCAACCTGCAGTCGTCTCTATCTTTCATAGATACCGTACGCCTGGCCCCAGCACAGCTCGTCCGATATCCTGCATCCCTCCATTGACTTGGATTTGTGGTGAATCGTTCGCGTGGTTATTCCCGCTAGTCACTCTTGCTAAAGACGCCCACTTCCTCGATCTTGAGCCGCAGCCTCAACCTCCTCCTCGTGTTGTTGTTGTATGTAGCATACAGCTACTCTGTAGACGATCTCTTCTCAGCATCATTCTCTCTCGTTTTATCCTTTCTCTTTATAATTCGCCCCCATTCATCATTCCCTCTTCTCCGTTTCTTGCTGTGCATTATATCTAATCTCCTCGGCGGAAACTTTCTCCCGTTCTCCACCACGTTAACCTAGGCACAATAAAGCACCAGGAACCAACCGCCGAATTCAACACTGGAAAACTAGCACCGCGATCCCGACCTCCCTTTCTCTTCCTTCTTCAATCTCCCTCCTCCCTCCTCATCCCGCCATGGAAATGAGTTCCAAGCGCAAACACAGCAGCGGGCCTATCTCCCTCCGCTCCACCAAACACCTCCGCTCGGACACCGCCGCCTCCCCGCAACCATTAACCCCAGATGACCAAACGTTGGGCGAAGAGGCAGTTTATGTCCTCGATAACGAAGACGAGGATCTCTCCCATGTGCTTCCCCTTGCCCCTGCCGCTGCTGCGCAGACAGACTCGCCAGAATGGCAGGCTACCATCGAGACGGTAGTGAAGAGCGTTGTCTCTATCCATTTCTGCCAGACTGCATCGTTTGATACGGATTTGTCCATGTCGAGTCAGGCTACGGGGTTTGTGGTAGATGCGGAGAAAGGGTATATTTTGACAAATCGACATGTAGTTTGCGCAGGGCCGTTTTGGGGTTATTGTATTTTTGATAATCATGAGGAGGTTTGTTTTTGGCCCTTTTTTTTTTTTTTTTTTTTTTTTTTTTTTAATATTTTCATAATCTCTGGTGGGAAGATTGTTACTGATATGGTTACTTTCGATTGTAGTGTGATGTCCGACCTGTTTATCGAGATCCTGTTCACGATTTTGGCATTTTGAAATTCGACCCTGCCGCTATTAAATACATGCCTGTCACAGAATTGAAATTGTCACCAGACGCGGCAAAAGTTGGTGTCGAAATAAGAGTCGTAGGGAATGACGCCGGGGAGAAATTGAGCATTCTCTCTGGCGTTATCAGTCGTCTGGACCGCAATGCTCCCGAATACGGAGAAGGCTACAGCGATTTCAACACAAATTACATCCAGGCCGCTGCTGCAGCCAGTGGTGGGAGTTCCGGCAGTCCTGTCGTGAACATAGATGGTCATGCGATTGCGCTACAGGCCGGTGGCCGGGCAGATGGCGCAGCTACAGATTACTTCTTACCTCTCGATCGCCCACTGAGAGCTCTGGAGTGCATACGAAAAGGAGTGCCGGTCACGCGTGGCACAATTCAGACTCAGTGGATCATCAAACCCTTTGATGAGTGTCGTCGTCTTGGACTATCTCCGGAATGGGAGGCTGCAGTCCGCAAAGGCTCTCCCAAAGAAACCGGGATGTTGGTCGCGGAAATAGTTCTCCCTGAAGGTCCTGGCGACGGCAAGCTGCAGGAAGGGGACGTGTTGATCAAAGTCAACGGTGAGCTTCTTACGCAATTTGTAAAGTTGGATGCGATTTTGGATTCGAGTGTGGGTAAGGATGTTCATCTTCTTGTGCAACGTGGGGGGGAGGATCTAGAAGTTTCATGTACTGTTGGAGACCTTCATGCAATCACTCCCGCTCGCTATGTTACCGTTGCCGGTGCCACGTTCCACGACCTCTCCTATCAACAGGCCAGGCTTTATGCGATCGCCTGCAAGGGGGTGTATGTCTGTGAAGCTGCTGGTTCGTTTAAACTAGAGAATACCTTTTCTGGTTGGATAGTAGATACGGTGGACAAACGACCCACAAAAAATCTGGATGAGTTTATTGAGGTTATGAAAACTATTCCAGGTAAGTTTTTTTTAACTCGTCCACTGGTGATATTTAATTCTATTTGCTGATTAGGATATAGATCGCGCGCGGGTTGCTCTGTCATATAGACATATTCGAGATTTGCATACCAGAGGGACAAGCATAGTGCACATAGACCGCCATTGGCATCCACATATTAGGGAAGCAATCCGCAATGATGAGACTGGATTATGGGATTTCACAAACATTGCGGACCCACTTCCCGCGGAGCCTCCAGTTCCTCGGAAAGCTGATTTCATTCAACTTGACGGTGCCAACCATCCAGCAGCTGCCGATATCGTCCGCAGCTTCGTTCGCGTCTCTTGCACAATGCCGGTGAAACTCGACGGATATCCACAAGCCCGAAAAGCCGGATTCGGTCTCGTCGTCGATGCTGAGGCAGGGCTTGTGCTTGTTTCCAGAGCTATTGTGCCCTTTGATCTCTGTGATATCAATGTCACCGTAGCGGACTCCATTATCGTCATGGCAAAAGTGATTTTCCTCCATCCACTACAGAATTACACGATTATCCAATATGACCCTAGTCTTGTACAGGCGCCTGTCAAGACGGCGCGACTTAGTACCAACTACATCAAGCAAGGTGCCGACACCATTTTTGTCGGTTTCAATCAGAATTTCCGCATCGTCGTGGCCAAAACGGCGGTTACAGATATCACTACCGTTGCCATACCCCCCAACGCAGCCGCCCCGCGCTACCGTGCCCTCAACCTTGACGCCATCACTGTAGATACCGGCTTAAGCAGCCAGTGCTCCAACGGTGTCCTGATCGGGGAGGACGGCATCGTCCAAGCACTCTGGTTAAACTACCTAGGCGAGCGGACTGCTAGCTCTCACAAAGACGTAGAATACCACCTGGGTCTCGCTACCCCTTCCCTCCTCCCCATCATCAACCAGATCGAAAGCGGTTCTTTACCAAAGCTTCGAATCATGGATATGGAGTCTTACGTGATCCAAATGAGCCAGGCGCGCATTATGGGAGTGTCAGAAGAATGGATCGAGAAGGTTGCCATCGCTAATCCCGCTCGCCATGAGTTATTCATGGTGCGGAAAGTCGACTGCGCATCCCCACTCACGGAGGACACCCACCAACTCGAGGAGGGCGATATCATCCTCACGCTGAACGACAAGCTCATTACTCGCGTCTCGGAGTTTGATATCATGTACCACCACGAAACCCTCGACGCGCTTATTGTGCGCAACGGCCAAGAAATGCGCGTCAATATCAAGACTGTTCCAACAGAGGACCTGGAAACTGATCGTGCGTTGATATTCTGCGGTGCTGTGCTGCAGAAGCCGCATCATGCAGTTCGGCAACAGATTTCAAAGTTGCATAGTGAGGTGTATGTTAGTGCGAGGGTACGTAACATTAAAAACGCAATTAAATTAAAGAAGGTATAAGCTAAATAATTGGTACGTTATAAACAGAGTCGGGGCTCTCCCGCCTACCAATACGGCCTCTCACCGACAAACTTCATCACGGCGGTCAACGGCGTCAAAACGCCAGACCTTGACTCGTTCATCAAGCAGGTCAACGTCATCCCCAATAACACCTATTTCCGCCTCCGCGCTGTCACGTTCGATAATGTTCCGTGGGTCGTAACAATGAAGAAAAACGACCATTATGTATGTTTTTCTGGCGAATTCCCTTCTACATGATATGATGACTTTTATTAACCGCAGCCGCATGCAGTTCCCCATGTCTGAGTACATTAAGGACCCGTCCGCTCCTGAAGGCTGGCGGAGTATCTCACACGATAAAGAACTACTTCGCTTAGACTCGGATAACCTCAACGCAGACGCGATGGATGAAGGGCGCGATGACGGGATAAGTGATATGGAGCCTGATGGGGAGAAATAGGGAAGGACTGTTCAGTAACAGGGGAGTGTAACATTTTCCTTACATCTGGTTTTTCCCGTTTGCGAACATGGATGCGGTTCTGCGATGTTTTCCGTTTCTTGGAAATTGTTGCGGGTTTTATGGGCAATAATAGAGTGTATCACTGCGCATGAGCATGGCTCTTCTTATTTTGTGCTACTTGATTTTCATTCATTTTCATTTTACTTTTCTCTCCTGGGTTTAAGTGAGAGATTGTTTTCGTTTTCCAGGTGCATGTGGTATATTCTCTTGCTCTTAACGGTGCCACTCTTATGAGTTAGACTGGGGAAATCTACATTCTCATATGGTTTGTTCGAGATTATGTCGACTTTCTTGCATATTCCTTCCTCTCTCTGGGTTTTGTCCTGTGATTGTGGTATGCTATGGGCTCTTGTTCCAAAGGTCAGTTTTTCTACATTGATTTGAAGATGTGGCCTTTTGGGGAGAAAAGTATAGCTTTCCTTTGGATTCGTCACAAGTACACTTATCCGGAACATTTCCTGCATTTTATCACTGTCGAATGGCAGACCATGTTGGATCTAGGTTTCACATATTCCTCATCTTCCCAACAGCGCGCCTAAGCGTCAACAACGAAATACCAAGTGATATTCATTGGGAGAACTCTTCCTCTTTGGGTAAGTTTCACAGAATCCCTCCTCGTTGTTAACCAAACACCTTGAAAGGCAGACATAAGCCCATTGCTCTTTAACCTCTCATGAGGCTGAGATTGTTAATTGTGCCATCGGATCTTCAACCCATCCACCCTCAATCCCTTAGCTGCTAGATCTAAGATCCTAAGGCCGCCGCTAAATGACTGATATTTTCAGGGGAACCAATCAATTTACCGACAGCGCAACGTTCCATACCAACTTCCAAGTGCAATCTATTTGAAGGGCTTTGCCGCCGGTTACAAGCGTTTCGGTCCTGCATACTAGTATACGACATGGACAGCGTGCGGAATCCTTGTTCTTTTGAAATTTGTGAAACTTGAAATTTGTGAAACCAACGGAGATGGTCTTCCTGTTGATTATTGGTTGAAAAGAGCTACTCTCCCGCTTTGTTCACTTTGCCCATGACTGCCGCCAGTTAGTGAACAATTCATCCGACATGGCTTCTCTACGTATGAAGATACGTACAATTACAGTTAGAGTTCTCGAGGAATTTCTCGCTGAATGATATAAGGGCTCCATGAGTTTCTCCGACCCAGACTGTCCCTCCAGTGGTTATCAACACAGGACTGTATCCCGATTACGGAAACCTATCACTAGCAATTTGGCTACCCCCGATGAGGCAGATGGACGTGTGGATTTCTTTTCGTATTTGAATGCGCTATTGTTTCCTCAATATTCAACAGAGAAAGTGAAAACTATCCACTATTGCTAATAATAGCAGTCAGGACTCGAAAAATCCCACTGCGTTCTTGATTGTGGGAACATCAGTCGCTCCTTGACCTCCCTTTTGGTATTTGCTATTTACACATCGTACCTAGAGGCACACAAACACGGTCACCAATGAGGAAGGCATCAGCAATGACACTTATGCCGGTGGAGCCCTTACATTCCATGCAGAAACAAGTGGCGATACGAAGATAACGGCAGGTTTGAATGATTGTGCCCCTTGTTAGCTTTTAAAGGGGAATAAATATAGATGAGTTCCAAGCACGAAGGTCCCACATCCACCAGCGGTTAAACAAAAGATGAAGAGGCTGGATTTGGCTGATGGATATTCTCTGGATCCTTGGGTAGAGAGAGCCAAAAGCACGGATGACGGAATATCGCCCAAAAAAAAAAAAAAAAAAAAAAAAAAAAAAAAAAGTCCAACAGGCTGTCGGAATGAGAATCCAGCTTGTTATCTATGCAAGTCTCCAACAACATGTCCAGTTGTCCGCTTACAATACATTATGTTTTATTCTTAACGAGACTTCTCCCCGCAGGCGCCCAAGGGCTGGCATATATTCGGAACGTGGCTGAGCGCCAAATATAAATCGAAACCAAACCGAAGCTGAAACCAAAGACAAGAAAATGCAAGGTGACCGCGGACGGCGGCGTCAGATATAGAGCCTGTCCCAACGCTACCAAAAAGTGCGTGGCATACGACCAATACCTATGGGAACCAAAGTATACCTAAAGTGCAAGGGAAAGGGGGAAAGAATCCATGAAAATAAAGTATCTAACCCTTTGCTCTTAGCTTTCTCCATACCCAAGTATATATCTATGATCTCGAAGGACACAAAGCTAACACGGCCATCGTCTTCAGGTCGTGGGGCAAAACAAACGAGAAAAACTGGATGTCGCCGTATTACGTGGAGGAATCTTGCAGAGGTATTAAAAAACTCCTTGTTTTTTCTTATCTTGTTGTCTCAGCCAACGAGGGAAACTCTAGATAAAACTCCCTAAGAGTTGGATGGGTTTATTTCTTCTACAATTTTTGGAGCAATCTATAAACAAATAGTTAAATTGGATTCGACATATATTTGAGGTTGTCATTTCTACATATGTCAAACTAGATCCCCTACGCTGGTCATTTTTCTTTTCTTTCTTTTCCTGTATAATATATATCGTACGCGCTTTCCCATTTTTCTCCCCTAATTGCTTTAGTGCACTCCACCAGAGGAGCGAAAATAAGTCATCTTTATTGAACTTCTCTGGTTATTTGGATGGGCAGAATCAAATAACAATGCGGATTCGCTAGATCCAGACATAGAAGGTTAAACAGCCCCGCGGATTACAGACCAATATGCTCAGAGATAACTTCTTGCGAGAGCTGACAAGAAAGAAAGAGAACCTTACTCCAAGGGTATATAGATATCGAACTCAACGTAGGGGAAAAAAAAAAGGGGGTGGGGAAGGGGACGCGCGTTGGGAATCATAAAATGCACCTTCGACTGTTTTTATGCATACAAAAGAAAACCAAAAAACCAGCCCTCAAATATATTTTCTCCCCTTCTTCAACCTCCCAATCGGCGCATCCCCCTGCGCCACAAAGGAAATATGCCCCACATGTTCAGCAGACCGCACATCACCCAGCATGACCCGTAAATCCTTCAGCATGCGCGTCCGCACCAGCCCATCATGGGACGAGCCCGCAGACACCGGCGCATGCGGATTATCCCGCGTGTACGACGAAACAAAGCCCAGGATGTCCGGCGCGAGGGTCATTCGTTTCAGAACCACGCTGGCCAGCGCCAGAACCTGCAGCACGAGACAGATTATAAGAAACACGGTGAACCATGCGCGGTCGCACTTGTACACCTCGCCAATGTGCCTGACGCCACTGGCTGGAACGGGTACAAAGCAGTACAATGGAGACACCTCGGAGGAACAGTTTCCCATTGCTTCGTACGCGGCTGGGTCCTTTGGCAGGGATGTTCCGCGGTATTTGGTAGCGAAACCGGCTTCCCAGAAGGTGTTCAACGCTGTTTCCAGGCGGGCAGAGAGAACTTTGGGATCCAGCTTCCACAGGTCCATGTCGATTCGGCCGCCGCGGAAGAGGAGGGCGGTGTCGTTCATCCAGCGCTCGGTGAGTGTGGCAGAATAGAGGTAGTTTGTCGATTTATCGCGGTCGGTTGCCGTGGGGAGGAAATTTAGGGTGAAGTTTACGAAGTTGGTGAGGCTTATGAGATTCTCGACTCGCTGCGACGGCCGCATGGCCACCACGCGGCACGACTCGGATTTACATTCGACACGGGAGTCGACGGCCAGGTTGCCGAGCGTGCAGTTCGCCAGTCCCCATGTCGTACTATCGCGTAGTGTGGTTCTGGATCCGAACATGAATTTGGCGCGCAAGGATATGTCACCGCCAACTTCGTCGGTCATTGCTGGAAGTTCATCGGCCAGATGAACGAGCATTGAGTGTCCAGGCCCGCTGCTCTCGTTGACCATATTATATGACAGGGCGGAAAGATCTTTCTTTTCTGCGAGGATGTTGTTGAGGCACTGGACGTCGAAGTGATGTGATGTTACGGTGAAGGTCATGTTACCCTCCGACATGGGCCTGCCGACGGGCAGGCCTAGGAGGGATGTGAATTCTACAGTAGAATTCCAGTCTACCGTGCGCCAATCGCTATTGTTCGCGCCTGGCTTTAGCGAATTTATATTTGGGATTTTGACACTGCCCCAAAGGTCCATGCCTGTTCCAGAAGTGGTTTCAGAGCCCATCAGCGACGATACGTAGACGGAAGTAATTAGATCTCCGGAAGTTTGCATAGCACTAGTGCCCTGCAACGAGGTATCGCGAAACGAGAGAGGAGAGAGATACCAGTTAGTGGCATTATAGGGAGCGTCCTGTAATGAAGTGCTCAGGAGGCGCAATCCGGCCTGGCCCCCAATGGGGGAGAGCGCCCAGACAGCCATAATCACCAACCCAACAAAACCAAAATCCCTCAGTAACATCTGCCTCTCAAAGGCAGAAAAGAAGGAGTAGCTTCCAACGAGTTGTTCCAGCGTCTATTGGGGAAAGGACGTAAGAATATGTTAAATCGAAGGAACAAATGTAGACATGTCATACCCCTAGCCTGATTCCTCTCTCGGCCCTAAAAGTGCCATATATTCGAAAGAAATAGCCGACCAGGGCTGCGAAAGTAATTGGGAAAATTGTGGGAATCAATGTCGTGACCTCCTGGATTTGATCGCCACGTTTGCTCCTCAGGTCCCCTTCCAGCGAAGCCGCTAAGATGGCAATGACTATTTCTCACTGTCAGAAGAAGAAAGAAGAAAGAAGAAAGACGAGAAGAAAAGAAGCACAAAACAAAAGCTTTTTTTTATATATAGCATTTCCAAAATCAAACCACTAGACAGCACGAACCGATGAAAGTTACAGGAAGAATGGCCAAACAACAGTCCCATATCGAGCTTAAAACCAAATAGCCTGGTGCTTTGCTGAGTGTCACCGCATTCTGTCTCGATACTGGATTTGTTCCTTCAAGTGAGCGAGGAAAAAACGCTCGCGAGCCATGCTCTGGGCTTAGGTGTGTGTTGATGGCAGACAGCTCGAGGCTGCTGTCCCCGGGCGTTGGAGGCGAACTGGAGTCGATAAGGTGTTTGTACGATGTCATAGCTGATGGATGATCTTGCGGCGGTGGCAGTTATCCAGCTTCCTTTTATCAGCCCCCGCACAGAATCCACGAATGGAGGCGCACCTCCGAATGTGAAGGACAAACAAGCGTCTGAAATAACTGTGCCGGGAAACAGTTCGTCCAGGTGGGCAAGGTAGTTTAATATTTATTATATACTGGAGGGAGGGGCCGAAGCAGGGTCTGGTTCATTGCATCGTTGGCATTCATAGTCGGTACCGGCATATACGCGGCGTAGACATATTGCGGACCAAATTGCCCTTGGTAAGAGGGGCATCGGGCTCCTGGAGACTTGAGATTGACCAGCCTCCCCTGCCTGCAGGGATCATGAAGCTTCTTTGAATGTTCGCTCAACGTTTCCAGTTCCACACCCATCAAAGCGAGTAGGGTTGTGACAAAAGCGTGGAAGCACATTATCGTCTGTGGGAGAAACACGACACCGGAGCATGATTAACTGTATGGTCATGATTCTGCCGTCAGGTACTAATGACCACAATGAGATGCTCCGTTCTGGCCTCTGGCCTGTGTTTGAGAAATCCCAGCGTCTACGCGCCATGGTTAGTACGCTGTCGGTGTGGTGGGAGAAGTCAGCCTCATTTACCGATGGGTTTTATACTTGGCCCAGAACCCAAGACACCAGTATTTTTGAACGACACCAAGGAAAATACTGCAGCGTTTATCTTATCTACGTTCTACATATCTGGTTCTGCTATTTAGCATTGGTACTCGTATCCAGAATACAGACTTCCAGAATACAGACTTCTAATCAGAATAGCATTCTCTCCAAGTTGAGCTGAGTTACAGATTGCCCCATGCCCCGGGTAGTGGAATAGTGTGTTTTAACTATAAATAATTTAATGTAAGATCAAGGATTTGGATTCTATTACAACTTGGAACCTAGAATGTCTCATTATATGAAACTAAGCAATGCCCCACTGATTTTCAGCTCTATCTCACCCGTATAATCAAGCATGATCTTTCTTGTAAATACTACCTGTTCATCATGTAATTATGGGAGTTAGAATAAGCAATTCAATTTTTACTTTTGATATTCAGTATCTAGGGCAATAGTTACAGGCTTCGTGCTATGGCGTTTGGTTGACGCAGGGTCAAGCCCATCCAGGCCCTAACACTATGGAGTAGCCACCCACACATTCAAAAGGCAGCTGAAGGCATCATGCCCTCTGTGACATGGCATCTCTATCTGGTATATCTATAGAACTGCCAGCTATTATGGTGTATGGTTAAGGGAGTGTCTGTGTCTAGCACCTACGACAAAAGTCCAGGGCGCGGACGCATGTGCTGTACAAAGGGCTCTAGGGTAGTGCTTGACATGAGCAGATTTTTAATCCCTTGATTGAAAAAGGACAGTTACCGGAAGTTTAGGCTGAGATTTACTGAAACTTGTCAGGATGCCAGTCGCCAGGGATGACCCCTATGTTACTTGCTCGACGCCAGGCCCTGGAAGGGTTTTTGTTGACAGGATGGGTTCGTCCGTGATGCCGCAATACTATACCTACTAATTTAAAAGTATTCATTACTATGAATTTATTTAAATAGATATAGAAATTTTCGGAATTATTAAATTTATAGTTCCACATATATTTATATATTTATATATATATGGCTGATACCCATGCCAAACGATATCTGTGACACAATACCTTTCCTGACTGTATTTTTTTTTTTTTTTTTTTTTTTTTTTGGGGGGGGGGGGGGGGGGGGGGGGGGCAAATCTACATAATTCACAGGAATTCCCGTCATTAGTTAAGATCCAGGAGGTATTGATAGCCAGAACTCGTACAAGGAAAAGTCGAAACAGCAAACTGAGGACGAGAGTGAGTAAATGGATATCTAACTGGAGAGGCAGCAGTCACTGTAATAATCTAACCTCCCAGATGAACAAAATTCACCCCGTAATATACTACACTCAGCCTTCCTTCTTACATTCATATATATGAAATCGACAGTCAACAGATTTACCGCGATATCAGCATCCAATTCTTCAAGAAATTGGTCATCTCCCATCCACATACAAACTTGATACCACCAAGTGTAACCGTCCAAATCTCATTGCTGTTGTAAACTCCCAATACTCAGGGCACCAACCCACCGACTCCCCAGTCAAGGAAACCTGACAAATGCCCATCATCATCAACTAGGATATTGTGTGCTCTAAAATCTCCTTGAATGAAGGTAACTCGATGCGGCCGTTGATCGATTCGCTCTGCACGAACCCATACTTCATCATACTCAACTCTTGACTGAAAACCGTGATCGGAAGCTATTGAGAGAAGATATTGTGTGAACTCCTTTTCGCTAGGGAATGGGCCCATGGTGTGGTTTGGAACTCGAGTGCTCCTCCGAATGGCAGTTCCAAACACAGAACAGATACAGTTTTGGTCATAAGGGGGTGATATGCGCCATTGACGCATCGAATCCAGGCACAGTTTCAGCTCATGAATCCACGGGCCCTCAATGTCTGGATCAAATGGATCCCCTGAGTTGATAAGACTTATGCCCGGCAGCCTTGTCATCAGAATTGAGAAAACAACGATTCGATGGATCCCCGCCCGATATGCTTTCCACAGTTCAGGAACTTGGGAACAGGCATTCCGGCAGCACGAGCCATTTGCATTGCTGCTACTTCCTCCAGAGATGTTCAATCTGTCCACTTCATGAGGAGCCCAAAGGGCAATTCGGCAATATTGCTGAATGGTATACCAAACCAGGAGCAATAATATTTGGAGAAAGCAAATACAGCTTTGTGAACAATGGCCCAGAATCGTAATGAAATTCTGCTTGGCACAGCGGGCGCAGGAGGAGTTATTGTAGAAATCGGTGACCTTATCGGGTGTGGCCAGCAATAGTTGCGCTTCAGAATGCGCGGTATCCACGCCGACTCCATTTCCGAAGCGATATTCTATGAGGGTATGTTTTTGGAAAAGTAAAAAAATTTGGTGCTTCGAGGAAAGAGAGTGCCACCAGCGGACCCCATTTTGAACAGGCACAATTTATATACAAATCTGATGATATCTAGTTAGAATATACCGTCTATCTTCTTATTCTACATACTAGTTTTCTAATCTAACTAGTAATATATTTTACATTATTGATAACTGCTTTATCGGTATTTTATAAAACTTGAATGTAATTCATAAGGCAGTGAGCCATTCCCCACATCATCATAGAAGTAAATATAATCACAATTAGATTTAAAAATCATTTAATTATATCAAAAATCATATCTAAATTAACTTTCATGTTGTTGGAACAGGATAATGTCCGAATATTGACCCACATTCTGAATATCGATAGATAATTGAATTGACTATGATTACTCTGATAATTACATGATAGCTAGGCAGTATTTATAAGGAAGAGAATGCTTGATCAAATGAGAGGCAGTGCTGAGATTCAGCAGGGCAGTGCTCAGATTTCAAATAGCAAGACATTACAAGATTCTTGATATGAGATAATATCTCTAACACATAGTTATATATAAGCAGTATATTTTAATAATATCATATACACTATATATTGATACTTAAATCTGATTGCTATTGTTATTGTTTCTCTAGCTACTTTGAGCATTCTGTAAATAAAAGAAGTGAATGTGAATCATATAACCACTGCAGTTATACGACTAGCAGAATGTCTAAGAGATCTAAGTTGAAGCAATTAAGATGTCAGTAGAAACTCATCATCAAAAGCATCACTCTTTTTCAAGAGTTGAAATGTATGATATAAAATGATACTAAGTTTTATCACTGAGTTAAGTCAAGTACTAAATCTTATTGATGAGGAAAGTTTCAATGAAATGAGTGAAATATCTGAATCTATTTCTTCTAAAGTTCTCTACTGAGTAACTTATATCATTCTTACAACTACTTATGAATCTAGAGATATGTTTGAATTTTTCCAGTTTTCATTTGATTTTTGCATCGCTGCCCGTTGCTAAGGGCCAAACGTCCATCCGCCATTCCTCTTCAACCGTTCCCTCTCCGCTAAATCCCACTTGATCTCATCCTGCGTCAATCCGTCCGGCCCAGCCCAATTGGCACTACTAGTCCGATCCCGGAAACGCTTAAATCGATCCTTGTTATCCTTAAATATCTCCTCCATGTGCAACGGAGCGGAGGGGCCGAATACTTGCTCCCCATCCTTGCCTTCCTGGTTAATGAGGATGTTATTGAGGTTTTCAGGCTTGGCCCAATCGGGAACGTTATAGGGTTCAGTATCCGAGTCCTCATCCTCGCTGTCTGTGAGGATTTCGGGGAGCTTTATGCTATCACCGTTCGGGTAGGCAGGGGAGGATTTGAGGACTTTCTGCGAGCCTTGCGCAGGGGTTTTATGAGTGGAGGGATGGGGCGGGTTGGCGTTGTCGGCGAAGGGAATTTTACCGTTGGCAAATTTTGACATCTCCAACGGGTGGCCGTTCCGATGCTGCTGCGATTGCATGGGAGGTGCAGGCTGGAAATGGCGTGGGGCTGGAGGGTTCTTGAAAATCGATGGGCCAGCTTGGTGGGGGACTGGCGGGGGCTGCATTGTCGAATAGCCGTGGTTGTAAGTTTGCTGTTTAGGAGGCTCCTGTCTGAAGTTAGAGCATTTCAACATTTGGGGATACATACGACATACCTTGCGAACGTTGGACTGGCGGATTGGAGGTGCCATCGTTGATCGAACGGGCGGCTCAGCGGAAGCAATTTCATCCTCCGTCTTCCGACGTTTGCCATCCACCTGGTGAATAGCTGCTCCTACTTTCCCAGTAACCGGACGTCCTGAACTTTCATCCTCGAGAGCCCTCTTTGGGGGTTTGGCGGGGTTTGGCGGTGGATAATTGATAGTACGAGCTTGTTCTTGTGTACTATTCAGCCTCGAAGGTCTGGTGGATGGTAGGTCATTGCGCTGAGATCCTTGCAAAGCAATCTTCTCTTGGTGAAGAATTGAACCCTGGAACTCCCTACAGGTTAGGAATTAAGTAATTTAGGAAAAGAACAGGGATTATCAAGCTCACTAGGTCATTAACAGGCGTTGGCTGTTGGCTGCGCTGTTGTTCTAATTTCCGTGCATTCTCCAACCGTCTCTTTTCTATCGCTTGCTTATGGGCAAGTTTCTTGGGGTCGTCCGTTACCGATCGCTCCCGTTCTCGTCGTTCAGCCTCAGCACGACTGGCCTGCTCTTGTCGGCGCGCTTCTTCCTGATGAGCTACGCGCTTCCGTTCTGCTTCTCGACGCTGTTCCAGCTTCCGTTGGGCCTCACGTTGCTCCTGAAAATTTCAGTTAGCATTGGCCGTTAATAAAAAATGTACAAGTTATTTACCTCTTTCTTTTTCTCCGCCGCCTGTGCGGCCTTCGATCTCAAACTCGTGGTAGAGGTGGCGCTCTTGAAACTACTAGTAGATGTATTCGTCTGTATTGACAACTTGCTTCCCTTTTTATTCACGGCTGGTGCGGGAGCTTTAGCTGCTGGAGTCGGGTTCGGCGCCGGTTCTTGGACACTGGACGAAAGTGAGGAACTGGACAACGGGATGCGTTGTGAAAGAGTTCCAACGCGGATAGACACCGGCTGAGGCTTTGGCTTCTGGATTTCCCTCGTAGGTCTTACAGGACGACGGTTCTCATTTTGCTTGGGTTGAGGATGTTGCTTCGCAGGAACAGTAAATTTGTTCCCCGCTTCCCGGCTTTGTTCCGGTTCACGTACAGATTGTTGCGTTGGTGGTCTTCTGGGACTAGACCTCGTTGCAAGTGATTCTGGGGCAGCCGGTATTCCAATTGATTTGGGTGGTGGACGGCGCTCTTGTGCGGAATTTATCATGGCCGGCCCTTGCGTTTCTTGTTCTCGAGTTTTCCGCAATTGTTCCTCCATTCGTTGTGCCTCCTGGCGCTCTTTCTCTTTTCGTTTTTCCTCCCTCTCTGTCGAACTCCTAGTTCGTCGTCCTTCCTGTAACGAAGGGCTCTGAGTTGCAGGAGGTTGAGGTTCTTGGGAGAACATTTCTTGAAGATTCGGGTAGAGGCCCGTATGGGAACGTGTAGGTGATGAAGTCAAAGCTTCCATTTTTGCCGCTGTAGATACACTGCCCGTACTGGTAAATAACCCTTTGGCAGTTTTCATGATCGACTGTAGTCTAGATTTGGAGGCACTCAGAGGGCCATCATCCCTTCTTGGGGAGGAAACTGGCGTAACAGTTTCACGATTAGATGTGGTTCTCTGATGACCTACAGTGTTCACCCTAGGGCTTGTAATTATCGAGGTTGACGCCGACTTCGAATGAAAAGCACCAGTGGCACCAAACGGCTTGGCCGCAGGGGAACGCTTCTCTGGCGATCGGCTGTGCATAATCCTAGACATACTAACTTCTTGAGCTGCAGCTCGGCGAAGGTGTGGGGGCCTCTCAGGGGTCGCGTCTCTCATAAAGTGGGAAGGCTGGAACTGTTGCGGCGACCGAGTTGGCGCTGTTCGGCTATCGTAAGTTTGTGTCGTAACCAGGGATGGCCTCCTTGGTTTATCGACAACAGGCTCGACTTGCGACAACAACTCGGGATATTGAATGTGGGAAGCAGTATTGGGTGCTGGCGCTGGGATTGACTTGGTACTCCTCGATGGCTGAGATTTACCAAGCATATTGATTTTCTCGTGGAGCAGCTGCGTAGATGATTTATTGTAAATATTTGCACCCTTCGTTGTAAGCTCTGAGTCCTCATGTAGAGGAGCAGGAGCGCGATCTTCAGCAGACTTCGTATTTTCCTCAACATTTTCTTGTTCGGCGTGTCCTTCCGGTAAAATTTGGGTTATTCTTGCGCCTCCAGTTTGTCGTCCATAATAACCACCCTGGATTGATTTGGAAGGGTCAATATGACTGGTTCTCGACATCCTATGGCCCCCCATGCTTCGTTTTGTTGTTATTGGCTCCCGAGCTGGTAGAGAGGCAAAGCTCAAGCTACTTTTACGGATGGGAGGGCGGTCAGGAGTTGAGCCATCCGAAGGCGATCCAATGTCGTCAAAATGATGATCGAAAGTGGTATCATGTTCATGAGTTTCTACTTCAGCCGTACTAACTTTTTCAAACGATGTGGTGTCAAAACTTCCAGGGAGATGAACCGGTTCTTGAGGTGACTCATTATGCAAACTGGAGGCCTGTTTAGGGGCAGCAGTGGGGGTGGATTTGTAATCGTCAATATCCATGGGTTCCACCGTGCTCTCCTTACTTGGGGCGACTTCTCTTGCGGAGTGGAACGAAGCATCGGTTGTGCGTCGATCAACAGACGGGCTGAGGTCATTCCGATCGCGAGGAATAACAATGGTTGAGTCTTCAAGTGGTTGGGTATCTGTTTCAACAGGTTCGGGCCCACGCTGATGGTGTGATTCGGGCTCTGATTCCGGCTCGAGTACCTGATGCGCTTCAAGGTTCGGATTTGACTGTGGATGTTGTTCCGGCTCTTCTTCTGACTCCTGCTCCGATCCTGCTTGTCGTTCTGGTTCTGGGACCGATTTTGATCCCGGCTCCGGGTCCTTGTGCGGTTCCGAGTATACAAGATCCATTTCATCATCCTCATCGGGCATGCCATGGTATCCAGAGTCAGTATTATAAATTGGTTGTTTCGTTTGGTGGTATTGAACTGGGGACGAGTATTTTGGTTGCTCTTTTGGGGACGACTTCGGAGCCAATTTGGCGATATCCTGGTGGAATCGATTAGGCGGCGCAGGGCTGTTTCGCACATTCTGTTGTGCCGAGAATATGTCGCCCAAGGGCTAGAAAGTGTCAACAGTCGCGCATTACTATGAAGCAATCAACCACTCATGACGAAGAAAACCAGGCCACAGAATAATATTGCAATGCACTTACAACCCGAGCCTCTTGTGGGGTCTTATGTTTCCTGGCAGTTCTTGGAGTCTTCCCTCTTAACTTTCCCGGCGTCTTGAAGATCTCAGTTACATTACTATCGTATGCATTAGTACCACGCTACCCCATTCCCTTGTGTGTCCGCAATAAATCAAGACAGATGAAAGGGGGATTAGGTGGTTGGTCGTACAATTGGTTCCTACTAAAGATTTCAGCCATATGCTGATTCAGCCAATCCATCTCATTCTGCACAGGATAGTCGATTTCTTCCATCTCCTGGTTTATCAGTAACTGGATATTCTCTCTCTCAGCCGCGATCCAGGCGGTCGAGCCCACGGCCCTCTGCGCCTTCGTTGTGCTTGCAGAGGCCATGGTTGTGAAGTAAACACAACGCGAGGCGACGCGTCGACGTAACAAATAAGGAGATGGAAATAGGCCTCAGTTAGGTGAGTGGACCTCTTGCCAATATCTCGCAGTCTAGCACTAACTGCAGTGACATTGAGGACACATTGGGGTCGTGGTGTGTGGTATTGTTGTGTGTTGATGGTTGGAGATGAATCGCTCAAATCGCTCACCGTCGAACTTGTCGCCAAACAGGGAAAGCCGCCCAAACAAGCCATGGATGACTAAGTAGCCAGCTTGCCTTGGCAGCCGCGACATCACATGACCAAGTGCGACGGGGGGTTAAATCTGACCAGACCTTGGGTATTCTATCAATCTATGGATGTCGAGATATTCAAGATGACCCCTCGAGGTGCGGCCTCCAGGTGCTGTTGCCACCTCAGAAAGTGGCTTGAAATTGGCAGACTTGGGGCCAGCAACTCTTCCACCAGCTGCTCGGCCTCACTGGAGCAACCACCGCCGCCAAAGCTGGTAACCGGAAGGGATCTCGGAACCTTGCCGAACTCAATGTTTTGAGTTTCAAAGTGTGAACTGAATCACGACGTTTCTGGATATTAAATTTTATTTCATGTTATCTACATTCACATTCCGTTGAAGGATTATGTACTGAACATACTCAACGTCAGGAATAGAGGTGAACAACAAACCCCTGCAGACACCAATTGTCCGACCCACTGGATATCCACATCTCTATCTTCTGATAAACGAGAATCGATCTTGAGCTCGTCAATCACGATGATCCCGCGCCTCCTCCGCCGCTCCCTCCTGAGCTCCGCCAGTCGCCAAGCCCGCGTGCCAAGAATCGCCGCGGCCCAACAATGGCTACAGTCGCGATCTTTCTCCGCCTCCCCATCCAGTAAACTAATGGATCTTAGCTGCTTTTCGCAAAACCAGCTGATGGTCCGAGATGCCATAGAGAAGATTTGTTCGAACTTTCCTGACGTGTGTAGTTTTCTCTTTCTTGCGTGTCATGGATTACCGGACATTTAGATTTCGAACACATGGACGGGGCGGAATTGGATTATTGACCAAATATTTCATAGGAATACTGGGCGGAGCACGATGAATCGGGCCAATACCCCCATGAGCTGCACGCGGCATTGGCTAAAGATGGCTGGATAGGAATCGCTCTTCCCGAGGAGCTGGGAGGAGCTGGCCTGGGCATCTCAGAAGCGACGATGATGTTACAGACGATTGCGCAGTGCGTTCTCCTGCGATTCATTTTGACCTGTTTCGAAATAGGAATGCTAACCCGGTACAAATAGGAGCGGTGCCGGTCTTGCTGGTGCGCAGTCGATTCACGCCAATGTTTACGCTACTCAGGTATTCATGCCATATGCCGATATGTGACCCAGCTGGTAATGCTAAGCAATATTCGCACATAATCTAGCCCGTTGCCAAGTTCGCGACGGAAGAGCAAAGGCAGCAGATGTTGCCTAGGTTAATCGCTGGGGATTACAGAGTTTGTTTTGGAGTGTAAGTCGGACAAGTCCGAGCCTGATAATGTGGCATCTCGGATTGTGGTCTGACCAAAAAAAAAAAAAAAAAAAAAAATATTACAAAACCAGCACGGAACCAAACACGGGGCTCGAGACGTTGAAACTCCGCACAGAGGCGATTAGGGACGGCGATTCGTATAGGGTATCTGGACAAAAAATGTAAATCACTAACCCGTTGTTCCAGTTACAAAAATATCTCCCCCCAAACACAGTCGGCAGAAAAGGAAACTAACTGTGTCTCTCAAGTTGGATATCCTCTGCCCAAGTCGCCAGGCGAATGGTCCTGCTCGCTCGCACCACCCCACTCGAGGAAGTGAAGAAACCATCAGAGGGCTTGTCGCTCTTCTTCATCGACTTCGACAAGGATGCGCCGGGCTTGGAGCTGCGCAAGATTAAGAAGATGGGCGGCCGAGCCGTTGACGCGAACGAGGTCTTCTTCGACAATTACCGTATCCCTGCGGATTCCCTCATTGGTCGCGAGGGCGACGGTTTTAAAATCGTAAGCTTCTTCCCCCGCATATTCAATAGGGAATAACGAGCAAAAGTTAAGTCAGTGTCGTCCGTCATTATATTAGCTAACCAACCCCCTAGGTCCTCCACGGCATGAACGCCGAACGCTGCCTCCTTGCCGGCGAAGCACTGGGATTAGGCTACGTCGCCCTCGAAAAGGCGGCCAAGTACGCCAAGGAGCGCATCGTCTTCGGCCGGCCCATCGGCCAGAACCAGGCCATCGCCCACCCGCTCGCAGACGCCTACATGAATCTTGAAGCAGCAAAGCTAGCCACATACCATGCCACGAATCTATATGATGCCGCCAAGACTGATAAGTCTATTACGCAGAAGGCAGTTGGGGTTGCGTGTAACTCGGCCAAGTATCTGGCGGCGGAGGCCGCGTTTACGGCGTGTGAGAGAGCGGTAAGTTGGGTCAATTTTTTTTTTTTCCCCCCTTTTCTTCTATGGTTGCTAATGAATTCCTTTTCAGGTGCTTGCGCATGGTGGGATGGGATATGCGCAGGAGTATAACGTAGAGCGGTATCTGAGGGAATGCTTTGTGCCGCGGATTGCGCCTGTTAGTCGGGTGAGTATCTTTCCCTCCTTTCCTGACAATCATCATGGTAACTCTGCTTTGGATGTGGGGACCGAAGAACTGATGATTTGATCAGGAGATGATTATGAACTATGTCAGTGAGAATGTGCTGGATCTGCCTCGTAGCTACTAGTTAATTTGAGCTTTTTCATTTTATTTTTCTTCCGTTGATATTTGAGGGTGATGATAAGAGGCGCAACTCGGTTTTTGGATTTTGTGTAAGCTGATGTCCCCGTTTTTCTCCGTCTCGGTTTTCGCCCTTACATGCATATATATATATATATATATATATTGAAGGTTGGTCGGGTAAACTGGAGTTTGAGTAACAGCTATACAGATTCCTGATTGAAGAGAGGTTAATGATAAAATAGTGAATAGTGTTTGTTAAATTCTATTTTCATTTTTCATTTTATTTATTTTATTTTATTTATTTTATTTATATATTTATTTTCTGGTATATCATGACGAGTTCAATGTCAACTCTCACATGCCAGAGTGTCGTCTGCTGCCAACCCCTGATACAAAAACACCGCGTGATAGTCGGGCGGCACGAGGAAAGGGGCGGAAGGGATAGGGAATGGGTGTAGAGGTGGTTTGTCTGGCTGATTTCCACTTATAATAATTGCTACTACATGTCAGTTTGTCTCTGGAAGCACCCGGTTTTATTTATTTATTGTGCTGTCGCGAGGTCCAAGCGAAGCTCAAGGCTCCCAACTTTTTTTCTCCGAAAAACCTGAAACTGACATCTGACATCGGGCATCTATTTCTTCCTCCTTCCACCACACCAAAGCACACACCCAACTCCATACAACTCCATACACACTCCATACGTCTATCTCCAGTTGTTGTCTCTACGTCTTCTTCTTCTTCTTCTTCTTCTTCTTCTTCTTCTTCTTCTTCTTCTTCTTCTTCTTCTTCTTCTTCTTCTTCTTCTTCCTCTTCCCCATAGCCTCTAGTGTCCGTCTGCTGTTTCATCCACACACTTCAGCTGCTTGTTGCTCATCCTCCATCTACATCGAACACATTTCCGGTTCGTCCCCATGGCGAAGGAATCTACACAGTCGGGCAGAGGCCCTCATCCAGGTAAATCCCTGCGCCCTACGTACCCTACATCTGATTCCCCAGCCAGCAGAACCGCTTCATGGACAGTATAGTAAGGTATGTCTATTTTGCTTATTCCCCCCCATGGTGTGCTCTGCCCCCAAGCAACAAGACATGAATATTGACATTGTGGTGTTTTGCATTTCCCAGTCAATCCCCTCTCGCTCCAGTTCACCCTTACCGGGATACCAGAACAAGCCGTCCTCACAAACTCTGCGTAGGGACCGAGATCGATGCTCTGCAATACGGAAAAAATGTATTCTGACAAAGGTGCGGACAATAGGAGCCTCTGGACAGATTGGGAGGAAGATAGAAAGAGTCATACTAATCTATCTATGATTATATATAGATTTATTCCACCACATAGGAAGCACGAAGGGTAAAACCAATGGGACCACTGCTACCGCTGCTACCGGGCAACCTTTGACTCGTATGTGCCAAGTGCATGCTGTTTTACAAGTTTTGTATTATTAGTCCACCGCCCATGGCCGTGCTAATTCCGAGCTTCCCGCAGACTATCATTCCCACATCTACAGCTTGTTAAGCGTTAGTTTCCCCAATCCTCATTACGTTCGCATTTGAAACATAAAGAATCAAGTCTAGCCGTTTCAAAACAGCTGATATCATATCCCAGTGGGAGCGCCCTCGAACTACCGCCCTCTCGTTCGTCTCGATTGTCAGTCTTATTGTTGCAGCCCGATACCTCCCCTTGTTACGATGGCTCTTCAAGTTTTCGTATCTGGCTCTTGGATGTGAGATAACCACCCGAGTTTTCAATCCCGTTACTTCACAGATTGTCGTCTGACCTATACTTTTTTGATATCCAGTCACCATTGCCCTCGAAATCGCCGGAAAAGTCCTCTTGTCTCGCGGCCTAGCCAGCTCCTCCCGCCCTCGCAAATACTACACAATTCCTAAAGACACAGTAGAGAGCATCCTAGAGGATCTAGAACAATTGATGGACTTCTTTCTCATTGAGATCCAGCGCATCCTCTTTGCGGAGAATCTCACCTATACTCTTGCCGTAAGCTCCTTCTACCCCAACTACTAATACATACCAATCGATCTAACCCGTATATTCCTTCGCAATCAGGCATTCTCTGCTGCGTTGACCTCGTACTGGCTTGTCCGCTTCCTCCCTACCTGGGGGCTGTCCCTCATCCTCGTTTCTGTCGCATACCTGGGACCCCTAATCTACGTCAACAACAAAGAACTCATTGATTCCCAGATCGACCAGATCCAACAAATCGTCAACTCCCAAGCCACCCAAGTGAAGGAGATGGCGGGCCAGCAAACAGCCCATGCCACCCATATCGTCAAGCAGTACGTGGGCGACTACCGTGCAAAGGCTAACGAATATATGGGCTCCGCCCGCTCTCTCCCTCCCGTCGAACAAGTTACCCCAGCAAGCTCACAGGCCCAGTCCGGGCTTAAATCTGCCAAAGAGCCCGCCGTTGACCCCATAGCTAAACCTGTTGCGAAAGCCACCAGTGCTGAGCATGACGCTACTGAGCCCGCCATCACACAGACAGACTTTCCCACAGCACCGAAAGATGATATCCTGCTTGGCGAGGAAACGACACCGGAAGCCGGGGCGGAGCCGAAATTAGACGAGCCGCTTCTGGCATAAATTTCACAATACATACCAGAGAATCGAGCCTTTTTCGTCCTTGCTGATTGCCATATCATGGCACAGCCTGCGAATTAGGCATTAAATAATAACAACAACAATAATAATAATAATACTAAAGCGTCAGACCGGAAAGGAGATCAAATGAGAAATTGACTGGTTGCTGTTCTCTCTCGAAAATTTTTCTTTTTTCTTTTTTAATTTTCACTGTCGCGAGTGAGTTGTTACGTTCATGATACTAAAAAGAAGCTGCTTTTTCATACAAATTTTTTTTTTTTTTTTTTTTTTTTTTCTTTTTCAAAAATTATTTCTATTGTTGTTTCCCATCAACCTCTTTTTCTTCTGTTTTTTCTTCTTTTCTTCTTCTTTTGTGTCCATAGCAAACGAACTATTTCCCTGAGTTTGGGATAATTTGTGAATGACCACTACTTGTTTCACAACCCCTCTCTTCTCTTTCCACCCTATTCTTCCTTGATGATCTGGTAGGTTCACCAATTGTGAACAACTTCATTCTTCTATTTCTGCTCCCTGTTTCCCGCCTGCAGCCAACCAGTCAGCAACAAATCTCCGAGGATTTTATTATTATTATTACTTTAATACACTCCTTTCAGGATGATGTGGAGGAGAATCTGCTCATTTCTCTGCTTCATTTTGTTTCCTTTCATTTCCTTTTGCCCTGAAAGTAAGTGATCTTGTTTGATTGGGCATGGTCAAAATGTGAGTTGAAAGCAAATCCGGGCAGGGCAGGGGCATGAGGGAACTACTTGTATGGTTTTTTTATCCCCTGTTTATCATATCTTCTTTTGCACTTCCACTGATATATCTTTGTTTCAACGCAATTATTTCCCCACTTGTTTTTTCTTTTCGTTTTTTTTTTACCTGTATCCATTCCCTTTATTTCCCTACAAAAGTCACTGTATCTCGCCTTATCATCCCAGCTCCTTCATGGCTAGTTTTTGCTCGCACTGGATTCCTTACCCGTGATTCTATTCTCTTTATCTTTCCCTTTTTCTATATAATTTCTTTGATCTGTACCATTGTCAAGCTGCTAGAACACCATTTAATTCTTCTAGGCAAACTAGTTTTTCTAACTATACGGGCAGCTGACATGTTTGTTGCCACCTATCTTACTTGTTTGTTTGCTCCCGCCTGCTTGTGAGTGTGTGTTTTTTTGTTCTGGGTTACCTGACAGAATTGCTGCGCCTCCCCTGCGCGCCCGGTCTGTCTTTTCTTCTCTCCATCGATTCAAGGGTGTATAAACTGCTGTTTCGATGTCACACCCGTGTACACCCAAACCGGTGGAAGAAGAAGAATTCAGTGTCTCGAAAGCGTGGTTGAATGGTTGTTTTTCTTTATTTCTTTCTTTTCATTCCGATTTAGCAAGCCCTTGAATGCCTATGGTTTCTATCCGCGCCGGTTTGTGACAATGGAGATATATGGTGTGGATTTTCTGGACGACAGAATTTAACAGTGGGGAGAAACTCTTTCAGAATAAGGAAAGGAGGTAAAAGATTGCCAACTTGGCGGTATGGGTTTGCGTGACGGATTTCTTGTCTCTATTTCATATCAAGAGAGGTCGTCGTGTGTTATGCATGTGCTCGAGATTGCGATATCTGATTTTGACGGAGTGAATTGATGAGTATGGCTAACAGCTTGCTCTGCTATTCTTGGCCTGGGAGACTTTTTAAGGCTTCAAATTCGAAATCGGCCTCTCTCTCTCTCTCTCTCTCTCTCTCTCTCTAGTATATTCCGGTTTACTACTTTTTGATTGCTATCGATGTTGTGATGCTTGAGCAAACTGAATTGTTGATTGTATACTATGAGCTTGAGAATGCTTATGATGAGTCTAAAGTACCGTATCAGAATGAGAATGTAAATGTATCACCGATAAAAAAAATTAAGTTCCTTGTTGTATTTTCATTGTTTCATGGCCATAACTATCGATATCTTCTCTCCTTGATTCCCACATCTGCTCCCCCTCTCCGTTCTCTGTTCTCTGCCTCTCTGCTATGCTGCCAGAGACTAAACACTCTCGCTGCATTGGAATGACGTATGGTTCACTAAATTATCTAGCATGCATATAAAGCCATCAGCGGCAGATGCATATTTACTTGCATTGCATGTTCGACACACTCCCCCGTTCTCCACATCATACCGGATTTCACGGCTCCGCAGGTACGGATCCATAGATGTCTCAACTGCATGTTCCCACCTCCCTGCGAATCCACATCCCAATATGCACTTGACAAGACAATATTATGCCCGTGTGGTCAGTTGTATGTAATTATTGTACCGTACTTCACGGCCTCCAACACGGCGATTGAGACAAGTTGTGGAGTATATTTTGTTCTTTACTTAAGAGAATGTTGTGTGAGAGTGGGTGTAATTGATTCCGTTTTCTGATAGGGGCCGCCATCCCCTCCATATGATGGTCTAAATACTGGGAAATAAATCGAGTATCAAGTAAGAAATAAACGAGTGGATGCACATCGCGAGGTATCACGTCATAGCACAATTGGATATAGGAAATAGAAAACGAGAGTAAGGTGGTGAAAGGGAAAGGGAAAATAGCAATGAGAAAGAAAAATGACAACGAAAAACGAGAAACTAATTGGCTCAATCAACACCCCCACAATCGAATACACATAATGCCCCCCCGGTAACTTGACCAATACCTCTGCGGAAGCAGTGAAAAGAGACAGTTTTCCAAGATGCTGGCGGGAAAGGAGATCAAAAAACAAACCAACCACCGCCTGCTACTGCGCACACGTATGTCGCAGTCGATATAGCCAACTCCCCTGTCCGATCACCTGCTCTAAACGCCAGAATGGATCAATAAGACAATCGACAGTCGGCCAAAGTTTTCGAAGGAGAACACATCACCCCCTACAAACAAACACACCAGCAAGCCACATTAGAATGCCGTCGTTCCATTTCCTTTCTACGCTGAAGCCCGTCTCCTCTTCTTCTCATCCACACCCACCACATCCTGCATATGCAGTCGCATAAGCATATACGCAGCTCTTGCGTCGTTTGTAAGGGGTAAAGGCGAGCTACGCCGTTTAGCGCGGTCAACTTCGTGCCTCTTATTGTAGGTGGTCTTAGGCAGTGAAGCTTCGCGTTCACCCCCACGCCCACGATCAGGGGTGACTTCGGCCTCAACGTCATCGTTGGCATCGTTATCACAATTGATCTCGTTATCCGTATCCCGATACGAGCCTCCTTGAAATCCCTGCTCCGTGGGCGTGCTTTCTGCCGAATCACCCAATTCCGACTCCGTCTCCATGTCAACGTCCGTATCCAGGATGTCTTCTGGCGTTGTAGCCTTGTTCCGCCGGTTATTCAGGGAAGAGAGTATTTCCCGAGGAGAAGGTATCCGGCACTGATCCGTTCCCGTAGTACGTGGTGTACTTGCCGGAGCGCAGAAGCTCTCCCGTGTTTTGGACGGTGAGAGGCAGTATGCACCACCAGCGCCAGTGCCAGCGGTATATTCCCTATCCCCATTTTCCCCAAAACTTACTCCCACTAAGGGAGAAGGTTTAGGCCGTAGTTCCTTCCTACTCCATCCAGCTGCGTTAGAATTCAAGCGTGGATAAGGTTTATCAGGACTCCGCCGCTGGTTCGTACTTTTGCCTGAAAGTCCTTCAAGGAGCCGGTAATGCCTAGCTGAATTTGTAGCGTCGCACACGATGGACTGGTCGATCACCCACCTGCCAAACCGCGGGTCGTCCGGAGGTATGCAGATAGATAGAAAGTCGACGCCGAAAAGAGGTGTCAACGCGTAGCGAATCTTCCAACAGAAAGTAGCTGCAACTGCCTTGGCGGCCTCGAATGGCATCCAATACCCTGGTAATCATCAGAATTGGGGAGTTCTAATAGTATTAAATGGAGCCTAACCTTGAGCCGCTAGCGCACCCCCTGTAATGCTGTGACAGATTTCGCGGAGACCAGGATTTGCATTTAGCATTTTCGCCGGGGCTGTCTGAGAAATGGGTCAATAGTCATGTAGGGGCAAAAATCTCCTTCAAGAAGAAGGAACATACTTTGGAATAGTTGTTACATCGGAATAAAGAGGTAGTTCGAACGAGGCCGATATTGTAGTCCCACATAACGGTGTACGTCTTCTCGTCTCCAGGAACCTTGAACGTATACTGAAACACTATAAATATACCTCCAGAGTTAAAACGAAAACAGTTTAGGCGTAAAATTCACGGGACAGCATTTGTACCTTCGAAACTCTCCCGCCCTGTCTTCTCTAAAAACGACTTCTTCTCGCTATTGTATGGAATATGCCTTGGATACTCCGTGATATGGCCCATAGGATGGATCTGAAATTCTCTATGCGCTTCAGCAAGTTCTTGATTCTGATACTCGCAAGGAGGATACCTCAACTCTCCTCGCGTTCTACCCCGAGTGAAGACGGCGGCATCTTTGGATATCTTCTGTTTTTTCTGCCTTGGAGGGGGGGACTGGCGGTACTCTCTTGCAAAGCGGCTGGGGGACGGCGTGGGGAGCTGTTGGGGATATCTCTCTCTCGATTCAGGCTCCGGGTTGAGGAGAGAAGCGATAGACGTCATGTTTATATCAAGGAAAGGGAAAGGGAGAGCTCGCCGCCTGGAATGAAACGGCGTCTCTCTGCTTGATTCCAACGGGTGTGTAGAATGCTGCCCGGACTGAAGGCGCAAAATGGGTAATGGAAAAGGAGCTTGGGCCAGTAACGGGAGAACTGTGTAATTTAGAAGAGAAAGGAGAAAACCATTGACAAACAGCCAAACCAAGCGAGGACGAGGGAGAAATTTAAAGCTGGGTGGGGATATGGATAAAATTGAGCAAATGGACCTCTCATGGGCAGAAAAATATAGAAGGACAAGGTAAACAGATCTACTTCAGAAAGCCAAGGTAGAACGCAGATCAATGCATACAAGACTAAGAAGGTTTATCGGCTTTTGGCATTATGACATATGGGCGAAGGAGCAAGGAGAGAAATAAGGACCCTCCTA